ATGTGCAAGTATGTCACTTATGATTTACTGTTTACATTTATATTTATTACTTACTAAATGTCAGGTGACCTTGGCTATATAAGCCTTGGTCCAGAGAAGGGGTTTGACTCTCTTACCAAGCAGACCTCTCTCCCACAGCCCAGAGTGTGTACCGACTCTCTGTGGCACCCTAAGTTATATTCTAAGATATTGTAAATTGTTAATTGTTCTTGAAAATAAAATTGTGATTAGTCTCCTGTGACTCTGGCTCTTTGCTGACTAATTCCCCAAGAAAACCAGCACGTCATTTTGAAGGGATTCTCCACCAAATGACTGATTTACGACACCCATTGTCTGAAGAACATTTGATTGCAAAGGCTCATTACCCTGGAGCCATGACATCTATATGCCTTGAAACATTTAATTGCTGTTATTTATAAGATGCTAATCCTAATTGTTAATCCCCAGTTTTGTGTACATCGACCGTCTGCCATCCTGAACAGTATGTGCAAGTATGTCACTTATGATTTACTGTTTACATTTATATTTATTACTTACTAAATGTCAGGTGACCTTGGCTATATAAGCCTTGGTCCAGAGAAGGGGTTTGACTCTCTTACCAAGCAGACCTCTCTCCCACAGCCCAGAGTGTGTACCGACTCTCTGTGGCACCCTAAGTTATATTCTAAGATATTGTAAATTGTTAATTGTTCTTGAAAATAAAATTGTGATTAGTCTCCTGTGACTCTGGCTCTTTGCTGACTAATTCCCCAAGAAAACCAGCACGTCATTTTGAAGGGATTCTCCACCAAATGACTGATTTACGACACCCATTGTCTGAAGAACATTTGATTGCAAAGGCTCATTACCCTGGAGCCATGACATCTATATGCCTTGAAACATTTAATTGCTGTTATTTATAAGATGCTAATCCTAATTGTTAATCCCCAGTTTTGTGTACATCGACCGTCTGCCATCCTGAACAGTATGTGCAAGTATGTCACTTATGATTTACTGTTTACATTTATATTTATTACTTACTAAATGTCAGGTGACCTTGGCTATATAAGCCTTGGTCCAGAGAAGGGGTTTGACTCTCTTACCAAGCAGACCTCTCTCCCACAGCCCAGAGTGTGTACCGACTCTCTGTGGCACCCTAAGTTATATTCTAAGATATTGTAAATTGTTAATTGTTCTTGAAAATAAAATTGTGATTAGTCTCCTGTGACTCTGGCTCTTTGCTGACTAATTCCCCAAGAAAACCAGCACGTCATTTTGAAGGGATTCTCCACCAAATGACTGATTTACGACACCCATTGTCTGAAGAACATTTGATTGCAAAGGCTCATTACCCTGGAGCCATGACATCTATATGCCTTGAAACATTTAATTGCTGTTATTTATAAGATGCTAATCCTAATTGTTAATCCCCAGTTTTGTGTACATCGACCGTCTGCCATCCTGAACAGTATGTGCAAGTATGTCACTTATGATTTACTGTTTACATTTATATTTATTACTTACTAAATGTCAGGTGACCTTGGCTATATAAGCCTTGGTCCAGAGAAGGGGTTTGACTCTCTTACCAAGCAGACCTCTCTCCCACAGCCCAGAGTGTGTACCGACTCTCTGTGGCACCCTAAGTTATATTCTAAGATATTGTAAATTGTTAATTGTTCTTGAAAATAAAATTGTGATTAGTCTCCTGTGACTCTGGCTCTTTGCTGACTAATTCCCCAAGAAAACCAGCACGTCATTTTGAAGGTATTGTTCACCCAGAACAGTTCCGTGATAATTTGGTGGAGAATCCGGGTATGACAGACTTCTTAGTCTGTCCTTTCCTGTACCTCTTTGCAGCATGGCATATGGTTCACAAAACTGTAGGAAGTGACAGTCTCTTATTAAAAGGATATACTACCTTCCTGGGGGCCAATCACCAAGAACGAAGAAATGGCCTTTAACAAGATTGAAGAAAGAACAAGAACCTGTCAGATCAAGAACAAGTTCTCCGATCCCAAACCTTCCCTGCACGAATATCTTAGCAACACTGCTAAGACTTCCCCTTCAAGACGTCGTTCCTGCACATGACCTAAGAAAAGAAGTATACACGCCTATCCCACAGAGATCCGACCACAGCCATCTTCATGCAGACCCTGCACAATACAGAAACCGCCTCACGGGCACCTACAAGATGGACACTGTGTACAAGATATCTCATTGGGACTTACTAATTTGTGTTTACTTACATGGACTCAATCAAGGATATATATTGTGTGACTGTTGAATATTGCAACCAGGTATGTTTAATCAAAGCCAGTATATTAATGCCAAAATGTGTCTTTCAAAAATTCAGTTTTATATATGTGCAATATACTCCAAATTACATCTTTAGTCAAGCTAGATCTTTGAAGTTATTGTGTAGGGAATCTTTGAAATGTCTCCAAGCCACGCCAGACATATAGATACAGCTAGGGCCCAGACAAACCTAAGCTGTAGGGTTATCGAGTCACACCTTAAAGCTCGACTCGTAATTTCAAAAATCTAAACGACAAAATTTGTCATTTGTTACAAGTAATTAATGTGCACAGTTTGGTACAAAATTGAATGTATTGTCTCGGACACTGAATTCAGATTAGGGATATTCATGGGTGAGCCACCCCCACACATATGTTTATTGTATGTCAGTATTAAGTAATTAACAGCACAGCAGTATTCAGCATTTCAGAGTTTTGATGTCGGAATTAAGGATTTTTTTTTCTTGGGCATCGCACCCACAATATCTGGGCAAGCTCCGTCAAAGACACGGGAAGAGCACCCATTGTACTTAAAAGGGCAATAGTACCCACAAGTACCGTTTCAGTCACGCGGTAAAGCTAGACTCCTGGTTTCAAATTTCTTTATGCGAAATATTTGCTGAGATGTTTAATTTGTACTTTTTATGACATTAATCATTATCATTATTCGGTACTGAGTCGCACCGCCAAGCCAGACTCCTGAATTCAAAGAACCTTCAGTGATATATTTATTGAATCTGTGCAAAGCAGTAATTACCTTGTAGTGAAATTGCACATTACAAAGATCACTTGGTTAGTTTTCAAACTGGCACTAATTCAAATTGGCTAGATGATCACTTTCATACCGTCATTGTATAGATATATTTGTTGCATAAGGATTTCATATAACTGATTTTGATCACATGGTTGTTTTCGTTGGTGAAAAAACTCACACATCAATTTGGACTCATATAAGCTTGGGGTCCAAGCTTCACGTAACGGAGGGAAGTTGTCATGGTGACTGATTTACGACACCCATTGTCTGAAGAACATTTGATTGCAAAGGCTCATTACCCTGGAGCCATGACATCTATATGCCTTGAAACATTTAATTGCTGTTATTTATAAGATGCTAATCCTAATTGTTAATCCCCAGTTTTGTGTACATCGACCGTCTGCCATCCTGAACTGTATGTGCAAGTATGTCACTTATGATTTACTGTTTACATTTATATTTATTACTTACTAAATGTCAGGTGACCTTGGCTATATAAGCCTTGGTCCAGAGAAGGGGTTTGACTCTCTTACCAAGCAGACCTCTCTCCCACAGCCCAGAGTGTGTACCGACTCTCTGTGGCACCCTAAGTTATATTCTAAGATATTGTAAATTGTTAATTGTTCTTGAAAATAAAATTGTGATTAGTCTCCTGTGACTCTGGCTCTTTGCTGACTAATTCCCCAAGAAAACCAGCACGTCATTTTGAAGGTATTGTTCACCCAGAACAGTTCCGTGATAACAGACTAAAACATGGGTTTTTCAGATTAAAAACGATGTTTTATTGGTCTGTTTTCACTAAACATATTTAAAATAATAATAACCCTAAGCGAAGCAGCTGATCGCTATTGCCGGGTATTATTTTTTACATGGAACCAGTCTGACCAGTCACCGTCAAGGCTCCCGTGCACGTGATCGCGTGATCGCGAGAATTACGTGTTGACATAGAATCATCCAACAAAAACAAATCTGACTTTTAACGAATCAAAGTATGGCATTTATGATATATGTATCCATTCTCTGTCAACTAAAATTCCTTTCAAGGCGTCAATAGCGGTAATCTGACCATGGTTGCTGTTAATAACGGTGAGTTGTGCGATCTTCCGATCGCTTCACACACGATTTCGCCGAAATTAATTATAACAATATTAAAAGGAATTTTGAATAAAATTAATGAAATAAGTTACAAACATGAGTCCAGATATACAAAGAACACTTCTTTTTTTTATAGCCAGACAGTGTAATTACATGAATAATTTGCGAACTTCAGTATGGATTTGTTGACATGGTATTTCCGGGGTTACGTGCTCACGGTAATGTCTTTCCATGGGGGGAAAAACATCAAAACTCATTAATTCGTGTATAATGCGTAACCCCTTCTACATAGCTGTGTTTTTTGGAAAAAAGTGCGCACTATACTCAAGAAAATACGGTAGGTATAACTGCTGTTATGAAAATATCGTATGTATCGCGATACATGCTTTCCAAATCGATGCATCGTATCGTGGGCTGTGCATCGGGATACAATACTGTATCGCCGTATCGTTACACCACTATCTTTTAGGCACACAACACTCTTCTCATTCACTTTTTTCTTTCAAGTGTATTCGTGATCAGTTTGGCACATCCCTATTGGATTCTGGGTGGAAATAGTTATCAAGTTTCAGTTATCCAATTACTTTTGCCTTTGAGTAGATATTTTATTTAAGTCATATTTTTGCTGAAATAAACAAAAGAGAAATGTTTTTACTGACACCTTGTAAAAGGCCCCATGAAGTACTATGTCACCATGATTAATACACACAATGTGGCACATAGACATACTGTTGTGCATTCTGAATGCATTGTGCCGTCATTCTTTGTACGGTAGTTATACAATTCTTTCAAAAGAAAAGTTACTAAGACAACGATGAACTGTAACAGTAAAGATCCCTCAGAACATGGTGAATCTACTGACAGCATCAACAGCTCACCTTCAGTGTGGTTGTCTAGAGCATCAAATATCTTTCTGACGGGCCTCATGGCTGCCTCTTTACACAGCAGCTTGATGTCAGACCCTGAATAGCCTTCCGTCATCTGAAAACATTGTCCATTTATGTAAATCAACAACTACATTGGCACAATGTTATATTTCCATAAAAAACAAACACTTTCAAGCCATGTGATCAAAATACACTTCATCCTTAACTGAAGAGCTGACTAAAATACAGACATGTAAATTCAGATTGAAAGATCTGTGACATCAATTCTTGACGCCAAGAGCTCAGTTTAAGCAATGACACATCACAGACTCACTAACAGGCACTATGTTAGGAGCAAAACGAAAACTCAAGGATAAGAATTCTCATGATAGTTAACACATCAACATGCTCAAAGCAAAGTAAAATTAATTTGCAGAGTCCCTGTACACAGAAAAGGTGATGTTTCCATTCTAACAAGGTGATACATCCAGCCACATAGAAACACATACAGTCAAATCCTGTTAATCTGACATGGTTTGTTGCATATGATTATGTCGGAACTAGTATGTCGGATAAGAAAAAATTAAGTAGTAAATTTAGTAATATATTTAATAGCATTATATACACAGTAATAGTAGTCAGGCAGGAATGAACGGTAAGATGGCTCACATTAGCTAATTGTTCGTAGTCAAGATCCGACATTATCTCCACTCCTGAACTATCTTTGGGTACAACTATAGGCGGGAGATGATGCTTGAACATGGCTCTCCTGGCTTCTGTTGTGGGCAGGTTCACTATGATCCGCTTCTCCAACCTCCGCAACATGGCGTGATCTAACTCCCTGCACACATAAAGAACATTCTCTGGTTTGAGCAATACCAAATACACTTTGAAAGCATGGATGTTGAGTAAAACTTAGTGAGTGAGCTGGGTTTAACATCGCACTGAACAGTATGCAAGTCATATCGCGGCATGTCCGTTTGATGTGAGAGGAAAGCCCTATGTAGTGTGTGACCCATTACATGTTTGGCTAATCCTACAAGGTGAGGTGAAATGGGGTTTAACGTTTAGTGGTGTGGTGTGGTGTGGTGTGGTGTGGTGTGGTGTGGTGTGGTGTGTGTGTTTTAGCCCATTAATGCCGAGTGCCAGGCAGGACAACAACAAGTACTATCTTTTAACATCTTTTGGTACCCCTGACCTTCCACTCTGGGCAGACGCTCTACCAATAGGCCATGGAGGCAGTCTGCGAATCAAAGTAACATATGAGTATGGTGCTGACAAACCAAGGATCATAATCAGAGCAAATCAGAACATAGGATCCTGGCCAGCCCAAAAGAAGCCACTCTTGACAGTAAAGGTGCCTTATAATAAGTGGTCCACCGCTGCCTCCAGCAGTAATTCCGATATTCCCTCATCCTTTCCTCGATTTATATTAGTCTTACCAGTGGGAGATACAAATCATTCCGTAACAAATTTAATGGAACTGCACTGAAGGATTTACAGTGCATTTCTACAATGTCTACATCTCTGATAAGCTATAAATCATAAAATATTTTCAAATCTCTTCCTTAAAACATATGTATTTGGTGGTAAGTGATTATTTCATCGAAAGTGAACTTTGAATAAGGATTCCAGATTGAAAACAAAAGCTGGGAGGGCTGCTACCCGGTTTTCCAAAACCTATACCGTTTTTGATCTGATAGCCAATCTTACCTTACAGGACGATCAATAGCACCCATTAGTGACATAAAGAAAAATTGACATTAAAGTAGCAACGGATGAGGGGAGATACACGGATACAGTAAGCACTATGTGAAAAGAGAAATGCTGTTTGTACCATGGTAAGTTGGATGCAGCAAGGAGAAAGACGAGGTCATCTGTCTTGGCCAGTCCATCCATCTGCACCAGTAGCTCTGTCTTCATCCTTCTGCTGCCCTCATGCTCACTGAAACATAGTGTGCCCAAACACTACAGGTGTAGAATAATGCATCACTTGAAGGTATATGCATGTGGGAGGACTGCTTTGACGGGATGACAAACAAGGTCAAGGTATGTTTCAGTGATTCTATATCGTCTAAAACATAATCAGGGCACTCATTTCCCACCATAACTGATGAAAAAGATGTCATTTTCTGCAGTTACCATTCAGATCATAATGTTCTAAATGTGGCACATAACCTACACTTTTGCAAAATATCTGTCTGACCAAAGGCTTAAAAAGATATTAAACTAATTTTACAGACTCTAAACATTATTTTCTTCATGCTTCTACATAATTAACAATCAGGGTGTCCAGTGTGACGTGCAGAGTTACTTTCTGGTCAGGGGCCAGTACTGTACTCATAATGCTTGTAGAAATGGGGCTGGCAAGAGATGCCATCATATCCTCCTTCTCCTCCTACTGCTCACCTCCCCCCACCCTGTGATCCCCGCTGACTCATGAGTGACTCCAGTTCATCCAGGAATATTGTTGATGGTGCATGGAACCTGGCCAGCTCAAACAACACCTGCAACACAGATCCTTCTTGATTGACAGGTCCCATCAACTTTGTTTGATGCTAGTCTCCGTTAATTGGCTACTAACTTTATGAGCTCGTCAAGTAATGGGCATAAATTATATAATCACCTGATTCATGTCATGCCACAGTATTCCTACACCTAGCATGTCTATCAATCTCATCATTTTTGTGTTTTTGATTTATAAAAATATTTTTGCTTAAATTATTGTAGATAACACATGTTTTCATTGTTGAATTTGATTTTAAGGATTCACTGTGTATTTTTTCAGTTAATTGAGATACAGACATATTCTTACAAAAGTTTGCATATCAATTTTTCGATTCCTAATTCCATGAACCGAAAAAAATAAAGAGTCAATCCTTAAATATACAAATGATTTTTTGTATGGACAATAACAAAAGCTTTTATGCGATGACAAAATACTCTCTGTTCATCTAAGAAATTGCTCTGATATTCCAGCAAATAAACATGCGTCCTGCATTATCAACTTGACGTCACTACTAACCCTGACTAACTTTTCCGAGTCTCCTCTCCACTTGCTGACTATGCTGGAGGCAGATATGTTGAAGAAGGTTGTGTTGCATTCTGTAGCTACAGCCTTGGCCAGCAGAGTCTTGCCTGTCCCTGCACAAAACAAGTAGCACCTCTGTACTGTCACACAACACAGGCACACAACACTGTCACACTACACAGTCACAACACAACACACTCACACAACACACACTAAAGCCACACAACACAATCACACTACAGTCACACAACAGTCACAAGTCACACTACAGTCACACAACAGTCACACTACACAGTCACACTACAGTTACACTACACAGTCACAGTACACAGTCACACACTACAGTTACACTACATAGTCACAGTACAGTCACACACTACAGTTACACTAGACAGTCACAGTACACAGTCACACTACAGTCACAGTACACAGTCACACTTCAATCACAGTACACAGTCACACTACACAGTCACACTACAGTCACAGTACACAGTCATTCTACAGTCACACTACAGTCACAGTACAGTCACACTACAGTCACAGTACAGTCACACTACACAGTCACAGTACAGTCACACTACACAGTCACAGTACACAGTTACACTAGACAGTCACAGTACACAGTCACACTACAGTCACAGTACACAGTCACACTTCAATCACAGTACACAGTCACACTACAGTCACAGTACACAGTCACACTACAGTCACAGTACACAGTCACACTACAGTCGTCACAGTACAGTCACACTACACAGTCGCAGTACAGTCACACACTACAGTTACACTACAGTCACAGTCACACTACAGTCACACTACACAGTCACAGTACAGTCACACACTACAGTTACACTACAGTCACAGTACACAGTCACACTAGTCACAGTACACACTCGCGATACAGTCACACACTACAGTTACACTACACAGTCACACTACAGTCACAGTACACAGTCACAGTACACAGTCACACTACAGTCACAGTACACACTCTCACTACAGACACAGTCACAGTACACAGTCACACTTCAGTCACAGTACACACTCGCACTCACGTCACACACTACAGTTACACTACACAGTCACACTACACAGTCACAGTACACAGTCAAAGCACACAGTCACACTACAGTCACAGTACACAGTCACACACTACAGTCACACACTACAGTCACACGACACAGTCACAGTACACAGTCACAATACAGTCACAGTACAACTTGCACTACACAGTCACGCACTACACAGTCACACACTACAGTTACACTACACAGTCACAGTACACAGTTACACTACAGTCACAGTACACAGTCACACTAAAGTTACACTACACAGTCACAGTACACAGTCACACTACAGTCACAGTACACAGTCACACTACAGTCAAAGTACAGTCACACACTACAGTTACACTACACAGTCACACTACAGTGACAGTACACAGTACACAGTCACACTACAGTCACACTACAGTCACAGTACACAGTCACAGTACACAATAACAATACAGTCACAGTACACACTAGCACTTGTCACACACTACAGTTACACTACAGTCACACTACAGTCACACTACAGTCACAGTACACACTCGCGATACAGTCATACACTACAGTTACACTACACAGTCACACTACAGTCACAGTACACAGTCACAGTACACAGTCACACTACAGTCACAGTACACACTCTCACTACAGTCACACTACACAGTCACAGTCACAGTACACAGTCACACTTCAGTCACAGTACACACTCGCACTCACGTCACACACTACAGTTACACACTACAGTTACACTACACAGTCACACTACACAGTCACAGTACACAGTCAAAGCACACAGTCACACTACAGTCACACTACAGTCACACGACACAGTCACAGTACACAGTCACAATACAGTCACAGTACAACTTGCACTACACAGTCACGCACTACACAGTCACACACTACAGTTACACTACAGTCACAGTACACAGTCACACTAAAGTTACACTACACAGTCACAGTACACAGTCACACTACAGTCACAGTACACAGTCACACTACAGTCACAGTACGCACTCGCACTACACAGTCACACACTACAGTTACACTACACAATCACAGTACACAGTCACACTACAGTCACAGTACACAGTACAGTCACAGTACACAGTCACAGTACACACTTGCACTACACAGTCACACTACACAGTCACACTACACAGTCACACAACACAGTCACAGTACACAGTCACACTACACATGATTAAGTCGTAATACTCACTGTCACAACACGTGTTATCACTCACTGTCACCATTCACTGTCACAATACACAGGATTCACAATCCTCACCAGACTTTCTGGACATTGGAACATAACAAACACATGAACGTGTACCTTGTTTACAATTACTGTTTGATACACAGTAAATACAATTGTACTTCATGTACTTCTGAGTAATGGGTCAAAATGACTACTGTCATGACTATGTTTATGATCAGACTGGGGCCTCTAACTAGAACCACAGCTGGGATCATACACACAAATTCCATCATCATGAATAGGGAGCATCACAAGCCTCTGGGGCATTGTGGATGTCAAAGGTCACATCGGAACAGTTCTATGACACATTATATTGCTGAAACAACCTATACAGGTTCAGCTTCAAGGCTCTTGTGCCAACAGACAATGAACAACAGTCAACATGCTAAGACAAAAGAATGAAATATATACATAATGAGCATGTCTGATTATGTGCAATGTTTTTATACTCACCTGATGCTACACTGTGCTTTAGCTTCCCTACCTTATACAGACAGACAGTACTGGAACAAATAAACAGCCCGTGCCTAGGCATCCACGAGTTATCCCCCTTGGCCCCTACTCCTCATATTCTTCACTGGGTCACATCAGACTTGGAGTACACAGTCGTGCCAACTGTAAGACGGAGGAGAAGGATGGAGTCCTGGTGGGCCTATAGGTGTAGCATCAGGTAAGTATAAAAACATTGCATTTAATCAGAAATGCTCATGTTTTACCATACCTGACGCTACACAGTACTTTATTCGACTGATGGAAGGTGGGCTTACCGTGAGAAGCGCCAGGCACACTGAAAAAGCACAACCAAAACCGTCCAGCAGGAAACCTAGCAGGCGACAGCAAGGTAGCGGCTCCCGGAACGGCAGGCAAGGGGATAAGATGGAGGTCTGACGGTAGAGAGAACAATGCTTTACTGAGGGTAAAAGCAAGGCATTCCGTATCCGGCTCAAAAAGAAGGGGAGAAACAGGACCAAACTTTACTAGGTACCAACATAAAAGTACCCAGCAACCCAAGAGGAAACAGCACAAGGGATGGTCCTACCTTGGCAATATGCATCGGCGGGGCCAGCGGGGCTGCAGACAACCACGTTCCTCGGAATCAGCACAGTCAATGGCGTCAGCGGTTGGTCAGCTGCTGGGCCAGGACAAATGGATCAAAGCTATGTATACCCTCGATGTCCTCCACAGAAATGTTGCGAAGATAATGGCTGGCGAAGACAGTAGTAGATGACCAGAAGCAACCCTCCATGATGGAAGGGACGGAGACGTTAGCATGGAGGGCCAGCAAAGAAGACAGGGCACAGATCTCATGTGGATTGGAGGCTGTAGGTGGTGGTAAGTCAGCACAACGATAAGCCTTCAGGATAGCAGAATGAAGCCAAAGAGAGACTGTATTACAAGAGATCTCTGCACAGCCACGGCTGGAAAGAGAGATGAACAGCCTCTGGCACTGCTTGCGATGCTGCTGAGACACCTGAAGACAATGTCGGGGGGCCCTAACCAGTCAGAGGGCGAGCTCCAGGTCCTCATCAGGGCCGACGATCTCCGAAAGAGACGGGACGTTAAACTGCCAATCAGGTTGGCCGGGCAGATGGTTTTTGGCGATAAAGTCCCAACAAAGGCCAAGGTGAACCAAACCGTGAGGACACTGGTCGAACCAAACACGGGTCACACCCAGGGCATGAAGCTCGCTAACCCCGGCAGCTGTCGCAAGGGCCAGGAAAAAGCAAGTTCTTCAAAGAGATCTTCAAATGAAGCAGACGCAAGTGACTCATATGGAGCCTGGCATAAATCCTGCAAAACAACATTGAGATCTCAAGCTGGGGGGGGCAAACTTCTTAGTCTGGTCCTTCAGCCAAAAACCTCGGACCATGGCAAAAAGGACCGGGACTGATATTAGCCTGTGACCTCTAGCGATCTTGAGGACAGAATTGAGCGCAGCAAGATAGTCACAATCGTGGAACCAGCTAGGTGACGTGATTGGCAAAGGAAAACCAAACAGTCATCCACATGTGGAATGGTGGCCTCCACAGGAACAATGTGCCTGGACAAGCACGAGGCCTGGAACAACCGCCACTTGTCATCATATATGGAACGAGTGGTGGGATGATGAGCTCTGGAAACAGCGGGCGCAGCAGGAGCTAAAAATCCTTTAGCGATCAGTGACTTCTGGAGGCACGCCAAACGTGCAGACTGCAACCGTCAGGGTCTGGATGCAGTTGTCTGGTGTGAGGATTGAGCAGAAGGTTTGGCCATGCCGGGAGACGTAACACAGGTTCTCCTGCGAGCTGAAGGAGCCTGGGAAACCAATCTGCGACGGCCAGTAAGGCGCGACCAAAAGCAGAGGACAGGCCAGGGCTGCCTTCAGAAGGACCTGGGGGAGAGGAACTGGGGGTGGAAAAGCTGATGCGCTTAGGCCGACCCAGGACAGAGCGAGGCCATCTACCTCCCAAGCAGCAGGAGACACGTACACTGGCAATTGGTGGTTGCACACCGTTGCGAAGAGATCTATGTTGGGAGTCACCAGGTGATCGCGTAAGAACCGGAAGGCTTCCGGGTGGAGCATCCACTCTGTGGGGGAGGACGATCGGGTCCTGCCAGGGAGTTGGCTAAGACATTGCGACAACATGGAATGTGACAGGCTCGTATCAGAAGACGGAGACCGTTGGCCAGATGAAACAGGCAAAAGGTCTGCTCCAGGAGACAAGCAGACCGAGTCGACCCTTGCCTGTTGATGTAATACACCACTGTGGAGTTGTCCAGTGCGACCATGTGACAGCTGTTGCGGAGGATCTGATGCCAATGAGATTGTTGATGTGCCACCTACGTTCCGAAGGAGTCCAAAGACCGGAAGCAGTTTCCTGGAGAAGGTGGGCGCTCCATCCTTGTGGAGATGGTGAGTGGCCTCGAAGCTTGTCATAGAGGAACAACTCAAGATGTTCGATGGGACTAGCCACCACTCCAGTAACAGATGTAATTCCCTTGGCAGAGGAAGAAGGGGACCCGACAGATCTGAGCAGGAGAAACCGCTGAAGGGGACGCAGTTGAAAACGACCCCTGGACGTCAGATCCTGAGCTGAGGTCAACAGCCCGAGAAGGCTCTGCCACTGGTGGAGATTGAGAGGTTGAGAGAGGGCTCTCCTGATCCCGGATTGGATCACCACGAACCAATCCGGAGGAACCTGTATCAAGGAGAGGTCTGTCAGAAAGAGACCGCCTATGAAAGTGAGATGGCGAGAGGGAGTCAGATCCGATGCTGATCATCCAACCCAACGGATGGAGGAGGCGAAGGGTGAAAGGTCAGGGTCTGATTGATGCCATGACTGAGGATGCAGTTGTTGAGGTAGGCTCCAAACCGAATCCCCCTGCGGCGAAGGAAGGCAACGATGGGATGGGTTATACGTATGAATAACCAGGGAAATGCCAAATGGGAGATGGAAATGGTGATGATCCAAGGCAGTATTGTAGGTAAGTCGACATGTGTACATGTGTACATGCTGTTGCCAATCCAAGACAGAAAGGAGCTGGTCATTAGCCCCAGATGTCTAAGCAGTCCTGTATGGCCGAGTTGGTGGAAGCCACTGCCGACAGTGGATAAAGAGAGTGACGGAGAGCGGCATCCATTCTACCAAGTTGCAAATCTGTCATCTGAATCGAGGTACTGGGCCGAGAAGAACCTACGAGCATACGAACGTCTTCATCGACAGGAGGGCAGACGTTGGCAAATTACATGGAGTGAAAAGGATAGTGTTCCTTCCGAAATCTGGGAACTTGAATTGATGGCTGGACATGCAGTGTCGTCTAATGACCTGGCCACATCAGCTACCAACTGGTCACGAGGGAGTAGAACTTCTCCAGGCTCCAAAACTTTGTGCTTCACTTGGGGGGAGGCATCTTGCCCAGGCAAAGCACAAGGGACATGATCTACAAGCCAAGCAGCCATATCGGCAGGAGTGAGAGACTTGTCCACTGACGCTTCGTTATAGTCCATCACAAAATGTTGCTCAGAAAAGAATAGGAGGAGTAGGGGCCAAGGGGGATAACTAGGCACGGGCTGTAGTCTGTCTAAACTGTCTCTTCATTCCAATACTCTCTGTTTGTATAAGGTAGGGAAGCTAAAGCACTGTGTAGCATCAGGTAAGGTAAAACATGCATTTTACTAGAAACCACAAAGTAAGATGCTGTGTTATCCAGTGAGGGTAAAATGTACCTGGAGGCCCATACAACAGAAGTCCCTTCCATGGAGACAGAATTCCTCGAAACAACTGGGGATACTGAAAGATATAGCAGGTGGTGTCAAATTATGGTCACCTATCACAGAACCACACAAACTGTGTCTACTAGTTAAACAACCAAATTGCTATTAATTCCTTGTCACTTACTTCTTACCAGACACATAATAACAGCAATCACATATTTGGATATATATTGTACCACAACCCTCTCCCCAACATACTGAATAGAGTTTAGCTTTGGATAAATCACATTTTTACTTTCAAGACAACACAACGGCATAAGTCATCATTATTATTATGACAATGACAATGATAGATGGTATCATAAAGTAGAACATACCTAGCATGCCAATAAACACGATAGATATTTTGGCAAGAATGCAGTATACCAGACACCTTCCACCATTTTGGTAAGGGTTGTGCACAAGCTCATTCCTTAGTAAGGGTTTCAAATCTTTTCAGACACCATTTTTGTCGCCTCAATAAAATAACAGAGGGTTTGGGGGGCTTGTCCAACACACAACAGCTGGAATTAAATGCTTTCGTAAGTAAATGTATTGTTTGATTTTAAAAGTAGATATAAAATATGTGTTCGCTGAAATGTGGCTCCAACGGATGTCACTGATGAGGTCATTTTCTCTGTATATTTTGAGCATTATTGCCCTAATTTTCAAATAGAGATGTCGTCGCAAGCAGCCTTATTAGCAGCATAAAACAAACATGGCAGATAGGCGTCTGGTATAATGCACGTGTACCAACATTTCTTACCCTGATGGGATAAACAACAGCTTCTTTAACAAGTCGCTTTGCCTCATCTAAACCTATAATGTCATCCCACGTAACATTGGGATTCTGCAGGTATATGTCCTGCAAACAGATAATAGAAGGTATGGCACACATTCATATTCACATTTGTACAGGTAGAACTGATGACATATAATCTGTGATGTCAGTCTCATTAAAATCAGATCTTTTACTCCCATATGATATCTCTGAGTGAAGATATGGCAAACCCTCTTTATGGGGTCCCATCAGCTCAACTTTCTAATCAGTCAATTAGTGTTGATGCTTCAAGATTCTTGGTATGAGCGAATGTATTCAGTTTTCTGTATCTAAAAAAAACCAGGCAGTTCCAAATGAAAAAAATAAGAGCACACTAAATGTGTTGTGGATATTTTACACACTCTGTTGTATCTGAGCACTATGGGAGTATGGCATCTACACCTAAAAGGGTGAACTATCTTGAGAATATTTATGTTCTGGATGTTCTGTGTAGGATTTATTCATTAAGACAGAAATTTCAAAATCATGGTGGCAAAGAAATGAAACCAAATCAGAAAGCTGACATCTGATTCACATTGGGCTGTCAAAGTTCAGTCAGTTTTCATGTGTCACAACCTCATATGGAGGGTTGGTCATATCTTCATGCAGAGAGGTATTGTATCAGGGAGATAGATCAGATTTTGAAGATCCATTTCCTTCTTTGACAGTGCACCCCTATATTCCACCACCTACACAGTTCTTCTTGGAGCAGGGGCTTCAGGTATGAGTGTGGAGACTACTTACCCTGCTTATAACCTGTGCTAGTTCTCTCATCTCACTGCTGTAGCCGACATAGCCTCCCAGAGGCTTCATCACCCGGTCCTAGAAACAAAGGTACAATTACAAACAATATCACTGTATGTACTGTTACATACATTACTGTACTGTACCGTATTCAGAGTAAATGTCAACATCAGTTTAACATTATGATCATGTTCTCTGGTGTAGTGAACAAACCACTTTGCAACCATTACTGCACAATGTTTTAAATTGTTTGATAGGCATTACTAAGAAGTTGATGGATGACAAGGTAGACATAATTTTATGGATAACAACTTCTTTAATACTGTGAAAAGAGACGTTCCGGTATAGATCCTTATATCATTGTCAAGCAAGACAATGTTGTCAGTAAATGTCACATTAGTTCTTTGAAATCACCAGATAAAGATGTTTTGGTCACCTATTCATTTTTATTTACAGAGAGATAGTAATAGTATCATTCAGGTTGAGGACAAAAAACACTACAGCAACAGAAAATACGGGGGGAGGGTGTCCCATTATTTACCACCGGCTACAAAATTGGTCACATTAAAAACAACTAAAACAAAAACAAAGCGTTAGACATCGGTAATCCATGTAATAGATAGAATAGACCACTTCATCATGTTCATATCCCATGTATACACAATACAGATGTTTGTTTGTTTGTTGTTTCGTGATGGACTCAGCAATATTCCAGCTATATGAGGGCGGTCTGTAAATAATCGAGTCTGGACCAGACAATCCAGTGACAGACATCATGAGCATCGATCTACACAATTAGGATACAATGACATGCATCTACCAAGTCAGCCAGCCTGACCACCCAATCCCGCCTCTTACGACAAGCATAGTCATCTTTCAGGGCAAGCATGGGTTGCTGAAGACCTCCTCTACCCCAGATCTTCACAGAAGTATTTAGTGATGTTGATAACACATGTAAGAATTGACTTTCACTTAGTGTGAGTTATATGAGTATGAACCTTCATTATTGTCACTGAATGCATAATCACTGGGCCATCCAACCTAACCACCATAATGAGTATAAAATAAACAAGCATGAAATACTCACATCCCCAATATGACATGTCGGGTGTGTGCAATGCATTAGCTCCTGAGAACTATGTTCACTGGGCCTTTTTGTAAAGAAATATAGTACGTTTTTCAAGATCTGCTCCGGAAACGAGGACTACCTCCATTTTCAGTCTAAATCAAAGTCGTTGCCATGGAAACTCGAAAAATAACTTTTAAAAAAAATCCAGAACTATCCAAAGGCACCAGTTCACCACTAGACCTATCAATGTGCAAAATATGGTGAAGAAAAATGGAACGGTTTTCAAGATCTGCTCCGGAAACGAGGACTACTCCCATTTTCAGTCTAAATCAAAGTCGGTGCCATGGAAACTAAAAAAATATTGTTATTAAACATGCCAAACTATCAAAAGGCACCAGTTCACCACTAGACCTATCTATGTGCCAAGTATGACGAAGAAATATGGTACGGTTTTCAAGATCTGCTCCGGAAACGAGGACTACTGCCATTTTCAGTCTAAATCAAAGTTGTTGCCATGGAAACTCGAAAAATAACTTTTTTTTTAAATCCCAAACTATCAAAAGGCACCAGTTCACCACTAGATCTATCTATGTGCCAAGTTTGGTGAAGAAATATGGTACGTTTTTCAAGATCTGCTCCGCAAAACCAGGACTACCGCCATTTTCAGTCTAAATCAAAGTTGTTGCCATGGAAACTCGAAAAATAACTTTTTTTAAAATCCCAAACTATCAAAAGGCACCAGTTCACCACTAGATCTATCTATGTGCCAAGTTTGGTGAAGAAATATGGGTTTTTCAGATTAAAAACGATGTTTTATTGGTCTGTTTTCAGTCGTACAAATGGGTATCTCTCATACCCTCACGTCTAGTCGCACGTTTAAGAGGAAGCCAGAAGCTGGAATGTAAACATTAAACTTGTTTCCGTCCGGTTGCGCACGCACCTCCCTATGACATGTCACAAATCTCGAAGAATAAGCCATCAAGCAGGACTGGACTGGATTACTTCCCAGTGGGGATGGCTGGGTGGGAACGTACGACTGAAAACAGACCAATAAAAAATCGTTTTTAATCTGAAAAACCCATGTTTTAGTCTGTTTTCAGTCTTACAAATGGGTAGAATTCGACGGAACACTGGAAGGAGGGTCGGGAAAGTAATCAGGCAGTGACCACTTTCACGTCGAATGTACCAAGTTCCTCACCCCTGTAGTGACAATAGAACATTCGACCAGATGCACGGACGAGACAAGTTGTTTATCACGAACGCACAGCATGGTTAATGCTCTTCGACACACAACTAATTATCGATGCGACAGGCCAACTGCACGCGTCAGTTGAACTGCGATCGAAGTGTGGTCGACGAATAGTTTAGTTACAGAGCAACTCGCAGTATACAAGGTAACTAAAACAGCATGTTTAATGCTCTTCGATTCACAACTAATTATCGAAGCGACAGGACAACTGCACACGTCAGTTGAATTGCGATCGAAATGTGGTCGGCGTATAATTTAGTTACAGAACAACTCTCCGTAGACAAGGTAACTAAAATAGCATGGTTAATGCTCTTCGACACACAACTAATTATCGATGCGACAATACAACTGCACACGTCAGTTGAACCCGGATCGAAATGTGGTCGGCGTATAATTTAGTTACAGAACAACTCTCCGTAGACAAGGTAACTAAAATAGCATGGTTAATGCTCTTCGACACACAACTAATTATCGATGCGACAGTACACCTGCACACGTCAGTTGAACTCGGATCGAAGTGAGGTTGGCGCATAATTTAGTTACAGAGCAACTCGCAGTATACAAAGTAACTAAAAAATACGAGCAGTATTATAATGTATGGGAAGACGATGCATACACCGAATAACCATAATAAAAAGCAGAAGTACTGCACGCAACAAAAAACCATAAGAATGCGTACATTCACCAACAGCTTTTATTGTAACCTGTAGTATGTCACGAAGTGTCGAGCAAAAACTCCAAAGTGAATAAAACACAAATTCACTGTCTTTTCTGAGAGATCTGTTGTGCCACCACGAGTGGTCCAAACTGTTTGAGTCCTTCAACATCTTCTGTGGAGATATCTCTAAGATAATGCGAGGCAAACACTGAAGTAGATCTCCAAAAGCAGCCCTCAATAATAACTTGTAGCGAACAATTACTGTGGAGTGCTAATGTTGAAGCGATGTCTCGAACTTCGTGCGGATGAGAGGAGGTGGGAGGTGCGAGTCCTTGCGCCTCGTAAGCTCTGAGAATTACCGCTCTCAACCAAAATGAGAGAGTATTACGTGTAATCACTTTCTTTGCATTGGTTGAGAGCGGTATGAACAGCCGTCGAAAATATTGTCGTCGCTGTTCAGAACGCTGCAGGTAAATACGAAGCGCACGAACTGGGCACAAGGTGAGATCAGCATGATCATGAGGGCCCATAATGGCAGACACGGAAGGAATGTGGAACATTCTCGGATCTTGGCCAGGAAGTTGATTTTTCGGTAAAAAATCCCATCTGAGACCAAGATGGACGTTGCCATGGTTACGCTGATCGAACGTAATCCGACCGATGTCAATGGCATGTATTTCCGTAATTCTCGCAGCCGTAGCCAGCGAGAGAAGGAAAACCGTTTTCTGAGACAATAAGTCGAACGCGACCTGATCCAGAGGCTCGTAAGCCTGACTAGACAGGTTGCGCAGAACGACATTGAGGTCCCAGGCCGGCGGTCGGAATTTACGTGACTGATCTTCAACCATGAAGGCACATAGAATCTTCTGCAACTCCGGTACGTAAGTGAGCTTGTCGCCCGTAGGAGACGGCACTACTGAAGCCAAAGCTGCCAGATATGTCAAGATCGTCGACCCTTTCAGACGCCGAGATGACCGGAGAGAGACTAGGAACTCCACCACTTGTGGTGGGGTCGCTACCGCCGGGTTGAAGCCATGAGACCTGGCGAAAATGGTAAAAGTGGTCCACTTGTCATCTTACAGCTTACGATGTGCCGACGAGACAAGCGCTGCCGCTTTAGCCGAATAGCCTTTCTTCATTAACGAGGTCTTAAGCAAACCCAGGCGTGAAGCTGGAAGTTCTTTATCCCCGGATGTTCTTTATCCCCGGATGCAAGTCGTCGGTGTGAGGATGAAGAAGGAGGTCGTCTCAATCTGGCAACGGGAACGGTGGTTGATCGATGATCTGAAGAAGTTCCGGAAACCATGTTCTGGCCGGCCAATAAGGCGCGACCAAAAGCAGACGTAGGTTGGCCGTTTGACGAACTTTCACCAGTTGCGATGGTAACAGCACCGTTGGTGGAAACACGTAAGCGTCTAGACCCCCCCACGATATCGCTAGAGCGTCGTGGTCCCATGCCCGTGGGTCTGGAACCGGCGACACGAATCGAGGGAGGCGGTTGTTGTACGGGGCTGCAAAGAGATCTACTTGAGGCAACCAGAGTCGATCTGTCAGCAGATGAAAGACTGTCGGATGGATCATCCACTCCGTGGGAGACGGCCTTAATGGTCTCGACAGGGCGTCAGCAATCACATTCTTGGCCCCCGGGATGTGACGGGCGCGAACGCCCATGTCCAAGTCGTCGACGAGGGCGAAGAACCTGAATGTCCGGTCCAGAAGGGCCGCCGACTGAGTTGTTCCCTGTTTGTTGACGCAGTGGACGACTGTGGAGTTGTCCGACTGTATCATCAGCCGTTTCCGACGGAGTCGAAGTTTCCAAAACTCGACCGCCCGAATCACTGCTTCCATCTCGAGGCAGTTGATGTGGAGGACCTTTTCTACCACAGCCCGGCCGCTTGGTCGTCCCCGAAGTGCGCTCCCCAGCCTTCCAATGACGCGTCTACAAATAGGTGTAGTATGAACGGAGGCTCGCTCATAAAGATGCCTTCGCAAACGTTCGACCACTCCAGATGACAACGTAGCTGCGCCGGAAGTGGAACCAGGAGATTGGGAAACTCCAGGTGGGGGTACAGCAATCTCTGCAGCGGACGAAGTTGAAAACAACCTCGACGAGTCAAGTCTTGGGCCGATGTCAACAGACCGAGGACTTCCTGCCACGTGTGCACCAGGGTGCAGAGTCCAAGGATCGAACCGATGACCTTCTCTGCTTGTAGCGCTGGTCAGCGGCCCGCTTCGCCAACGCACGAAGATACAAGTTAAAGTTTATTGAAGACAAGTTCTCACATTCTTTACAACGTTTATTCCACAAACACGTTGAAAACCCGTCCTTAATGATGCAGGAAGGACAATACTTGTGAGGGTCTACTTTAGACAGTTTTCGTTGACACGAGGCACCAATGCCCGACATATTGCCACGTGTAGAATCACTGTCAAACAGCGAAACACGCGTTGAACACAAACAATGGATTACCAAGGATTACATTCCAGGAGTCTACAGGTAAGACATATTATTACTTTATTAGAACAACTGTAGATAAGCGATAAGTACTAGTAGAATACAAACTAGAAGTCTACAGCGAAAGACTTTCTCGAGCGACCAGCGCAGAGGCGCGCTGAGAGATTTGTGACATGTCATAGGGAGGTGCGTGCGCAACCGGACGGAAACAAGTTTAATGTTTACATTCCAGCTTCTGGCTTCCTCTTAAACGTGCGACTAGACGTGAGGGTATGAGAGATACCCATTTGTACGACTGAAAACAGACTAAAACATGGTACATTTTTCAAGATCTGCTCCGCAAAACGAGGACTACCGCGATTTTCAGTCTAAATCAAAGTTGTTGCCATGGAAACTCCAAATAAAACTTTTTTTTAAATCCCAAACTATCCAAAGGCACCAGTTCACCACTAGATCTATCTATGTGCCAAGTTTGGTGAAGAAATATGGTACGGTTTTCAAGATCTGCTCCTCAAAACGAGGACTACCGCCATTTTCAGTCTAAATCAAAGTCGGTGCCATGGAAACTCGAAAAATAACTTTTTTTAAAATCCCAAACTATCCAAAGGCACCAGTTCACCACTAGATCTATCTATGTGCCAAGTTTGGTGAAGAAATATGGTACGGTTTTCAAGATCTGCTCCGGAAACGGGGACTACCGCCATTTTCAGTTTAAATCAAAGTCGTTGCCATGGAAACTCAAAAAAAATTTTTTTTTTAAATCCCAAACTATCAAAAGGCACCAGTTTACCACTAGATCTATCTATGTGCCAAGTTTGGTGAAGAAATATGGTACGGTTTTCAAGATCTGCTCCGGAAACGAGGACTACCGCCATTTTCAGTCTAAATCAAAGTCGTTGCCATGGAAACTAAAAAAATAACTTTTCTAGAAATCCCAAACTATCAAAAGGCACCAGTTCACCACTAGATCTATCTATGTGCCAAGTTTGGTGAAGAAATATGGTACGTTTTTCAAGATCTGCTCTGGAAACGAAATGTGACGGACGGCCGGACGGACGGCCGGACGGAAGGACAGAAGGACGGCCGGACGGAAGGATGGATGGACGGCACCCATTCCTATATCCCCCTTCCACTTCGTGGCGGGGGATAATAATCATGATAACATCTTATCCTCAACTCTTATCTTGCATAACTTACATTGGAATCTATCCCCTCTTCAACATTCAGCTTTGTAGCATCATTTATCATAGACCGTATATCAATGATATGTCCTCCCTGAATAAACAGAGCAATGATTGTATTGGAACAAAGACTAATACACAAAATTTTGTTTGTCACTTTGTTTGCTTGTTTTTCGACACCACACTCAGCAACACTCCAGCTATATGACGATTGGCTGTAAATAATTGAGTCTCAACCAGACAATGCAGTGATCGATATTGTGAGAAACAATCGTTGACAAGCATTCAAACCAAGTCACTGATCCTGACCACCCAATCAACAAGATGCCTCCTACAAACAGCATAGGTTGCTCGAGTTTGGACCAGACAATCCAGTGATTGACATCATGAGCATCAACCCACGCATATGGGATCTCATTAAAGTCACCGAGCCTGACCACTTGATCCATTTAGTCGCGTGTTACCACAAGCATAGGTTGTGGAGACCTATATTCTTACCCAGACTCCCCTTAGGCCTAAGGTGCATATATGTTGCAGTTAACAATATACATATACACAATACACAAACATAGAAATAAAATAGCATAGCATTTTGAAGATTCAGCTTTCAGCAAAAAAGCTGCATGTTAACCTTTAACCATCTTCCCGAGGCAAGAGAGTTAACTGACTATAAAAGTCCAGTTTCCACCCTTGCCGAACTAGGCTGGTATTAGTTACATTTTGGCTGGACTAACGAGTCTATGCATAGTCCAATCAAAATTGCGCACCGAAATCGAAATCGGGTTCGTAAAGTGTCATGCAGATTTCGGTCGACTGCGGGATTTGCAAAGCATGTGCATCGCTAACTGGTTGTTAACAGATATTTTCTAAATCTTTTCATGCTTTTAATCAAGGTGCTCACGTGATTTGATGCATTTCGCGATGTAAGACTCGTTTTATCACAATATAGATCTTGATTATCAATCAGATCGTCTTGACTGGGCGCCACTGTTTTGTTTGAAGCAAATGTAAGTGATACGAGAGGTGGAATCTGATTGGTCAATAGGAGAGGCATAGAAAGGACATAACACGTAATAGCCACTGGTGGCGCTACGATCGAGCCCAGAATTCCAGCCTAGTTTGGCAAGGGTGGAAACTGGACTTTTAAAGTCAGTTAACTCTCTTGCCTCGGGAAGATGACCTTTAACATGTTTAAGTCAGGTGAGTTAAAAATTCAAATCAACTTTGCCATCAAACTTTGTTTAACTATTCACCTGTAAACCGCATGGCACCACAATTACATTTGTTGCACAGTATTTGATAGGATATGTGTTCTCCTTCAGAAGATATCAGTTAGTTTGAAAAAAGACTATCACTGTCCTCCAACAAACAAATTTTCCTCACCTTCCCTCTCTGGAATGCCTTGTGTGGACTCTCTACTGGTGTGTTGTCATGGGAATTCATGCCCGTCACAGTCAGTCCTTGTAATGCCAACCCTGTAGTGTCTCCATTAGCCAGTGCCCCATTTGAGTGTACATGGCCATTATGTGCTGCTGCTGATGCTGATGGTGGTTTCCGTGTACCGGACACAGTCCTCCTGGTCTTGGCTGACTGAGGACGGTTGGAACCTGAAGCTTGGGGAGGGCTGGGCTGACGCTGTCCTTGAGGGATCTTTGGTAGAGACGGGGTTGTGGATTTCACACTGAAACATACAACTCTGAAATGCAATTTGTTTGCTAATCTGATTATAATACATTACCTTTTGGCATGACGAGTTGTCTGCAATCTACTTGGCCACTACTCCAGAGCCCCTGGTAAATTTATTTTGGTCTTGAAAACTAAGTTCATAATCATCCATATATAATGTATATTGAGACTAAAATCTACTGAAAATGATACCAAAGACATGTTTGGCACAAAAAACTAAAGCTTGATTAGCCATTTTAGCACAGAACTATTTGAGACATGTTGCATTTTGGATACATGAATATACTGAGATGTTCTGGTTGAATGATGATGTAATCAGTACCTGTTTGCACGAGCAAGCTTTCCTCTCCTTTCTCCAGCTGGATGAAAGAAAAATGAACACTTCAATGTCAGGACAGGATAAAGAGGTACAGACTTCAAGGACAAAATGCAATTTCTCTTTTGTGAAAGTTAAGTTATTATTTAACCAGTATATCTGTATTTGTAATTTTCAAAACCATAACCATGCTAAACACTTGTCCAAGTAGGCAAGGCAACATTAGAGCTTGTAAGATTTAACATACCGGTAACATTAAATACAGTGTCACCAGCTGTGTACTCCTACAAGCTTTAATCAAACTGAATGGGCTTATCATGGAGGTCTGCTGACAGGGGGTTGAAATTACCTATTTTTTGTAATGTTTTTTATGACAAGCATGAGGTACTAGGGCCCTTTTCTGATTCAGGATCCCCATAGGGATTCATCATCAAGTACTGTGCATGATGTATAAGATTACATTCTGCTTTGTTCAAGTTTATTTGTACATCTGTTTCTGTAAGCTGCAGTCAGTAATATTCCACCAAAATGCTGGTATTTTTCCAAACAATGTTTAGGGATTTCAAAACATCAAATGACACCCATATTCTAAACAAATGAGCATGTTTTCATGGCCTAATGACAAATGCTGAAGCAGTGTGTGCCGAATACTCTGGGTGTCGAGTACATAGAAACTAAGTGTGAAGGTCAATAACTGAGGGGGAGTGCACATGGTGCAGACATATTTTAATACAAAACCGTGAACCATTCCCATACCTCCAAAATGTGCTAGATGAAGGAGCTGTACATGGAAGGAAGGATTACATAGAACTGTCTCATCTTGTATTAACTAATCAACAGTGTCAACTAGGATTACCATTCTGTATTCTATGATCATGTTTTATCTTCATTCATGTGTCACCTCCATCATCTAGAACATTTCATGTGTCACCTCCATCATCTAGAACATTTCATGTGTCACCTCCATCATCTAATATATTTCATGTGTCACTTCCATCATCTAGAACATTTCATGTGTCACCTCCATCATCTAATATATTTCATGTGTCACTTCCATCATCTAATATATTTCATGTGTCACCTAAAATATCTAGTATATTTCATGTGTCACCTCCATTATCTACCGTATATGACAGCGTATAAGCCGAATTTTGAGGACCAGAAAAAAGATTCTGTACAAAGGGGTCGGCTTATCCACGGGATACTTTCATGATAGTATTTTTCAGATCGTGATCTGTCAGAAACATCGCCTGAATGACGGTCCAATAGATTACAACTTCCCGAAAGTTTGGAAGTTGCCACGACTAGAGCCATTATTGTTATAAATTATCAATAAAGTTGTTATTATACACCAATGTTGTCATTATTTAAAAAATGTTATGCATGTTACTACTTCCGATAATAAGTTTTCAATTGAATGTTCAGTGTTTATCGTTCTTCATAAACTCCACAATCTTTACATGTAACAATATATGTAATTCACAGCTATAATATATAATCCCCAGAAGAAATCGCCAATAGCTATTAAGTACGTTTTGCAAGGTTCATAAATTGTTAGTGAACTAGTGTCTACCTTTATTGAAAGAGGCAAATAAACAACTGTAACGGCGAGTTATTCCGTTCGCCATTTGCAAAAACATGTCATCAGCTGTTTCCTGTGACATCACAAACGGTGACCACTGTGATTGCTTCCTGTTCTTTAAAAAGCAACACGGTACACAAGGAAATGAGCACAGATAATAACGTGCCGATTGGTATAGTCATGTTGTTTACACAAACATTTTCAAGTTGTGGCTGCTTAGCGATCGTGTTGGAAGTAGGGGCTTAATTCCTTTGTTTTCGAGAGATTAATTTAATAAACTGGAGAAGCCTGTGAGTAAGTGATGGTCATTCAATGTGTTCATAGTTTATCTAATTCAATTGGATTAACATACAATAGTGGTATAAAGGGGGTTATAAAAGTTGGTATATTTTTACTGACTGACATTCTTATCATAAGTTTGAAACGAAAACGCTATGCTTACGATGCTGAATTCAAACTGCGAGTCTTCGCTCTAGCTGATATATTTTCTCACGGGTTCATAAACCTATATACACTGATTCACAAAATGGCGCTTCATTGTTGATGGCAATATATTACGATCATAATGAGATTTTTAAAAAACAAGAGAAACAGCTTCCCAAAGTGGATGACTGGTTTGTTAAATCTTTATTAGAAATAATAATGACTTTTTCAATATAATTAAAACGTTTTTCATCTTATATTTTATAATATCTGCGAGTACCAGCACATGGCACATATCTTGCAGTCCGACTTCGCAGTGTTTTTTGCCTTTCACTTCCTGGTTCGGCTTATCTGCGGGTCATATCATTTTCTTTCGTATTTCAATGGTCAAGTTAACACCTCCACTTATCTACGGGGTCGGCTTATCCACGGTCATATACGGTAGTATATTTCATGTGTTACCTCCATCAGCTAGTATATTTCATGTGTCACCTCCATCATCTAGTATATTTCGTGTGTCACCTCCATCATCTAATATATCTAATGTGTCCCCTCCATCATCTAGTATATTTCATGTGTCACCTCCATCATTTTGTATATTTCATGTGCCACCTCCATCATCTAGTATATTTCATGTGTCACCTCCATCATCTAGAACATTTCATGTGTCACCTCCATCATCTAGAACATTTCGTGTGTCACCTCCATCATCTAGAACATTTCGTGTGTCACCTCCATCATCTAGTATACTTCATGTGTCACCTGCATCATCTAGAACATTTCGTGTGTCACCTCCATCATCTAGAACATTTCATATGTCACCTCCATCATCTAGTATATTTCATGTGTCACCTCCATCATCTAGTATACTTCATGTGTCACCTGCATCATCTAGAACATTTTGTGTGTCACCTCCATCATCTAGAACATTTCATATGTCACCTCCATCATCTAGTATATTTCATGTGTCACCTCCATCATCTAAATAATTTCATGTGTCACCTCCATCATCTAGAACATTTCGTGTGTCACCTGCATCATCTAGAACATTTCGTGTGTCACCTCCATCATCTAGTATATTTCATGTGTCACCTCCATCATCTAGTATACTTCATGTGTCACCTGCATCATCTAGAACATTTTGTGTGTCACCTCCATCATCTAGAACATTTCATATGTCACCTCCATCATCTAGTATATTTCATGTGTCACCTCCATCATCTAAATAATTTCATGTGTCACCTCCATCATCTAGAACATTTCGTGTGTCACCTCCATCATCTAGAACATTTCGTGTGTCACCTCCATCATCTAGTATATTTCATATGTCACCTCCATCATCTAGTACATTTCATGTATCACATCTATTGTGTAGTATAGTTTGTCTTTGTTTCCATCTTGCATCATATTTTATGTGTTAAGAACAATCAATAAAAACAACAACAAAATCACATGCTCAACCACTTGTGCATCAAAACAATGTTAGCTATATTTCACTTCAAAGTCAAACATGATTGCTATTTCACAGTTCTACCTTCAATCAAGTAATACCATGCCAATCCCTGCAAGATTTTTGTGATCTGTGAGGAAGCTGGTTATAAATACGTTCTATGTGAAGCGGATCACAACAACCATGCTGGGTGAAATATACAAGAAGCAACATGCAACAGACAACTCTACCTGGGTAGCCTGTGAGGAGGGAAGAAACAAACACAGTGAGAACATGGAGAGACAAGCATACACATAATCATAGTGGGTAGACTATCACAAAACAGTAGAGCCGGCAGGCACTGTAGCTCACCTCACAAGATTGTATTTGTTTGTTTATTTGTTTAACACCGCACTGTAAAAATTGAGTCTGGACCAGACAATCAAGTGATAGACATCATGAGCATTGATCTACACAACTGGGATACGATGACGTGCATCAACCAAGTCACCGAGCCTGACCACCCTCCACGAAAAGAAATTGGCATGCGGTTTGTCAACTGCCGTACAGATTTCGGTCGAATGCAGGATTTGCAAAGCATGTGTACCGCCAACTCGACATCAATAGATATTTTTCATGTTTTTAATCAAGGTGCTCACATGATTTGATGCACTTTGCAAAGTTTTATAGCAATATAGATTTTGAAAATCGAAAATCAGATGGTCTTGACTTGGCACCGCCATTTTGTTTGAGTGATATGAGAGGTGGAATCTGATTAGGAGTAGAGACATAACAAGCAATAGCCACTGGTGGAGCTATGATCGAGCCCAGAAATTCCAGCCTAGTTCGGCAAGAGTGGAAACTGGACTTTTACAGTCAAGTTAACTCCTCAGGAAGATGGCCCTAATAGTGACAAACTAAAAAGAATGCCTCGAAAAATCCCCCCAAATTAGTAAAAAAAAAAGTCTGTAATTCAAATAACCCTCAGGATACTTAAACGTAATATGAACTGACTTGGGCTAGCAAAGTTCCATCCCTTCAACAAAAAGAATAAGACAAGAATAGACTCTTGATAACTTAAATCATAAAGGTAGACATTCTGAATTACTGAACACATTTACTGTGTCCCTTCAAGACTACACAGACATTTAAATAGACAAACAAAACTGCTCTAACTTTCACAAACAATATGAGAGTGGACTTGGGCAAGCTCGGCTGCCACTATCCATCCCTAAAAGACGTTCATTCATGTTCAACTGGTGCACTCAAGCATCCACATGATGCAATCATATGGCCAGCATTTCAAAGAAACATGCCTATTGTACAGTATCACAGCTAGCTAATGCTCAGGAGGAAACACCTCCACCATAATCATTTTGTTACTTACCACTTTGGGTGAGTTTTTTTGTCACCTTGGGATATCTGGCAAACTTGACAAAGTAATAGGACTCATACTCCATGAGTATAGTCTCCAGATCAATGTTGTCACACACTTCATATCGGCTCAGATCAATGTTCGTCTCCTTCCCTAGTGACTGAGCAGACTCTAAATATCTGCAAATCAATGTTGGAGAATCCATATCAATAATCAACTAGAAAGTGTTTTTACTCGTAAAAACATATGTCTCCCCCCACTCCCCTAAACCCCATTCATTCGTTTACTTCACGTTAAACCCCATCTGTTCATTCCCACAAAAATAATTCACAATATTTTAATTCTAGAATTGCTTTGAATTCAATAATATTGAAAAGATCAAATTCTTAAATTTCATTATAAGCAAAAGACACAGAAATATTGAAGGGGTGTTGAGTTTAGTTCTGGAACAAAGCGCATCCCAAGAGTCTAAGTTAAACTTGTCTCCATAAACAAGAAAAAATAAAATGTGAAAAACTTCTAAATAGCAAGAAGCACCACTTCAGGACTTGGTTAATATGTTACAACTTCATGAAATAATATTGAACAGTTTTTGAGTTATGGTCTGGAAACAAAGCTTACCCCCATTCAGAGTCTATGTTCAAGTTATCTCCATGGAAACGAGAAAAAATAAAAATGTCAAAAATCTCTAAATAGCAAAAGGCACCACTTCAGTGCTGGGTTAATGTGTATACAAAGTTTCGCGAAAATATATTAAACGGTTTCTGAGTTATGGTCAGGAAACAAAGCTTACCCCCATTCAGAGCCTATGTTCAAGTTATCTCCATGGAAACGAGAAAAAATAAAAATGTCAAAAATCTCTAAATAGCAAAAGGCACCACTTCAGTGCTGGGTTAATGTGTATACAAAGTTTCGCGAAAAAATATTAAACGGTTTCTGAGTTATGGTCAGGAAACAAAGCTTACCCCCATTCAGAGCCTATGTTCAAGTTAACTCCATGGAAACGAGAAAAAATAAAAATGTCAAAAATCTCTAAATAGCAAAAGGCACCACTTCAGTGCTGGGTTAATGTGTATACAAAGTTTCGCGAAAAAATATTAAACGGTTTCTGAGTTATGGTCCGGAAACCAAGCTTACCCCCATTCAGAGTCTATGTTCAAGTTATCTCCATGGAAACGAGAAAAAATAAAAATGTCAAAAATCTCTAAATAGCAAAAGGCACCACTTCAGTGCTGGGTTAATGTGTATATAAAGTTTCGCGAAAAAATATTAAACGGTTTCCAAGTTTTGGTCCGGAAACCAAGCTTACCCCCATTCAGAGTCTATGTTCAAGTTATCTCCATGGAAACGAGAAAAAATAAAAATGTCAAAAATCTCTAAATAGCAAAAGGCACCACTTCAGTGCTGGGTTAATGTGTATACAAATTTTCGCGAAACAATATTAAACGGTTTCTGAGTTATGGTCCGGAAACGGTGGGAACGCCGACGCCGACGGGAACCGTGCCAAAAACAATATGTCTCCCTCCATTCTGGGGGAGACATAACTACCAAAGAAACCATTCCCACCTATTACATTGAAAATAAAATTTGGCATGTAAAATTATGTATAACTATTACACACATCGCATGTTTGAGAACATCCTCAGGCCACACTTCTGTATCTGACAATTATGACAGGCAACATTTTCCAGGTCAATGATTGATTGCAAAGAGGTCATGATGAAAAGATTACTTGTTGCATTCATAAACTAAATGGAATTTCATAAATTACTACTAATTATTGTTATATTAAGTTGCTAGGATTTGTCTCAGCTAAGGCAGCTTTAAGAATAGTCCACCTGTGCTATAAGGAAGAGGTTGAAAATTGAAAAATTGACGGATGACACAAACAAATACTGCATTATATTACCATTCAGCATGATTAGTTTCTGACCAAAGTCTTTTGGCATGTATTCTTGGTAACTTACCCTTCTTCAAATAAGTAATGTAGTACAAGAATGAGCAGATTCTTCTTCCTTGCATCAGTCTTTACTTCATCCTACAAGTGAAAATTATCAGTAATAAGAGTACAATAACCCATGGCATCAGCATGATGAGCATGATTAGTGCCTGCAAGCCTACCAATAATCAAATCAGCGCCTAAAATGTAAACTTAATGTGATAACAGGTGGGATACACCATCCTCAACCCAAATCAAAAACACCTAAAAAATGAAAAAGAATGTTAATGCATCTTTATCAAACGGTACGGTAGTGGGCATACCTTCAGATGTGATCCGAAATAAATCCTTGTCAAGGTCCAAGTAACCAGTACAGCTTCCTGCCCAGAGACTGGAAACAATGACCATTCATGTCAGAAGGAAGACAAGAATGTGAAGAATATGGAAAAACCAGGTAAAATAATAGTAATGGAAAAAAGTGTGAGCTAGAATCAGAAACTGACCTACCGAGTTAATGCGCACAGCATGTGAGCCCTCTTATCTAGGATGACAAACACCAGAGAGTTTGATGGGCCAGCTCGTGGGTCAGAGCAAATCAGTGATGCTTGGGTTTGGTGACCTGTTTAGCCAACATCAAGGGACCAAAAGTTTGTAATTCCGGTATTTTCGTCATTCGGTGATCTTCAAGGATGGCTAGCACCAAATTAATGGCAACTAGGTATGTAGAAATAGTAAAGCCTTTGAGGTGACATTTGTAGCGCAGGAAGAGTAGAAATTCAGCAAGGATTGGGGGGAAGCAGAGTTAGAAACCTGACGCCTGTCTTTAAAGAAAGACTCAAAGGAACGCCACTTGTCATCGTACAGCCCATGGTGGAAGGTCTATGTGCCAAAGCTATGGCCTTGGCTGCCCTCAAAGAGTAGCCCTTGGCTTGCGGATCTGGAACCGGGGAAATGTAGGTCGTCAGTTGGAAGTTCTAACTGGTGGCGAAAAGGTTGACGTTGGGATGGTCGATCCTCCAACAAATCATTGCGAATATCTCGGGATGTAACTTCCATTCTGTGGGAGCCACCTTGTCTGGTCTGAATAGTGTATTCGCTAACACGTTCCGGCACTCTGGAATGTGTTGAACTAGGAAGCGTAGGCCGAGACTGTCTTATCAGATGGAAGAAGCGGAACATCTGCACTAGATTCCGAAGACACCATACCACTGTGATGTTGTCCATGGAAATTGCAACCTTGGCATTTCAAGGATGACCTGCTACTGTTTGACGGTCAAAATGAGCACTTCCAGTTCCTGATTGTTGCTGTGCCGGAAACCCTGATTGCCTGAGGTCGTGAGGTCATGTGGGTCTCCAGAGGCATCTACAAAGAGGTGTAACCTGGGTTTGAGCGCAGTCAAGGAGACACCGCTGAAGACATTCGACTCCACTTTTCACCATTGAAGGTTAAGTTGAAGGTGAATCGGGAGGACAATGGAGATCGACAGAATCTGGCGCCTGATGAAGGTGGCATGAAACCGCTGAATTGGACGTAGGAATTGAAACACGGAATGACAGAGTGAGCTCCGACTTGGTCTCGTTGATCAGCCACCCCAGCTGATGGAAGAGGTGACAGGTGAAATCCTGTGGTGGGTGAGGGCCTCCGAGTCTGGTTGGTTCAGGAGACAATCGTCTACGTAGGACTCGAAGTTGATGTTACTTATGTGTAAGTAGGCAGCCATGGGCTTGGTGATCTATGTAAAAAGCCACGGGGCAGAGTAAATTCCAAATGGTAGGACAGCTTGCTGGTAATTGACACCATGGAAGAAGAACCAGAGGAACCATCTGTTGCTGGAGTGGCTTGGCACATGAAGGTATGCATCCTGGATGTCAAAACTGATCAGGGAATCGTTGGCATTGAGTCTGGTCCTGAGCAGTCTCAACGTGGACATCTTGAAGTAAGGTGGATGTTCCAGGTAGCTTTGATTGAAAATGGCGAGGTTGTGAATCATGCAGAGCTTGTCTGACCTCTTCTTTTGACGACCAGAAACAATAGGGAGTACAATCTCGGGTGTCTGACCGTGTCGTGCACAATCTCAGTGGCCTCCTTGTGTAATAGAATGCTGATGTTGTTGCACAGAAGATGGCGCTGATGGTAGGGGTTAAGGCGTCTGCCAAGAGCGATGACATCAGAGGAGGGTCCTTTATTTACGAGAGATGGTAACACTGGCGGAGGTAATCCACTTGTCGTATGTGGTAAGACATGACTGTTCTCAAGTGGATGATCATGTTTGGGTTGATCTCTGCTAAATCTTGATCTGTAGCCCTCTAGGAGGAGGCAAGAGTAGAGAGTCTGAATGGTATTCACGTTCATTTCTACAAACGGGAGAGTGACACTGTGAACAGCGACAAGATCTGGATGATTTAGATCTGTACTGGGAGGAACTGGGTGAGAACCACATGATGATCTATCATGGGTAAAACGCAGATGATCTCCATCCTACAAGAGGTGACATGGATGCAGATGAGGGAAGTGACGAGAAAGGACAGCAGTACAGTAGGTACTGTGAGTGGAGTCAAGGAGATGATAGGAGGCACCAATGGCATCTAGACATCCAGTATGGTTGGTGCTGCCAGTGGTGTCAATGTCGCAGAAGGCACCTCCACCACCACCGAGGCAGTAGACGACTGAGTCATAGGTGTAGCAGCTGGCATCGAGTGAACCAGAGGCGCTGCTTGCGCCATGGTTTGTCGATACATGGACTGCATCCAAGTTTGCATCCAACTAGTATCCATAAATAAGGCAGGCAGGACATGCTGTGGCATCAGCTGGTAAGGCGACTGTTGAGCAGGTGGTCCAGGGAAGATGTCGTAACCAGGTGGCCCCGTAGTCGTCAGAGATGACGCGGTCACCAGGTAAGGGTTTAAGATCGCAGGAGCCGGCATAGTTAACATAGCCATTCAGGGGAGTCCTAGACATGGGAGGAGCAGACACCTGGGGCATAGTGGAGGTGTAGATTAGTGTAGTGTAGATTAGTGCAATCGTCGACGATGGGACAGCCACATTCCGCAGGAGTCGTCACCGTGACGGTCGGCTATGTTCTCGCCAAACCATGCTATCCGCTGCGAGTTATGGTCTCACTGACTATCCCCTTTGAGGTGTTCAATCTGATTCATTATCTGAACATCTGTGAAGCTTTGTCGTTGTTTTCCCTGTATTGGATGATTGGCAGCCATGTTTTTCATTAACCGGTTACACACATAGCAAGAGAAGGGGTCATAAATCTGCTATGCTTAGCACTAGTTTATTGTAACTCAGGTCACTTGGTGAGAATAATTAGCTGTGGATAGGAACAATATATTTTTGTGGTGTTTTGTTCATGAGGAACTAAACTATTCCAACACATATATCCAAATTGAAACTGTATACTTTGAGGTAAAAAAAACATAAGAAATTATGAGATTGTACTTTAAAAAAATTGAAGTAATAGCGAAATGGACGGCCCTATCTAACCTATAAATTAGTCCTTACATTCTACTTTTCTCCTGATTGTGCAAGTGTTATTTGACTAATGTTGCACCATTATTAATAGAGCACTAGTCTTTTCATCAAATGTAATTAACTATTTAAAATTGATATCATGGCTGGATTAATGTCTTTGACAATGTCAGAGAAAGACAATATTTAATATAATTTGTTCACTGAGAACAGTACGTGGGATTTTTCGAGGGGACTTTCGTTAAATCAGGGATGGTATATACATAAATGTGACATGTAAGTCAGTGTACCGTTTACCGGTATTTTCCAGTTTTTACTGGTAAAATTAGGCTTGGACCGGTAATTCATGTGACTGCCTGTCCTTGTGGACTGGCAAATAAAGTATCATATAAATTTTTGTTGTTGAACAAAACATTGGCGATATTCAAATAAGTGTATTTTTTATCGAAGTCAGCTTGTCTGTTACCATCAGGGTTTCCCGTTGTCCATTTTTACTACAAGGAAATAACATTTCACTTTGGTGAGGTGAAGTATATATTTGTAGCAACATTGTCCTGAAATATCATAAAAAAGGAGAGTAAATTGTGACTGAACTTTGCGTGAATGACTAGTAGATCTAACTAGGTTACTTTGGAGATGACATCTTTGCAATCGAACATGATGTTGACAGAATTAAAGCCAGGTAATTTTCATATGTATATTTATTTGTGTTAAGTTGGGACTGACAAAAATAAGGGGGGACAGGTAATTTTTAGTGTTGCCAGTCCACGAGAACTGGCAGTTTCAAAAGCCAGCGGGAACACTGTAAGTAATCAGAAACATTCTGACAGTCTGTGTACTGTTATTTGTTTTTATGTTTTACATTGAAACCAAGAGAAATAGTCAGAAATTCTGATAACGGACGGTTGTCGTTGTGCATGTTTTTGCGTCCATCATGGCGTCAGGCAGGACGGAAACTTTGACAATTTCTGTTGAAGTAGCCAAATCATTGCAATGTATCTTGCTTTAATTCCCCAATTCTTGCTATGATTCTCTTCTTTCATATCATGAAAATGTTGAGCCAATGTATGCAATGAATGGAGGAAAGGATAGCCCTAAATTCATCTAGCATAGACACTTTGTATTGGTGACAAAAACCATTTGTCATTTGATTCTAAAATGTATGAGGAATTCAAGGATTATGCATCTCAGCTGACTTTGAAATGTATGCATGCGATGTTATAGGTGTCTCATTTATCGGCATACATGAAACATGATTTTGTAAACACTGTCAATATGGCAGAAAGTTCACTACAGCGTTTGTGTTTGCAGATTTTCCAAAACATTCTAAAATATTCTAGGGTTATCGGCGACATTTTGGAATGATCATTGGTGATTGATAAATGACAGATAAATGACTGATCACTAATATACTATGTTTGAAATTCATTTCTCCGAGTAAACATCTGAAATTTAGTTTTTTTTAAATGCTGTAAATGGTGATTTCATAATGTGTTAAAAAATGGCGATATTTTCAACGTACCTAATTGTCAGGTCATTTTCAATAACTTTTGCTTTGCCTGAAATGACAGTGGATTATATCACAGAACAGGGAATTTCCCACAGAATTTAAAACTGTGAAGTGTACAGTATTTGTGTGCGTGATGTATGTTGAATTTTATTCGACTTCAAAGTGAGGGTTGAAGAGGAGGGAAATATATGTCCCTCTGGCATCCAGGGGGGGTTAGTTCACTCCTTGACTACGAAGTGGCACATATAAGTTATGTGAAACTCAGCTTTAAATATACACCCATTTTTCCATTAAAGATACAAAGGTTTACACCAATCTTGTGATGTTTTCATTTGAGTGAAATTCTCCTTTCCTAACCTTAGGGTTAGTTAATGAGTTAGAAATTAGAAATCCAAAATCAACCTATTAAAGTGCAGCATTCCTTTTATCCAAATATATACCTTTCAAAAGCTGTAGGTGATGAAAAAGATAATCATAGCAATCACAAGATCTTTATCTAAAGATTACTAACAATGTAGTACTAATGACAAATCAGGAGTAGGGAGAATATTTGTTGGCATAGTAGTGTTACACGCGTACATTATTACTCCATAGTTACTAGTGTTTTAAATTATGCTGACCATGTTTATCTCGCTAAAACCAAGTACCTGCTCTGTAATAACAGATCGGGTAATATTTTTCTTTATGAAAATAAGGTCGGTGGTCAGATAAGCTGACACTATCACCTGATCACTGTCACCGTATATATAAGATAAATAATAGGCCTATCCGATGATTTTATTCGTACATTTATATTCTATCACTATGATTTTATCAGCTGTTCGTGATGTTTTCAATCTGATGCCATTAACACCTAGGAAAATGCAGCATGAACATCAAACACTCACAGCTTCTCTAGCCTGATTTGCGGTCCGAATGGCTTGATAACTCAGCTCTGACATATCGCATTCCGGCAAACTATCAAAAATGTCATAGAAGAAGATTCGGTCTGCTACTCGTCGCGAAGCTATACAAACATGGCCGCCGGCGAGATTTCGGTACTGCGTTTTCGCGAGACTTGTGTTAATTTTTGTATATTTTTCTCAACAAGGAATGCGTTTCACGATATCAAATTACCTGTCTATATTGTGACAATAACTGTACTTAAAAAACTATCGAATAAATTCATAAAGAAAATTATTACGGTTAATACTGAAACTGAGATTTGATGCGCACCTGCGAAGCGAAGCCCCAGTACAACAGATATAAATATTGCTCGCTCAGTTACGATTAATTTTACTTTATAATTTTATGAGTAAGTATGCGTAGTTGTATTATTTGACGTTTTCACTGCTTTCCAAAATGTATTCTTCAAATTTGTTCTATAAATCCTTATAAACCGGCCATAATATTGACAGAACGTGTTGGTTTTCTTAAAAATTAGAAATAGTATTGCCATTCATGCGAAAGGACGCTAAAATGTATGTTAAGGACCCAAAATATTATCCCATCAGTTATTAGTTGACTAGAGTGTAGTTTTTATTGAGGTAAAAATGCAGTTTATGTTATTTTGTCTTCTATTAAAGCCGCAATTCAAAGGGCCTATCTTTGTTAGTAGGTCTTAGGGTATTTTCTTATCTTTCAAGAAATATAATGGCACAAGGAATTGCAGTTAATTAACAAGACATAATTTCTTGCATATTGTTCAAGAAATAATCAGTGGTCAGCCTCTGTAACTTGATTGATTGTATGTCATCGTATCCCAATAGCGTGGATCATTGCTCATAATATCAATCACAGGAGTGTCTAGTTGTTTGGCTGGAATATTGCTGAATGAAGCTATAACAGACATACAAACAAACATATCGTGGTCAGGGTTTAACAAATGTAAGCGTAGCTAGTTTTCCTAGTAGCAAGAGTACCTGTGACATATTCATAGACGAAACGCAATTACGACACTTATATTTTGTTACTGTTTAACTAAGTTTTCTCACATTAATACTGAAAATAGATCTACAATAATGAAAATTAGTTTCCACCATTTTCGAACCATTTTAATCATAGTCAGTTTTTAACATTAAGCATAAAAATCAGGGGGTCATTGTCATAACAGAAATGTTATAATTTACAGATTTGGGGGAGGTCCCTAGATGTTCCATGGAAAGTGCATTAAGAATCAAAGCATGACACACTAGAGATGTCTGAAGTAGCTGGAGTATATTGGGATTTACCAAGGTATTTTCATAGTTATGGGCAACTTAGAGATCATATTCAGCCTACTGTTGACACCAAATATGTGTGAAAGTTACCAAACTGAAACATGAAATTTACCATTTCAGGTTATTAAATTTGTTTGCTTTGCAACTGCTAGTAGTATTTCATTAGTAACATGACTAATAAAGCTTATAAAAGGTGTAAGTTAACTCATTTAGTTTCACATTGTTGCATTGAATGCTGTGTTATAATGCCTCTAAATTTAAGAAAATAAAGACTGAAAACATACCAATTTGTCTGCCAAAGGCACTTGGTTTAAACTCCACAATACATCCCTGCTAAATTCTCCTCATTAATTCATGCACAGAATGGGAGTGGGGATGAAGACCCTTCCGCTTATACTGCCCCACTTTAGGCCAAAACTTTACTCTTAATCCATGGACAGAAGTGGGGAAAAGAAGATATAGCCGAGGTCAAAATCTTTCCCTTGAATATTTATTGTAATGGGCTGTAATGAACAAGTATTACTTCACTGAAATGTGCATTGCACGATTTTTACAGATTTTTCTTTTCTGACAAGTTGCACTTGTTTGCACTTAACAGTTTAGCAGTTTTGAGTTAGCTTTAAGATGTTTAATGTAGCAGCATAGTTACTTGCTTAGAAAAGCTGTTTCATAGTTTAAGGGTTATGGATCAACCTCTAATAAACTCTACTTGACACTCTGCAAATCCAACATTTGGAATCTGGAATTGCTTGCATCTTGATGCCTTTCAGATAATCCTACAAATTTGAATGTATGTCGATATATTTAACCAAGTCGAAGTTCTCAATCATCAGGATCCTCGACAATCTGGTGCCCATGACATGCTCCCTTTAACCTACATGGATCAAATATATTCACAGTGATCTCTATTTTGACTGGTAGTTGTAAAATGTAAAGCAATGTCAGATTGGCAGTTGAAGTTGAACCTACTAGTTGGCTAGTCCATAACCCTGAGTCCATGTCAATGTCCCCTATGTTAGAAGTAGGAGGACCCAGCCCTGGACCACTGAAACCTCCTCGTCTACCCTTGACCTTCCACTGGTCACTGCAGCAGCAGGGGCCTGTCAGCCATTGTTTAAGTACCTAAGGCTATCAGTGAGTGCTGGTTGATGGTAATGGTAAGCAGTTTGATATTATTAATGTGTTACCATTTTCATACATGTCATCACATTTCAGTATCATGTCTATCAAGGTAAGGAAGTCTTGACGTGATATTGGTCACTTTACTAAAGAACAATGATCTGCCTAGTTCTATGATAATAATATTGAATAAAAAATTGAAATTCCATTGTGAAGCTAAAATGTGTTTTTCTTTTGAAATCTGTATATACCACCAGACACCCTATGGTACTGGTAGTAGTGGGACGATACAACGATGCATCAGTGGATCACAATTTTTTACTTCTCGATACAAGTATCGATCACAGTTGCACACTAAGTAAAAAATATCAATACTTGCTTTTAATGTTTGTTGTAATAACTGTTACACCAAACACTAACTAGTAGTGAAAATTAGTAGTGAAAATTAGGAGTGAAAAAGCAAATATTTTCATCCACTGCACCATACTTGACACTGCCAACTGTAAATCATAAGTATGCCAGGTATTTGGCCACACTGTATGAAAAATATGGCTTAAGCACGACAGATTAGAGCACATACAAGTATGATACATATCAGAACATAAGCAAGGTATCATTATACGTATTGGATCGCACAGTTGGTGTACCGTCCCAGCCCTACCCTATAGCATAGTAATGGTCGGGTGAGATGGATGTCAGAGTTTTACTGTGATAATCTCATTACATAGGCAGATAGGTGTAATCATCCTCTTGAGGCAAGGGAGTTAACTGACTGTAAAAGTCCAGTTTCCACTCTTGCTGAACTAGGCTGGAATTTCTGAAATCCATTGTAGCACCACCAGTGGCTATTACGAGTCCCTTCTATGTCCCTCCTATTAACCAATCAGATTCCACCTCCCATATCACTTGCATGTGCTTCAAACAAAATGGCGGCGCCCAGTGAACACAATCTGATTGATGATCAAGATCTATATTGTAATAAAATGGGCCTTAATTTGCAAAGTGCATCAAATCATGTGAGTACCTCAATAAAAAACATGAAAAGATTTGGATATCTTGATTTTTTTACGTGAGTTTGGTTGGACTATGCATTGACTCATTTGTCCAGCCAAAATGTAACTCCATCATTCCAGCGTAGTTCAGCAAGGGTTGAAACTGGACTTTTAACTCCCTTGCCTCGAGAAGATGAAGTGAAGTATAATATGCTTTGTGAGAACTTTGCAGACATTGTCTTTAAGGTTCACTGGTTGTTCTTATCTGATTTGATGAGATTTTAAGCTCAACTTGATCATAAGCCCAACTGAGTTGAGCTTATATTATGATATGTGTCATCTCTAGGCATCCTCTCATATGAAACCGACAAAGCTTTAACATATCATACATGTTTGTACTTAACTATCCAACAAAAATGTGCTTTTTGAATTTGCCAGCTGATTATCTTACAGTGAATTTATACAGTATAAACATGATAAACATAATGCTTGGATGTGTTACTGGGGTTATAAAATGATTCAAAAGAGATGATACGCTGTTTGTGGCCTTAACTCCTCGACTTTGTAGAAAAGAGCTGATGATAAGTATCTTGGTGTGTGGTCATCAAATGATAGTATTCCGATCTGTGGCGGATCTTACTGTTTGGGTCTCAAGTAAAAAATGCAGTATTAACAGTAGACAGGCAGTATTAACATACAGTCTGTGGTGATCACCTGCCTACATACAGTCTGTGGTGATCACCTGCCTACATACACTCTGTGGTGATCACCTGCCTACATACGCTCTGTGGTGATCACCTGCCTACATACACTCTGTGGTGATCACCTGCCTACATACGGTCTGTGGTGATCACCTGCCTACATATAGTCTGTGGTGATCACCTGCCTAAATACACTCTGTGGTGATCACCTGCCTACATACGGTCTGTGGTGATCACCTGCCTACATACGCTCTGTGGTGATCACCTGCCTACATACACTCTGTGGTGATCACCTGCCTACATACACTCTGTGGTGATCACCTGCCTACATACACTCTGTGGTGATCACCTGCCTACATACTGTCTGTGGTGATCACCTGCCTACATACACTCTGTGGTGATCACCTGCCTACATACACTCTGTGGTGATCACCTGCCTACATACACTCTGTGGTGATCACCTGCCTACATACACTCTGTGGTGATCACCTGCCTACATACGCTCTGTGGTGATCACCTGCCTACATACGCTCTGTGGTGATAATCTGCCTACATACACTCTGTGTTGATCACCTGCCTACATACGGTCTGTGGTGATCACCTGCCTACATACAGTCTGTGGTGATCACCTGCCTACATACGGTCTGTGGTGATCACCTGCCTACATACAGTCTGTGGTGATCACCTGCCTACATACACTCTGTGGTGATCACCTGCCTACATACGCTCTGTGGTGATCACCTGCCTACATACAGTCTGTGGTGATCACCTGCCTACATACACTCTGTGGTGATCACCTGCCTACATATTCTCTGTGGTGATCACCTGCCTTCATACGGTCTTTGGTGATCACCTGCCTACATATGGTCTGTGGTGATCACCTGCCTACATACACTCTGTGGTGATGTACCTGCCTACATACGGTCTGTGGTGATCACCTGCCTACATACGGTCTGTGGTGATCACCTGCCTACATACGGTCTGTGGTGATCACCTGCCTACATACAGTCTGTGGTGATCACCTGCCTACATACAGTCTGTGGTGATCACCTGCCTACATACACTCTGTGGTGATGTACCTGCCTACATACAGTCTGTGGTAATCACCTGCCTACATACGGTCTGTGGTGATCACCTGCCTACATACGGTCTGTGGTGATCACCTGCCTACATACACTCTGTGGTGATCACCTGCCTACATATGGTCTGTGGTGATCACCTGCCTACATACACTCTGTGGTGATCACCTGCCTACATACACTCTGTGGTGATCACCTGCCTACATACACTCTGTGGTGATCACCTGCCTACATACACTCTGTGGTGATCACCTGCCTACATACACTCTGTGGTGATCACCTGCCTACATACGGTCTGTGGTGATCACCTGCCTACATACACTCTGTGGTGATCACCTGCCTACATACACTCTGTGGTGATCACCTGCCTACATACGGTCTGTGGTGATCACCTGCCTACATACGCTCTGTGGTGATCACCTGCCTACATACGCTCTGTGGTGATCACCTGCCTACATACACTCTGTGGTGATCACCTTACATTATACATTGTCTGTCCATCCAGTGATTGTTACGGTACATTTTGGCCATCCCCTCTCAACCCACAGACAGGCTTAAGGGGTTGCCACTGTGCATGGAGGTTCACATAATTCATATTCATTTATAGACATAGATGTCATTGAAGCCATCTGTAAAATGTTTGCCCATTTTGTTCTTCATTTATGAATATGAAATGTCATTTTAAGTAATTACATGTATGTGCTGTGCAGAATCACATATAAAATGTTGTTTTTTGCTTGATTGTATGTATATTATCTGAGTAATTGTGTTTCTAAAATGTGAGCACAGAATTCTGCTCTAATTTTAAACGTGCCCACCCAATGTCCTGCCATGTCTGCATGTATCATTATGAAATCTCATATGAAACAAATATACCCTCTGCTCAATAATTCATTAGTATATTTTACTGTTAGGCATCCATTTAAGGAACTTGATTTAACATGCACCAGGTGCATGCTCAGATGAAAACCTAGTTGCACCAGACAAAATCAGGTTGCACATGGTCCACTCAATTTATAAATGTTGAAACATAGATGCATAAACTAGTCTAAATAAATAAAATCTCAAATCTCTGATGACTGTGTCATGATTTTATATAGAGTAATGACATATAGCTGTAAAACATAAGAGGAACATACATACATAATCTGGCAGTACCCAGTTTGATGACGTCAAGAAAACATGACAAATTACACGTAACACAGGGATCAGTCATGTAGTATGTTACATCAAGCTTAGAGATATTGAGTGTGTTCAGAGGTCGGAGTTGTGTGGAAAAGTAAGGGTTAGTCAAACACAAATATATTATGTTTTTACATGCAGTTGGTGCATATAGACATACATATTAAGTTGCACTTTTCAATGATACGTTGAAATATCAGGCACTGACTGTGTATTGTTATATTTGGCACACATTGAACCTTTGACCTTCATATACTGCTGTGGCTGCCAGAAGTGCTATGGCAACAATGATGAACATGGAATCTTGGCCCTCTTCATGAGCCACTAAAAGTTTAGTCTGGCATATAAAAACTGGTTGTCATCATGAGCACAATTTAGAGAGACATGTACAGTCTGTGCCGAATACTTTTGAGGCCACTACTCCGAATGAGTCTCAGCATCATAGTTTTGTACTTTGGAGTCTTATTATATGGACCATACCTACATGGTGTATACTATTACTGATGAATTAAATTTGTATTGAGGGATAAAACTAGTACTGATGTATAAAACTAATACTGATGGATAAAACAAGTACTGATGCATAAAACTAGTCATGACGGATAAAATATGATTTTGAGTATTTCGGTTGAAAGCTATGTCCAAACACAGGATTCCTGTGAAGCCCTGGCCAGTCATGTAAGTATCAATATGTAATTTAATAACGATGCAGGGGCACAGGCCGTCTAAGGAAGCATAGTTTGCTATGCAGAGTCCCGTCCCTTAGAAATTTTGAATAAAAATATTATTTTGATAGTACTGTTGAGATTGTATTAAATATATAGATATATAATATGATTTAATCATCATTTAATACCGATAACTTCACCAGTCAACACATTTCCAAGCTGAAGGTTGCCATGAAGAATGTCACTCACTGATGTGTGTAGATGCAACTTTCATTCTTTATTCATAAAATTTGACTGTTATTGCGTACTTTTGTCCTTTATTTCAAATTTGTATATTTTGACTGAATGGCCACTCATAATATACACCATGTATTCAAGATGTTTAGGGAAATTGTTTCAACTTTTTTTTTGACTGAGCTACAAGGTTAAGGTAAAAAAGGGTACGTAATAGGTTTGATCCATCAATTAGGCATCCTCATTCATCCAGGGTATTTTACCCCTTTTCCATTAGGATAGATACCCTAGACCCATTTGCCACCATAGTTTCGTTTTGGAGTTCAATTCAAGGTATGCAAAGCTAAAAAAGACGTCCAATCAAGTTATGTTCATGAGTCTGAGACGTCTGTGCAAAGTTACTGATAAGTCAGATGGAGACAGTGGCAATGAGTTCAGGATATTTATCATGATACAGTGGAGATGTAATACATGGAATGTCAAGGATTATTTGAAAAGTTCAGAAAGAAATGAATGATGGAGCTTATTCTGCTGGGCAGGTACCGGAGGTAATCCAAACACCAATGCACTTTTCATAACTGATGGACTGCCTCCCAGGTCCAGTGGGCAGAATGGCTGCCCGGAGTGCATAAGGGCAGTGGTTTGTTCTCTGGCCGTGACATACCAAAAAATGTTAAAAAATGGTGCTTGTTGTTACCCTACCTGTGCTCTGCATTAAAGAGATAAAACAAGGACTGGTCAACTTGGATTCAGTATACTGTGTCTGAGTGGGGTATCCATGTTAAAATGTGGCATGGTATCTCAGTGGACTGGCAACATTAAAGTGGATTTAAGTGTGTCATACACAAACTTGCACACACGTTGCTGTATAAGTGCAATTTTCTTGGACATGACATTAAACTTTAAATGTGTAATAAATTCATGACACTCTTAAAATACTATAAGAGTTTTTGCACTGATTGTGATGGAGAACTAGTTTTATTAACTATTTTGCAGGGGCAGTTACATGGAAGACGTAGGTGTTTTCTGTGTCCAAGTCTGAAGGGAATGATGGAAAATGTACCCACATCACAAGGAGGCATCTTGGCCCAGGATTTGCCCAATGTTGTGCAGGCCAGTTCCACAAGGAGCTCCAAAGGCCATATCAGTGGCAGACAAGAAGGGAGTACAGGCCCCATTGGGGATGGATCTTCCATGAATATAAATATTTCAGAAGCTGAACCTCCTTTGAAAAAGGCCAGATATTGTGACATAGTTGAGGGGGTTAACCGTTCCAGTCATGCACAAGGAATGCCAAGTGGTGAGAAATGTCAAAGGGGAGCCCAAGTCACAAATGGTGGTCTGGTCTGTGTGGAAAACTGTTCTGGCACAAGAAGCTGTTTAGAGCCACTTAAACATCAACAAACTGAATCAGATGAGATCATGATACCCTGCGCTAATGATAAAACAGTGTCTGCTGGTCATGATATGGGTAATCAAGAGTGTGAGAGGACTTCTCTGTCAGGGCTATACCATAGTTCCTCAATGATTGCTCAACAATCTGACCATGGAGATTCTTCTATGTCATATCCCAATGGTAGTGGCAGCACTGATACCACTGATGTCTCAGATGATGACATAACAGATGCATCCAACCTGGTGCTGTCAGTGATCAAGACTAAGGTAGACATTCAAACAATGAAGTTGTGTTTACAGCATAATGCAGAGTCACGTTCCAACCGCCTTTCAACACCTGCTCCATCAGTACCAGGGGCAGTAACTGGTGCATGCTCAACAGTAGATGCCAGTTTAAATTTAGGAAGTCTAGATATACAACCATCTACCTCTTCTGGATCTATCTCAGGACACCGTATCATCAGTGAGGCTGCTGTAGAGGAGCCTTCTACAGGAGAATCTCAAGGTCAGTCAGTACAGTGTCTAGAGCCTAGAGGAAGTCCTCAGTGTAGAAACACCTGTATTTGTAACAATGTTCATTGCCAAATGTGTAATGTGCAGAGACAGGCCCAGCTTTTCAATCCACCAAATGTTCCTGACATACCTGATCAAGGTGCTGGTCATCTTGAACATTGGCAAGATCAACACACAGCTAAGGCTATTGTTGATAATGCCATTAACAGAACTATTGAAGAAATGGTCATAGCTCCAGATCCACCAAACATCCATGTAAGAAGAGCAGATTTTGAAAATGAAGGTGTTCTTCTAGCTATCAGAGATCAAGGTCTATCTGTCAGAAATCAACAGCCTATTCAGAATTTGCATGATAGACTGGAACCTGTTATCAATCAACTAACTCAAGCCTCTGAACTTGTCTTTGCTAGGAATATTGAACAGTCCAGAACTACTCCAACAATTGAGAGACAATTTGATGACACATCATACCAGAATTCTGCCGTGCACCCACACACAACACCCGAGACCTCATCTTCACTTGGTTCTGCTCAGGATGCAGATGAAGAATGTGGGCTTGATTATGATGATGGCTGTAACTCAGATACTGCATCACTTGAGTGCATACCAGACTGTTCTGTTTCCAATCTAGGCAGTGCTGACACTGTGACATATGGTCCTGGAGCTGAGAAGGACAACAGTATCCATCAAAAACTGATTCATTCCCATGTTCCATCTGTAGCAAAGAATTCCAAAGAAGATGCTGGTTGTATTCAGATGGACCAAGAGAGTGTAGAACCTGCGTCCCCCAGTCAAGTGTTTGGGGAGATGTCTTCAGAAGAAACTGTTATTGATTTTGCTGTACATGCTGTTATTGCCTCATCTGGTTTGATAGCAAAACAGAATGGAAACATTTGATTGAACACTTAACATTTTTGGATTTACTACACGTGTTACCTGCATGAGATGTACTCAAATCACAGCACTTGTTTGACTTAGATTCGAGTAAGTCACTGCCTTCAACAAAACTTGGATCTTGGATTGCTTAATGTTTTTTGAATAACTTAAGTTAGTGTCTCTGTGACTATGTATATTTGATTCTAGAAATATTTGACGCTATATTGATCTCTCATACTGTCCAAGTCTCAATACTTACACTCTTGATATAGTGCCTTTAGTGATGTTACCAAAGTTTTGTAAGGTTGCTTTTGAGAGGTTTCAAGTTGCTGGTAGAAGGTATCTGTGCCTATGTCCACATATGCATGGTCTTTACGTCCAACTTGTTATTTGTATGCTCACAATTTGTGTGTTTATTGACATAAAACTCTGCAGGAAGATGTTAGTGTGATGTTTTGTATATACGTGATATACTACTGACAAAAAAGAAGGGAACAAATTATTTGAATGTAGCTGTCATTGATGTGGACATTTACAAACCGTGGCATTCCATCTGAACAAAACATCTAATAACAATGGAATTTCACATCATGCATGAACACCACATGATGCATGTGCACATAGACGCCAAAGTATGTGCACCTATGGGGGAACTCACAATCACTAATGCAATTAAGCTAAGCACACCCTACAAAATCGAACAGATGGGCAGTGGGGTAACCAGGTGGTTAAAGCGTTCGCTTGTCACGCTGAAGACACGTGGTTCGATTCCCCATACGGGTACATTGTGTGGTTTATTTTTTAAATATTTTCCACTAGAGAGTATGTTTTCAAAGTGTAAAGGTAGGGGGTGTTTTGGAAGGGGAATATCAGAGCAACTACCATTTCTAAAAAAGAATGGGCCTCGGCTCCATCATTTTTAAGGCATGGAGAGTTACACGGAGATTTCCCCTCTACAGAAAACTGTACAATAACAAGAAGGCAAATTTCAACATCTTTCATTAACAAGAATGAAATACTCATATCCCCCTCCAATATGACATGTCTGTTGTCTGCAAGGCATTAGCCCCTGTGAACTATGTTCACTGGACATTTTTGTAAATGGCCCAGTTGCAAGCACTAAAAAAGTTATCGTTTTTTTTTGTTGCCATCTGCAGTTTATGATGGAATATGTAACTGTAATTAAACAATAATCGGAGAAGGAGGGGAGTTCTTACTCCACTTTGAGGTCATTAAGAGCAGGGGTTATCATGAGGTGTACTGAGAAGTACAGCACCAATCATCTGATGATCTGAGTAGTAGACTGGAGTCTGGAATGCTACAGCACCGGCATGATCAGTAAACAACAAGTCCAGTGTAGCTCCAAGACAGTGAGTTGAAGAGTGAATGAGTTGAGTCATTTTCCGCTGATCAAAACAATCTTCAAGATTCAGTTTTTCATTCATATCACAGCTGAAATCCCCAGTAGCTAGGACATACACATTCATGCTGCTCGGAGAGATTCTGAAGTTTCTGCATGAAATCAGTAAGTGAATGTGACAACTGTGTCCACGATCCTTTTGGAGGAACATACACACAGGCAATGCAGAACTTGCCAACCAAAAAGGAAATGTATTCAATACTGCGCGATGACATTACATCACATAGCTGGTCACGGTTCTTGACACACACAGCAATACCATGTGTAGTGTCTCCTGGATAGACTTGATATCCTGGCAGGTCTCTTTCACTATAATCATTGAGGTGAGTGTCTGTAAAACACAAAATATGAACCACAATGACAACCTTATCATTTTTCACATCTTCGAAATGAGCATTAAGTGATCGAACATTCAAGTGAGTCACCTTGAGTCCATCACCATGACTATTCAGGTGCCACTGTTCATGTTACCCATGTACTACGAAGAAGTAGGCTGGTTCGGGTGCCACTTGTAAATTGTGTTTTCACAAAAAACAAATCACCATATACCTTGTCCAAGTTCCTTTGTCAAGTGGTATATATCTCATGATGGTAACAGATCTCGGACAACCCTGCGTTGATGTTTTTGTAGAATGTGTAAACGGTTTCGAGTTATGCCCTTGCCAAACAAACATTCGGAAAACCTCAGAAACTATCATAACGCATTATTTCACCACTGGACCTATATATAGGGTACGGTTTTCTAGATCTGCTCTGATACCGCCATTTTCAGTCTAAGGTAAAGTCGCTGCCAAAAGTCTTCAGCAACCCATGCTTGCCGTAAAAGGCGACTATGCTTGTCGTTAGAGGTGACTAACGGGATCGGGTGGTCAGGCTCGCTGACTTGGTTGACGCATGACATCGATCCCAATTGCATGGATCGATGCTCATGATGTCACTCACTGGATTGTCTGATCCAGACTCGATTATTTACAGACCGCCGTTCTATAGCTGGAATATTGCTGAGAGCGGCGTTAAACAACAAACAAGCAAACAACTCGAAATTTATTTTTTTTTAAATCCCAAACTATCAAAAGGCACCAGTTTTTCATAAGACCTATTTATATGCCAAGTTTGGTGAAGAAATATTGAATGTTTTTCAAGATCCGTGCCAAGTTTGATTTTCAGTCTAAGTCAAAGTCGTTGCGAGGGAAACTCGAAAAATATATTGTTCAAAATTCCCAAACTATCAAAAGGCACCAGTTTTCCACTAGACCTACTTATGTGCCAAGTTTAGTAAAGACATCGCTCGTGTTTTTTTAGTTCTGCTCCGGAAACAAAACGTGACGGATGGACGGAAGGACGGATATGAATGTGTACCTTGTTTGGCCGGGCAATTTATACCAGATAATTGAGGATGCAAAATACGTCAGCTACACGGCCAATCATGCAAGGCACATGCTGGCTAGTGGTTGTTCCGCGTGCAATCAAATCTACAGAGAGGGAAGTATTGTTTCTGTCACTACACAAAGATAGATGCGAACAGTATAGCTGAAACGCGTATTGGACTTCTAGTGTGATCACAGACTCGTCTCCTGTACATGTAAGTATGCCGATGTTTGTGTAGACATTGTCAGTCATTGAGGATACCAGTATAAAATAGGCCCCAATCAACTCAGAGACGAAATATGATCGGAAGGTTAAACTCGCTGATGTGGTTGATCAGTCTCCATTCTGTGATAATACGATGGATCTATGATAAACTGGATAATCGAGTTTTGTTTCATTTTCTGGCGATCTCATTGTTACAAGTGAGATTGAAAAACTAACAACGAACAATGACACAAGTTTGAATACGGCTATGCATGAATTATGTAAGTATAGACATATTCATAGTATATTTACTTACTGACAGATGAATACTATTTTGCAGAGGTGTGGATGAAAGCTGTTACGATGAACAACCAAACTACCCCTGATATCAACACGGAGCCCGTCGGTCACTACATCCATTGGCCAGTACTGCTGTACTTCACTGTTCTTATCATCTGTGGCTTGCCGGGAAACACATTGATACTTTACATATATCATTATCGAATGAAGGAAACAATATTTGGGTTCTTTGTTCAAATACTTGCAACTGTTGACATGACAACTATTGTGATATCACTCCCTGGGTCGTTTGTGTTCCGATATTTCTCCACCTCCTTGGACGGAATGCGGATGTGCAAGTTCCTTATATTCATGAATCACTTTAACACCTTGTTGTCAGGCATTCTGTTTTCAATCATCGCCTTCCAGCGCTACAGGAAAGTGTGTCATCCACACGGTAAACAAATAACAAAGGCCCTGGCGAGGAAGCTGTGCCTATCTGGAATTTGTCTGGCATTTTGTCTAAGTCTTCCGATCATATTTATCGTTGGAGTGTCTAAGAGTCCGACTTTAGTTGGTAAAAAAACCTACAGTGTGCCAACCTGTGACTACGAAGCTCACATAAAACAGAAAGGAGATTCCGTAGTATATGCTGTGCTTGTGGACGCCGAGTTTGTAGGAATCGCAGTCTTTCTCATCGTAGTCTACTCCCTAATAGGAAATACCTTATACAAAAAGATGAGAGCCAATGGAAATCGAAGTAACTTTCAAAAAGCCAATCACGTGAAGAAAACAACCAAAGTGTTTCTCATGCTAACAATCGTTTTTTTGCTATCCGTGTTTCCTCTAATGATAATATCCACGATCTTTAGTTTATTCCCTGACCCTCCAAAACTCTCGGAGATTACACTCACTTTGTTTGACTTCGGAGTGTACCTCCCTCATGTCAACTGTATCGCCAACCCTGTCATTTACAGCTTCACGTCCAAGCAGTTCCGCACTGAATGTCTGTCTGTTTGTCGTGTGTGCCGGAATCAGAATTCCAAGACCCGGGCTGAGGCTACATCCGATTCCAGAACAGAAACCACATCCATGTAGCGCCCAAAACAGTAACTACATCCTTGTAGCGTCCAGAACAGCAACCACATCTTTGTAGCGTCCAGAACAGCGGCCACATCTTTGTAGCGCCCAGAGCAGCCACCACATCTTTGTAGCGTCCAGAACAGCAACCACATCCTTGTAGCGCCCAGAGCAGCCACCACATCTTTGTAGCGTCCAGAACAGAAACCACATCCTTGTAGCGCCCAGAGCAGCCACCACATCCTTGTAGCATCCAGAACAGCAGCCACATCCTTATAGCGTCCAGAACAGCCACCACATCCTTATAGCGCCCAGAGCAGCCACCACATCTTTGTAGCGCCCAGAGCAGCCACCACATCTTTGTAGCATCAAGAACAGCAACCACATCCTTATAGCGTCCAGAGCAGCCACCACATCCTTGTAGCGTCCAGAGCAGCCACCACATCTTTGTAGCGCCCAGAGCAGCCACCACATCCTTGTAGCGTCCAGAACAGCCACCACATCTTTGTAGCGTCCAGAACAGCCACCACATCTTTGTAGCGCCCAGAGCAGCCACCACATCTTTGTAGCGTCCAGAACAGCCACCACATCCTTGTAGCGCCCAGAGCAGCCATCACATCCTTGTAGCATCCAGAACAGCAGCCACATCCTTGTAGCGTCCAGAACAGCCACCACATCCTTGTAGCGTCCAGAACAGCCACCACATCCATGTAGCGCCCAGAGCAGCCACCACATCTTTGTAGCGTCCAGAACAGAAACCACATCCTTGTAGCGCCCAGAGCAGCCACCACATCTTTGTAGCATCCAGAACAGCAGCCACATCCTTATAGCGTCCAGAGCAGCCACCACATCCTTATAGCGCCCAGAGCAGCCACCACATCTTTGTAGCGTCCAGAACAGCCACCACATCCTTATAGCGTCCAGAGCAGCCACCACATCCTTGTAGCGCCCAGAGCAGCCACCACATCCTTGTAGCGTCCAGAACAGCCACCACATCCTTATAGCGTCCAGAGCAGCCACCACATCCTTGTAGCGCCCAGAGCAGCCACCACATCCTTGTAGCGCCCAGAGCAGCCACCACATCCTTGTAGCGTCCAGAACAGCCACCACATCTTTGTAGCGTCCAGAACAGCCACCACATCCTTATAGCGCCCAGAGCAGCCACCACATCCTTGTAGCATCCAGAACAGCAACCACATCCTTGTAGCGCCCAGAGCAGCCACCACATCCTTGTAGCGCCCAGAGCAGCCACCACATCCTTGTAGCATCCAGAACAGCAACCACATCCTTATAGCGCCCAGAGCAGCCACCACATCCTTGTAGCATCCAGAACAGCAACCACATCCTTGTAGCGTCCAGAACAGCCACCACATCCTTGTAGCGTCCAGAACAGCCACCACATCTTTGTAGCGTCCAGAACAGCCACCACATCCTTGTAGCGTCCAGAACAGCAACCACATCCTTATAGCGCCCAGAGCAGCCACCACATCCTTGTAGCATCCAGAACAGCAACCACATCGATGTAGGGTTCAGAACAGCAACCGCACATCGTTTAAGCGTCCAGAGGAGAAAACACATCCTTGTAGCGTCCAGAACAGCAACCACATCTCTGTAGCGTCTCTAGTATAGCAACCACATCCTTGTAGCGTCCAGAACAGCAACCACATCCTTGTAGCGTCCACAACAGCAACCACATCCTTGTAGCGTCCAGAACACCAACCACATCCGTTTAGCGTCCAGAGGAGAAACCACATCCTTGTAGTATCCAGAGCAGCCACCACATCCTTGTAGCGCCCAGAATAGCAACTACATCCTTGTAGCATTCTTACCGATTCTATTCTATACTGGTTTATTCAAGGCGCGTTTTCACAAATCCGCAAGAAACATGAAAATAATCCCAATAACGCACTGATGGCCATACCGATGTCTAAAAGTTCATCCAAATTGTAAGATACGATGTAGTAATTGTTTATGCTTTCCGATGAAACTGATGTTGTCTTTCTCCAGTACTGTATACATTTATAGTCACTGCATATACTCACTCAGTAGATGGTAGTTAATGTTTGTATATAACCACCTCTTGCGTTGTTGACATGCTTATAGGTAACCGTTCCAGGTTGACAAACGCGTGAAGACACATCACATACCACTTAGATATACTATCACATGCCTTTTCATGATCAGAAATTGCATTTATATTGCATTTATATGTCAGCTTCGGTCTTCATGAGTGCAAAAATGACTGACGAACAAACTTGATGAATTTATTATTTATATTGAACCGCAAAGGAAACTGTCATGAATATGAAAGCTAAGCTAACTGTGTCAGTGTAACGAGGCGTAACGGCGTCAGTGTCACCACATTGTTACATTGTACCTATGCTGGACACCATCATCTTTAAACAACGCCCGTCTCCATGGGGTGAGTTCCACTTTGACAGTGTCGTGAATATTTTGAACACCTGAATGACTCGTGTGCCCCCAACAGCGATGAAGTGCCCCTCATCTTGCTGATTGACTGCACCATGTCGTTATTTAGACGTGCTTTAATAAACTCAGTTCAATTATATAAATTGTTGGCATTTTTTTAGATAGTTGCACCGTTCAGGATACGGGGTGCAGTTCGCTGTGAGGAGTTGCGTCCGTCAGCCACGCCTATGTCCGATAATTTTTGGATCAGCTTTCGCCACAGAACAACTGATCAAATTGCTGTTCGTCATATTAAATTTACTAAAAATATGATGGCTCATGATGACGTGAGACAAAAAAAAAGGGGTAGCCTTGAGTCCTTCGTCGGTAGGAGGCATCATTACCGCTCATATTTCTTCGCTACCACAGGGCCATGTAACACTACATTTTTCAGCCATGGTAGGCAGGTAAGAGAGATAGTCAGTCTGATGTTAGTCCGTGTGTATAAAGGGGATTTGATTTCACGAGGAACCGCCTTTCCAGCCGTGGTCCCAGACAGGTAAGAGAGATGGTCCGTGTGCAGAAAGGCCAGCCAGTAGAACTGAATGTGATGTAGATATGTGCCGCTTCACTGAAACAACGAACTTGTAACTGTGCTAAAATACCAATGCTATTCCTTTGTCAACAATAATATCATCGACACATATCACGAACAATATATAGTATGCATAACAACATGCTAGTTTCGAGTGGGTATAAAATTAGTACAGAATGAAATGCAGGGCAAACTATATATACTCCTCACAAAAGGTTAAGCAACAAGAATTATTTTCAGGATAATATTTTTAGTAACACAGTTGTCCAGTTATTAAATTATGGAAAAGCAAAATAAAAGCTATGCGCACAATAACCAAAAGTGACAGAAAGATTCATTGAACAATAACAGAGTTAGAACGTGGAAACACACACCCTTGACAAATCGTGCAAAATGTGTTTTCTGCACGATTCGGATAATCCACCTTAATGATTTCACAACTTCCAGTCGCTGTAGATGGCCATACAAGATTCAGTGACGTGTATGCCCACCGTTGGCACGACTACAGGTTTGCCCACGTCTTGGCATGGACCAAATGTGACGATCAAGTTGCTGCTGAGGAACATTTTGTCATTTTACATTGAGCCTGCTCAAGTTGATCTAGACTCTGGGGCTGAACATGACGACTATAAACACGCCTCCCAAGGATGTCCCAAGGATGTCCCAAGCATGCTCAATCGGATTGAGTTCCGGAAATTCGCTGGCCACTCCACGTGTGTAATATTGCTTGCCTGGAGGACAACAGTAACGACTCTTGCTCGATGAGGACGGGTGCTATCATCCGTGAAGATGAAGTTAGGACCAGCTTGTTGTGCCAGAGGAACGATGACAGGTGGCATGGTAACATCTCTTTAACGTATGCCAGTCACGTTACCCCGTCTGATAACCACAAGATGCCACCCTGGATGCCACCCCTCATCATAAAGCTTCCACCCCCAAAACGATTGTGTTCTGCTATGGTACAGTTAGCGTATCGTTCGATGTTGTTCCTCTAAACACGTGAACTACCATCATTGAAGTTTAGGTAGTATCTGGACTCGTCTTTGAAATTAACATTTCGCCAATGGTTGACCCTCCAATTGCGATGTTGATTTGACCAAATCATCTTGTTGTCGATGGCGTTCAGGCAATGGTATGCGTTGACCACTGACCTTTAGCATGGAGTCTGTTCCGAACTGTCTGCGTTGACACCCTGTTCCCGGCCACTCATTAAAGGTACTTCTGGAGAGACTTGCTGCGGTGAACCGGCTTCTCCGGGCGAGTGTAGCCAGGTAGCGGTACTCTCTCGGAGTTGTCACCCTCTGACGGCCGGTGCGTGATCTCTGTCATCAGACCAGTTTGGTGATACCGGGATATCGCTCTTGAAATGACGCTACGATGAACATTGTACTGATTTATAACGGCTGTCATACCACCCTGTACCATTCCCATGACTCGGGCCACGTCAGTGAAAGGGCGTCTAACCATGTCTCAAATCGTACTGACATTGACTTCTCCCCACTGCCGGTATTTAAACTATTTGAATGCACGTGCTGGGTTTCGTTGCACGTGCATCAGGCACATTTTGCATGATGTTTTCAAGGGTATTTGGACGATTCTATCCCAGTTTATGTACAGTGAATTTTTCTGCCACGTTTGGTCACTTGTTCGCATAATATTTATTTTGCTCTTACATCATTACATAAATTGCTATACTTGTGTTATAAACGCATTATTTTCAAAATCATTCTTGTTTCTTACGTTTTTGTGAGGAGTATATATATATATATTGTTTTCTGAAACAGAAAACAAAACTTGCCTGTTGGTCACTTCCTGATTAACGCAAAGTCGTGAGCCATGTCAGGTCCTCGTTGAGTTCACAAAAAGGGCTTCAGTGTAACTTGGTAAGTTGAAAGCTTGGCAATAGCGTGCTTTCAATAATATGTATTGATATCACTAATATTAATTACATGAAACAGTTACTGAAACAGTTAGATGTCAATAACTGGGTTTTTTTATATCTTAAAATTATTTTTTTATGATAGGAAAAAAAAAAATTGTGACATCGAAATATTTGAATTCCATTTTCCTATATCAATTATTCAGTTATGGATATCTTAAAATTATGGTGAATTTGAGATTTTAGTAATAGGAATGTTGGAGCAAATAGTGTTAAGTTGGCAGCATGTACCCGAGGTGGCAGTTGGTTGCCTGGGATTTATCTGGGATAATATCTTAAAAACAGTATGTACCCAAGGTGGCAGTTGGTTGCCTGGAGTTTATCTAGGATAATTATCTGATACGCAGCATGTACCTGAGGTGGCAGTTGGTTGCCTGGAGTTTATCTAGGATAATTACCTGATGAGCAGTATGTACCCGAGGTGGCAGTTGGTTGCCTGGAGTTTATCTAGGATAATTAGCTGATGAGCAGTATATACCCGAGGTGGCAGTTGGTTGCCTGGAGTTTATCTGGGATAATTACCTGATACGCAGTATGTACAGGAGCTGGCAGTTGGTTGCCTGGAGTTTATCTATGATAATTAGCTGATACGCAGCATGTACCCGAGGTGGCAGTTGGTTATCTAGGATAATTAGTTAATACGCAGCATGTACCCGAGGTGGCAGTTGGTTATCTAGGATAACTGGCTGATACGCAGCATATATCCGAGGTGTAGGCTGTAAACAGTACATGTATCTTCATTTGTTTAATTACCTGATTTCTATTGACAGTTCTTATCGATATTTTCGCTTTTAACACAAATATATTTCTATGACAGAGGATATGAATTTCCTTTGTGCGGCTTCTATTGCAAGTTGAACAATTGAATATATAACAGCAAAGTTTTCCTTATTGGGCTTGTTTCTGCCTTTACAAGGATAATGCATCACCGCCACCTGTCCTTTTATTCAAAAGCAAATAAGGAAATAATGCATGATGAATAAAATAATAGCCAACCCAAATAAATACCACACTTTTCATTAGTTTATATACTGACGAAAAAAGTAACTGTGCTTCATATAAAGTGATGTAAATGTTGAAAATAACAGCCTAATAAATGGCCATCATAACAAATTCATTGACAAAAACCATACCTGGCGACAAGCCCCCAATGAGGGGTGGTGTAACAACTTAGTTAACAATGTCAATATCAGGTATGATCGCCATTTGCATTTGTACAGGCGAGGCAGCGGCGGCGCACTGAAGTCACCAGATGCTTGAAAACAGTCTAGGGGATGTTGTTCCAAATGTTGGCCCGACTGAGTTGGCCGTACTGGCTGGTTCTGGTCCTGTCTATCTCATCCCAGATATATTCTATGGGGGAGAGATCTGAAGAAACTGCCGGACATGGCAGTACAGCAATGTTGCCTCAAAAAGGCACGTGCAATATGTGGGTGGGCATTATCCTGATGCAACGCGCCGTTACGTCCATGTATTTGCGCTCTCCCATGAGTTGTAATGCCACCCAATACCATTACACTTCCACCCCCAAACTGAAGACCATGCGTCGGTATTTAACGTTCTCCTGGTCGCCTGTAGACCCTTGAACGACCTCCAGAGCTCTCCAGATGAAACCTGGACTCATCTGTGAACAGTATAATGTCCCAGTCTTGTCTCCTATCTGAAGAGGCAACCATCCAATGAAGATGCACGTGCAAATTGCGATCGGTATTTAGTCTCTGTTTCAGAATAAATATATTTTTCTTTAAATTTGTATGAAGCAGTTACATTTTTCCGTTACATCTATCAAAGCAGTTAGAGGCAACGAAACCCATGGACCTGGGTGCGAATCCCAGACTCGTCTTGATTGTAATTCTTGGCTTATTCACTATACCCGTGAAGGGCCACGAGTAGCCCACAGGTCAAGGACACCGTTATTTCACCCCTTCCGGTTACGTTCTTTAGCCGTGTCAGGATTAGCTAACTAATTCTAGATCGACCTTGATTATGATACTTGGTTTGCCAGAGTCCATACTTATGAGTTTCATCTAAGAAGTAAACGTCTCACCCTCGATTATCCAGTGTATCATAGTTCCATTCTAATCTGATAAATACCCCTGACCCATTCACCATCATAGCTAAACATAGCCGTGTCATCCCATTTTGTTATCGAAACAACAGTACTCCACTCACATTGTTGTGTGAAGTCTCAAATACAACGGTGGACGTCTTGTTGCATAAGCACTTCCCTTCCCAGTCTTAATACTTCGGCGGTCTGTAAAATAATCGAGTCTGGACCAGACAATCCAGTGATTGACATCATAAGCATCGATCCACGCAATTGGGATCGATGACATGCATCAACCAAGTCAGCGAGCCTGACCACCCGATCCCGTCAGTCGCCTTTTACGACAAGCATAGTCGCCTTTTGCGGCAAGTATGGGTTGCTGAGTGCTGAAAGAATGACATTATATGATAAAAAGGCTCGCTAAATACAATGTTTATTCCTAATGCAGGACATTTACCATCCCAAAACACACTCGCGTGATAACCTCTATATCCCATGTAGGATGTTGTTTAGTACGAGTGAAGTCATCGGGCATACAGGGAAACTCTGCCAGTTTCGTTACGTTGACTGAATGTAACTGTTATTCATTCATTCATTCATTCATTCTGTCATTTATTTTTGATCGTTCGTACGTTCGCTCATTCATTCACTCATTTATATATTTACAATAAATTAACGCGCACGTAGGACTGACTGGACCTTATGCCTCATGAGCTGTAGGTGAAAGGTTAGGTTACTATATGGGCTGTTTGACATTCACCACGCCCCAAGTATGATACGGAAGTAATATCGATAGTTAAAGTGTACAAAAGTATCACTGTGAATGTAACTGCTAATGACCATGTGTTTTCCTCTTCTAAACAATCAGCTGCTGATATGCGGTTAGCAATCAGTTATAGCGCCTTACCGCGGGAACATACACCACTGGTCAGGTGAACCTTTTCCACACAGGTAAATTTAAATATGTTATTAAAATAAATCTACGGCGCGATAATGTACCAGGATATGCGCGAATTTATTATTGACAAGGGGCGGTGGGGTATAGCTTAGTGGTGAAGACCTGGGTTCGATTCCCCACATGGGTACAATGTGTGAATGTGTGTGGTGTCCCTCGCCGTGATATTAGTGGAATATTGCTGAAGGCGACGTCAAACAATACTCACTCACTATTCTTGACAAATGTACAAAACGAAGAAGGACTATTTACTTATTAGTGTACCAACTGCAGGGAGGTGTTTCTATACGCCTGAAAAATTAAACATCCTTTACCTCATATTTCCATGTAAAATAGACATTTTTCAAAATCATACCACGTATTGAATTTCTAAGGAAACATTTGTTTTTACAAAGTTATAATGCACAATATTCAATACAGAAACCGAAATCCAAGCCAATAGTTACTTGACTTCCCTTCTAATTGTTTCCTCTGCTTCACTGTATCATATGATATGACGCGGTACATGGGACCAACTGGAGAAACAGTCATCTTTGCAGTCTGACCACCCGATCCCTGTAGTCGCCACGTCCTTCAGATTGCTGAATATTCTCTCCCGACACGATATTATCTTCGACATTCAACAAATCGGGGATATGGTCATGTGTAGATACTTGATATAGGAAAATATACACAAAGAAAAACGTTAAGCACACCTCTATTTCTGAACCATGACAAATGGCAAAATCATGGCATGGGATGACTGACCACAGGAGTTGGGCGATACCAATGATACGGCTAGAACAAACATTTGACAACAAATAAAGAAGATATTGGTGAGTTGTGATTGAAATTTACTGACAAAAACATCATGGTAACACAGGTACTGTTTTTTACCTTAGACCATACCTAAAAAAAGTATGGAGCTGTTTTATTAAGTATTCCACCCTACGTCTCATGCCTCCAGTCAGACGTTGAATCTGTTGAGGGGTCAACAACAACTCCTGGTGCGTTCCAATTGGCGTAAATCTTTTACAGGAGGATCTCGTGCCTGTACGCGCCTCCCCAGAATATCCCAAACATGTTCAACAGGGGGTTCAAATCTGGCTCATTGCGAGGAAAGACGAGGAAAGACGACTGTCCTCAAAACGTCCCGGGTGTACTGAGCCCCTGTTAAATTGCCCCTTATTGTGACCAAATCCAACCATGCTAAACGAGCAGCATTGTGGTGATCTCTCAACAAGGGACGCTTTATGACTCGTCTAGCCTTCAGTCCTGCTGCTTTCAGTCGGTTCCGGACGGTTCTGGTGCTGAAACAACGATTAGGCAACCACAGCTGTTTCAGATGAGTACTTGTTTAAAAGGATTCTTGGCGAATGAGACGAGGAAGGTCCCTGTCTTCGCGATGTGTCGTCGCAGGAGGTCTTCCGGATCTGGGACGGTCCTATACATCACCGGTCTGAGCATGTTTCTCGACTAAACGGCTTCAACAGTGTGATGATACCCCAAATTCCGACCAATGGCATTACAAGATATTCCTGCGTTATGCATGCCGACTATTTGCCATCTTGTGGCGTTTGATAATCGCCTTCGTGTCATGGTCACACAATGTCATGGAATTTAAAACCGAGCTTAAGAAAGTAATTTCAACGTTTGGATATACTGCTTTTAAGAGATACTCGAGGGTAGCATGCTGCACGGGCACACCATGCATGACACGTGAGCTTTCGTCACGCATGACTGATTACATCATCTCGTAATTTTATCTTTCATGACTGTTACAAATATGGGGACCAAACAATAATGAAATATATTAGGTTGTGCTTAACTATTTTCTTTGTGTATATATAAGAAGCGGTGTCTAACTTTGTTCTAGGAATGTACTATCTATATCGACAGATGGACCAGCAGTATGGGTAATGCTACCCATTGCGTCGACCAAGCAGCGTCCCGGCTGGGGATGGCGAGTCTTCACTGGCCGGTACTCCTTTTTATCGTGGTCCTCTTTGCGCTCGGCTTCACCGGAAACAGCCTGGTCTTCTATATGTACCATTTTCGTTTGAAGAAAAATATATTCGGATCATTTGTCCAGATCTTAGCTGCACTGGACATGGTCATTGTGTTTATCTGCCTACCGTGTACTTTCCTGCTTCGTTTTGTTTACGACATTGTTGATGCCTCCGTAATTTGCAAGACACAGACTTTCGCAAAGCACTTCAGCTCTGCCATGATGGGCGTGGTGCTCTCAGCCATTGCCTACCAGAGATATCAGAAGGCCTGCAAACCATTTGGACATCACATGACGAGGTCCTTTGTCCTGAAACTGTGTTTCACTGGGGTCTGCTTGGCATTGATAACAAGCACTCCCTTAATATACCTGATCGAAAAGACAATAACCAATGTTACAAAAGGAAATGAATCTTATTGTGTACCTACTTGTGATTATGCAAGAAACGATTGGTTCTCCTTGTCCTATGCAATATTTGTGGATGTTGAATTCGTTGCATTTACAATGTTCTTAGTTGTTACTTATTTCAAGATTTGGAAAGATCTAGGTAAACGTTTTGCTAAAACTGGATCAAGAAAGGTTTCAATCAGAGTATTCTTTGTATCAGCAATAATCTACATCGTTTCAGGACTGCCGATCATGGCGATTTCAACATGGTTTAGTGTTCACGAAAACGTGCATGCATTCTCGCACCTTCTGTTGACAGCGTTTGACATTGGGGTTTATCTCCCGTATGTTAACTGTGTTGTCAACCCAATCATATACAGCTTGGCGTCAACCTTGTTCCGGGATGAATGCTGTGCACTATGTCACTGTACACAACCTGAATAAATCGGCATGGATAATAATTCAGCTCTCAGTTCACGTTCACGTTCATGCAAGATTCCATTATGTTATAACTATATAGGTGATTTATTTATTGCTTATCTTTGAACGATGACTAAAATTCTCATTCTAAACATCTCCGTTTTTATCTATATAATTGAACATAATATTCGTAAGGTTTGCGCTAGTAGTTCAGTTAGGATTGTCACAACCCAACAGCCTCATTTTGGTGGAATACCCAGTGTCACAGATCCTTTCAACTCACAGCCTGGGTTTCCTGTGCCCTGCTGACAAACTGAGAATCATGTTCAGCCCACAACTTCCCAGCCATTACTCACAATAAATTTACAAAATTACTTCGTCATGCGCTAAGTTTTAAAAATATTACAACTACAACTCTAACGTAGAAATATTTATTTCACACAAAAAGTCTGTATTGACATTACTGTAAAGTTCCTGGAAAGAATGAACACACAGTAACTTAATAATGATCCTATCTGAAACACATACACCATTTTGAAAACCCTACCACACCACAATCCATCTCTCAATATGACACATAATATTCTCTGCTGGTTGTCATGGGTACATTTCAAGGATGTGAAACCTGAAATGATTGAAAAGCAAGGTCTATGAGTTGTGTTTTAGTTAAAGTGTATTATGTTTATTTGTTGTTTAATATTACATGCACACTCCGCAATATTCCATGGTGCCGGTCAGTAAATAATCGAGTCTGGAGGAGACAATCCACATGACATGACATTCATCAACCAAGCCTGACCAATACGCTGGTTGCCATACATTATGTACCACTAGAAATGCTAATTATTATAATATAGTGTAAGGGGAATATACTTCTGTCACTACCTGAATAATCTGGAAGCCTAAAACTCATATTCACACTGTGAAATAAATACTTTGAAAACATTCATACCAAGGTATGCATAAGTGCATATATATGTACACACAAATACATTTCTGTATGTATAACAAAAGATATGACATCATTTAGAAGCAATGGCTTTTCTCATGTTATCATGAACGGCAATTGTACAATGAATCTGAGTAAACACAGAATCAAATCTACATTGATAGTTTTTCATTTATTTACAATAAAAACCTCCCTCAAATTATATATCAGTATCACATGATTACATAGCTCAGCAGTAAACCAACACAATATTGTACAGCGATTTCAGTGTTCAGTCATCAGCAGGGACAAACACTGGTGGCGACACTTACATCAAGCAGCCAGCTACAAGGTAGCCCTGTGGTAGGTGACACATCAAGCAGCCAGCTATAAGGTAGCCCTGTGGTAGGTGACACATCAAGCAGCCAGCTATAAGGTAGCCCTGTGGTAGGTGACACATCAAGCAGCCAGCTATAAGGTAGCCCTGTGGTAGGTGACACATCAAGCAGCCAGCTACAAGGTAGCCCTGTGGTAGGTGACACATCAAGCAGCCAGCTACAAGGTAGCCCTGTGGTAGGTGACACATCAAGCAGCCAGCTACAAGGTAGCCCTGTGGTAGGTGACACATCAAGCAGCCAGCTACAAGGTAGCCCTGTGGTAGGTGAAACTTACATCAAGCAGCCAGCTACAAGGAAGCCCTGTGGTAGGTGACACATCAAGCAGCCAGCTACAAGGTAGCCCTGTGGTAGGTGACACTTACATCAAGCAGCCAGCTACAAGGTAGCCCTGTGGTAGGTGACACTTACATCAAGCAGCCAGCTACAAGGTAGCCCTGTGGTAGGTGACACATCAAGCAGCCAGCTACAAGGTAGCCCTGTGGTAGGTGACACATCAAGCAGCCAGCTACAAGGTAGCCCTGTGGTAGGTGACACTTACATCAAGCAGCCAGCTACAAGGAAGCCCTGTGGTAGGTGACACATCAAGCAGCCAGCTACAAGGTAGCCCTGTGGTAGGTGAAACTTACATCAAGCAGCCAGCTACAAGGTAGCCCTGTGGTAGGTGACACATCAAGCAGCCAGCTATAAGGTAGCCCTGTGGTAGGTGACACATCAAGCAGCCAGCTACAAGGTAGCCCTGTGGTAGGTGACACATCAAGCAGCCAGCTACAAGGTAGCCCTGTGGTAGGTGAAACTTACATCAAGCAGCCAGCTACAAGGTAGCCCTGTGGTAGGTGACACATCAAGCAGCCAGCTACAAGGTAGCCCTGTGGTAGGTGAAACTTACATCAAGCAGCCAGCTACAAGGTAGCCCTGTGGTAGGTGACACATCAAGCAGCCAGCTACAAGGTAGCCCTGTGGTAGGTGACACATCAAGCAGCCAGCTACAAGGTAGCCCTGTGGTAGGTGACACATCAAGCAGCCAGCTACAAGGTAGCCCTGTGGTAGGTGACACATCAAGCAGCCAGCTACAAGGTAGCCCTGTGGTAGGTGAAACTTACATCAAGCAGCCAGCTATAAGGTAGCCCTGTGGTAGGTGACACATCAAGCAGCCAGCTACAAGGTAGCCCTGTGGTAGGTGACACATCAAGCAGCCAGCTACAAGGTAGCCCTGTGGTAGGTGACACTTACATCAAGCAGCCAGCTACAAGGTAGCCCTGTGGTAGGTGACACATCAAGCAGCCAGCTATAAGGTAGCCCTGTGGTAGGTGACACATCAAGCAGCCAGCTACAAGGTAGCCCTGTGGTAGGTGACACATCAAGCAGCCAGCTACAAGGTAGCCCTGTGGTAGGTGAAACTTACATCAAGCAGCCAGCTACAAGGTAGCCCTGTGGTAGGTGACACATCAAGCAGCCAGCTACAAGGTAGCCCTGTGGTAGGTGACACTTACATCAAGCAGCCAGCTACAAGGTAGCCCTGTGGTAGGTGACACATCAAGCAGCCAGCTACAAGGTAGCCCTGTGGTAGGTGACACATCAAGCAGCCAGCTACAAGGTAGCCCTGTGGTAGGTGAAACTTACATCAAGCAGCCAGCTACAAGGTAGCCCTGTGGTAGGTGACACATCAAGCAGCCAGCTATAAGGTAGCCCTGTGGTAGGTGACACATCAAGCAGCCAGCTACAAGGTAGCCCTGTGGTAGGTGACACATCAAGCAGCCAGCTACAAGGTAGCCCTGTGGTAGGTGACACATCAAGCAGCCAGCTACAAGGAAGCCCTGTGGTAGGTGACACATCAAGCAGCCAGCTACAAGGTAGCCCTGTGGTAGGTGACACTTACATCAAGCAGCCAGCTACAAGGTAGCCCTGTGGTAGGTGACACATCAAGCAGCCAGCTACAAGGTAGCCCTGTGGTAGGTGACACATCAAGCAGCCAGCTACAAGGTAGCCCTGTGGTAGGTGACACATCAAGCAGCCAGCTATAAGGTAGCCCTGTGGTAGGTGACACTTACATCAAGCAGCCAGCTACAAGGTAGCCCTGTGGTAGGTGACACATCAAGCAGCCAGCTACAAGGTAGCCCTGTGGTAGGTGACACATCAAGCAGCCAGCTACAAGGTAGCCCTGTGGTAGGTGACACATCAAGCAGCCACCCAGCAAACAATTCTACGTTGTGACAACGTTGTGACAACGTTGACTTTTCGTTGCTACAACGTTGTGATGTTACGTTGTCACAACGTAATTCTGTAGACTCCCAGATTGGTTGCTACAACGTTGTGCGTAAACCAAAATACAACCAAATCAAGACGTTGTCACAACGTCCATTTTTTACGTTGCTACAACGTTTAACCAAAACGTCGCGACAACGTACCCAGCCAACAATTCTACGTTGTTACAACGTTGTGACAACGTTTACTTTTCGTTGCTACAACGTTGTGATGTTACGTTGTCACAAAGTAATTCTGTAGACTCCCAGATTGGTTGCTACAACGTTGTGCGTAAACCAAAATACAACCAAATCAAGACGTTGTCACAACGTCCATTTTTTACGTTGCGACAACGTAGGTATCGCATACTGTTTACATATGGCGACACTACAGGCATTGCAGCACGTTGTTGCAATGTCCATGTAGATTAACGCCTGTTTTATTCCTCAATACCTCCCAGGCAGCCTGAAAAGTTTGTACCAATCTAGTTAAGACGTCAGGTACCAAGAAATACATTCTGCAAACTGAATTCACTTTAACCCTATCCATGAAACAGCAAGTCAATGAAATGCACTCTCTTTTGGCAGAGTTTGAAATACGGCCAAGATATAAATCTAAATGTTTTAAATTACATTTCAATTTGGTAATATAATATTCATTTTCCAAAACAATTTTCAAGGCTATGTGCAAATTGTTCACAAATGTTTCAACACAATTAAAAGATATTGGATTTTCCCACGAATTTGCAAATTAAAAACCATCAAACAATAAGCCCTGCACAAATTGAAACATTTAAATTTTCTTGGCCTTACCTCATACATTCAGCATTGAGAGCAACACTGTGACAAACAGAATAGTCTATGCATCTGATGTCCTAAGATCCATTAGGTAAACGAAATGACAATAGAATTCTGGTTGAGGTGACCTTTATTTATTTGTTAAATGACAAGTCAGAACATGGGCTGAGTTGCTAGGGAGCCTTTTCAGTCCTCAAATGAAAAGTCACAGGGATGATCTTCAACTGTATCCTCAGTCTCTCCTTATGCCTTGGTAACTGAATAAAAAATGACACAAATGTTATAAAATGGCAAGGCAAGGGACATATTTCTGACATAACAAAATAACGGTTGCATTCCCCAAAATAATGTTTTGATGTCTGATGTCAGTCTTTAAACTGTTAAAAACTGCTGAAAGTGCGAAGGCGCTGACACTAATACCATGATGCTCTTGGATCATACATAAGCAGAAAAGCTTTTAGCACTGAATCATTGGTGTAACTTTATACCCCCGCCCTTTTAGATTGTGGGTATAATTAAATAAGAATCATCTAAATTTTAATTCTTGAAGATGTTTGTATATATTATTGAATCAGACATACCTTTCTGTCAGTGATATGTACTTTAAACAAATACGCTCCCACAATACTGTTTTCTCCACCTGAAAGAAAAACAGAAACAACAAAGTATCACATTCTTAAATAAACCAGTACTGTATAGATAAATCCCATTTACTTAGACTAATAGAGTATGATGTAACTGATAGTAATATTGGCAAATAGTTTTATCAGTCAACAGATCAACTGTAGTTTTTCAAAAGCAGTAACTTTACCTTTCTGCTGTACACTCAAACTAGTGATTCAAGTGAATATCATGGCCAAGTTTCTAAAACCTTATTTGAAAAATATGTACATAAATGAAAAATATATATTGCCAAATAAAATAAATAGTTCCCATATTTGAAGCAAGAATGTTGAATATGAATTATGAATTGGCCCACCAATAAGTGATAAAAGTGTTAACACTTTGGGGTATTTATCCTAATTAAAACTGTGATTTTTTTTAATACTTAGATCTACCTTAATATTTTCCATATTAATATGCCAGGATAGTTATATATGTTCTAACATTTACAAAGATTAGAAACATGGGGAAATAAACAAAATGCAATAGCTTATACAATACCAGACGAAGTTGAAACAGCTCTAAATATTTATTGAAATTTATTTGTCACTACGTTTATTAACATAGATCTAATACAGTTAAATATCGTTAAATATAATTCTGTAGTATGGTAGCCTACGTGGCAACATATGCAGATCGAAAACCGAAAGAATATGGTTGCTATCAATTCCATTGTATTTTTCATTGGTGCACATTGGCTACACCTATCTCACTTTAATAATCAACAAACGATGACCAACTCACTGACAATATATGGTGATATTTAACTTTTGACTATCGACTAGCTTATCATCACCAGAGAGGACAATACCGCAAACACCCCGTTATAGCACGCGACGAGAGACTCGTTTTACTTTTGCTCGTTTTCATTAGAAAGGAGTCGGACATAGATCTAGTTATCGGAAAATGATGAATTGATTCTTTTTTCGGAAATAATAAAAATACACATGATAAGCACCTTGCTATGATAAACTTTATAGACAGCAGCAACAACCTGATGATCCACATTTAGGCTACTTCAGTCAGTGCTAATTAGGCCTTTTCGGAAACATCAAGTATGTTTCTGTCTCTTCCCGAAAATACGATTTTTTTCATAACATCATTGATCACTTTAGACTAGGGCTATAACTAGCAGCCTACAGAGAGTCGATCTGAATACTTCCATTGTTTTGATTCCCTCTTTTCGCTGTATAAGAGAAATCTACTTAACCTTTCCCATGGCCTGGATGAGCCACATTGTTGCACAAAAATCAAAGTCAGAAGATTAGTACATGTAAACTTTAAATAGTAATGATTTCAGAAATAACACAGAAGAAATGGCGATAACTGTCAGTGCGGTCAGTAGGCGATGCATAAGTTAGGCCTATTTACAAATCTACACGCTTACGAACGAAACCCGAACATAATATGACGGCCACAAAACGCCACCAGATTGAATTCTGGTCAAAAATATACCGCTTGCCCTTGGCAATTACCCTTGGTATCCATAAAATAATAATATGGAAAAAAGTCTTGGGCCCCCTTCACCTCTGTCATCAAGTTCTGTGTATCATATTAATATCAACACTGACGCTCAGTGAAAATGACCGGCAAACTGCATTCTTAACCCTGCCACTTCTGAATAATACGATACATTTAGATCATTTGACGCACTGCATGCACAGAAACATATCAACAAGAGGAGACTATTTTTGAAAAATTAACTTACCTCAATCGAATTCACAGATCATCTGTCCAGTTCCAGTTGCTGCACAATCACTTGCTTGTAATATATTATGTCCAGAGTGAGTTTGAGCTAAGATGGCTGGTGACAACAAATCTTCCGCGACAATGTGACGTCATTCTGACGTCACTTCACGAGGCAACAGCCTAAACTTTTCTGCAGTCGCTCTCACGCCGCAAAAATACGCGCCAATTGTTTTTAACTGTAATATTGCTTGTGACAACATTTAGTTCGTATAATTAATAGATATATATGTTTAAAAAAAAATAACACTAAGAGATGGTAGATCTACAAGTGGTTTCCTAAACATCATTTACAAAAAGTACTGTAATGTCCAAAGCACAACGTTATCACAACGTTAATTTGCAACGTTGTTGTAACGTTGTCACAGATATACGCAATTACGTTCTCGAAATATTAGTATCAAGAGATGAAAATTCAAATGCCGAATATATAGAAAGGTAATGCATTACTAACTTGGTTTTCTGACAAATTCATGTTGATTTTGATAAAGCAGGTCTATTCCTTCTATTCTATTCTATCGAGAAGCAAACTCAATAACGTTTCACCGACGTTTCAGAAACGTAGTTACAAAACGTTGTGTGATGTCCAATGCACAACGTTTTCACAACGTGAATGTGCAACGTTGTTATTACGTTGTGAAATAACGTTGCAGGTCGACGTTAAAATAACGTTGTTACAACGTTATATCACGACGTTACCAATCCACAACCTTTCAACAACGATGGAAGTGCGAATCATGCATGTATGGCGAAAATGTTATTGTCATTGTTTGTTGTTTAATCGCCTCTTACGACAAGCACGGGTTGCTGAAAAGTGAAAACCAAATCTAACATTATTGTAATTTTCTGCCAAAATGTAGTTTATTTCGAGTAAACACCTTTGTTTTTACGCTTTTCGCGATGAAGACTATTTGACGTCGCACCAACGTATGAGAAACGTTGTCATCATAACGTTGCATGGCGCCCGATGCACAACGTTTCCACAACGTAATTTTGCTACGTTGTGATTACGTTGTCACATAACGTTGGAGTGACGTGATAATAAGGTGTTTACACAGACTTTAGTTTATTCACGAGATGGAAATCCTGATTCCGAAGATATAGGTAAATAATGAATTACTGCCTTGTTTTTGGCAGAAATTGTGTCGATTTGTATGTAAAACTTTTGTTCATACAATTTTTGTTAAGGCGACAGTTGACGTCGCACCAACGTTTCAGAAACGATGTAACAAGACGTTGGGAAATATTCGATGAACAACGTTTTCACAACGTAAAAATGCAACGTTGTTATTACGTTGTGAAACGACGTTGCACAGTGACGTAATAATAACGTTGTGACAATGTTGTATCACTACGTTACCAATTCACAACTTTACCACAACGTTGTGAAAACGTAGTGTGTTAGCTGGGCAGCTACAAGGTAGCCCTGTGGTAGGTGAAACTTACATCAAGCAGCCAGCTATAAGGTAGCCCTGTGGTAGGTGACACATCAAGCAGCCAGCTACAAGGTAGCCCTGTGGTAGGTGACACTTACATCAAGCAGCCAGCTACAAGGTAGCCCTGTGGTAGGTGACACATCAAGCAGCCAGCTACAAGGTAGCCCTGTGGTAGGTGACACATCAAGCAGCCAGCTACAAGGTAGCCCTGTGGTAGGTGAAACTTACATCAAGCAGCCAGCTATAAGGTAGCCCTGTGGTAGGTGACACATCAAGCAGCCAGCTACAAGGTAGCCCTGTGGTAGGTGACACTTACATCAAGCAGCCAGCTACAAGGTAGCCCTGTGGTAGGTGACACATCAAGCAGCCAGCTACAAGGTAGCCCTGTGGTAGGTGACACATCAAGCAGCCAGCTACAAGGTAGCCCTGTGGTAGGTGAAACTTACATCAAGCAGCCAGCTATAAGGTAGCCCTGTGGTAGGTGAAACTTACATCAAGCAGCCAGCGACAAGGTCATCAGACAAGGTAGCCCTGTGGTAGGTGACACATCAAGCAGCCAGCTACAAGGAAGCCCTGTGGTAGGTGAAACTTACATCAAGCAGCCAGCTACAAGGTAGCCCTGTGGTAGGTGACACATCAAGCAGCCAGCTATAAGGTAGCCCTGTGGTAGGTGACACATCAAGCAGCCAGCTACAAGGTAGCCCTGTGGTAGGTGAAACTTACATCAAGCAGCCAGCTATAAGGTAGCCCTGTGGTAGGTGACACATCAAGCAGCCAGCTACAAGGTAGCCCTGTGGTAGGTGACACTTACATCAAGCAGCCAGCTACAAGGTAGCCCTGTGGTAGGTGACACATCAAGCAGCCAGCTACAAGGTAGCCCTGTGGTAGGTGACACATCAAGCAGCCAGCTATAAGGTAGCCCTGTGGTAGGTGACACATCAAGCAGCCAGCTACAAGGTAGCCCTGTGGTAGGTGAAACTTACATCAAGCAGCCAGCTACAAGGTCATCAGACAAGGTAGCCCTGTGGTAGGTGACACATCAAGCAGCCAGCTACAAGGTACGCAGATAAACACAGTGGCAGAACGATCGCATCCAAAAGTGGAAGAGATATGACGATCGGTATTGGGAGAAAAGGTACAGATAATAGACGTGAGGATTGTGAGAATATGCGGGAAATACCAAAGTTTACTCAACTGTTTGTAAAATGGACATAATGTTGAAATATCATTAAAGAAATACACAACTCATGTTTGTTTGCTTATCGTAAAATAAAACACAGTAGGGACAATAAGCCTATTAGGTCTGTGGTCATGGTTTATTCTCCCTGCAGTGTTTTATTGTATGATAAACACCTCGTTGTTTATTTCTTGACTATAAAGATAATATTGTATCGCACAAGTACTTCTTCAGCAATTGATAATAGAATATGCATCACATACTGCATTGGAAGACCAGTACATATTAAAGATAGGCGAAAACATACATGGTTCTCAACACTAGTAAGTAATATTTAAATACACCTGCGCATGATTTCTTAAATTAATATACCTGGAAAGAATCCTAAGATACAAATCACCATGACAAATCAACAGAGCAGAATATACTGGCATTGACTTCTGAAAGATCTCTTTCACAAAATGAAACACCTTATAAATGTAAAACAATAGTAACAAACAGTCCAACATCAGATACTCCATCACTGGGAGCTTCTCAGTAGCCATCAGGTGCAATGAAGATCAGTATGTCTTTCCAAGATATCCTTCAATACCATGGGTTGCAAGTCACCATTTCATCATCTAAGATCATTTTCACAATATCACAGATACTCAATGTTCATCGGTCAAAGAAAAATTGAAGATAAAAATCCATACAGGTACTGTCTTGTGACTGGTCAGTTAATAGCCAATCAATGTCACTGTCTTGTGATTAGTCAGTTGATTACCAATCAGCAGGGATTTAGCTCGCAGCAGCAGTGAGTTCACTTTGATCAATGACTTGTGCAGAGAGTTCACCAGCCTGTTCCACAACTGGGAATGGTTCTGCAAGACCTGCTAGGCCTTGACCATCAAATATATTAGTGATATTTCTGGTTGCCCTGGCAACAGCCATGACCGCCTCTGTTGCAGTCTGAAATAGTGATTTGAAACATGTAGACATCATAGAATTAATCAGTAAGACATCAACCACATAACATTGAAGTTCAGATTCTAGCTGAAATTAAAGTGGCAAGCATCACAGCATGAAATGCAAGTAGTAATAAAGATGGTTTAGGAAGGCAGATGGCCAACAGAAAAGGAAGACAGATGACCTAGTGACAAGGAAGACAGATTTTCTTCAGACAAGGAAGCAAGACAGATGGTCTACTGACTGGCAAGATAGATGGTCTACTGACTGGCAAGATAGATGGTCTACTGACTGGCAAGACAGATGGTCTACTGACTGGCAAGATAGATGGTCTACTGACTGGCAAGATAGATGGTCTACAGACTGGCAAGATAGATGGTCTACTGACTGGCAAGACAGATGGTCTACTGACTGGCAAGATAGATGGTCTACTGACTGGCAAGACAGATGGTCTACTGACTGGCAAGACAGATGGTCTACTGACTGGCAAGACAGATGGTCTACTGACTGGCAAGATAGATTGTATACTGACTGGCAAGACAGATCACATACTGTAAATCTAGAAACTAACACGAGCGTGAATTAAATGCGAAAAACGTGAGTGGTCTTTGTTTGCATTAATTAACTTCACATTTATATCTCCAAAATGACCATCAACAATAAGACGGCCTTACTGCACATGTTGGATAGCGGAAATACCAACTTGAATATAAACACAAACACTGTTTATTGAGCAGCAGTTGTGAAAAGTATATAACAATGTCATTCAAAGAATAGGAATTACACAATGGGCATCCGGTGAGTTATCACTGCTTGGGTCAAGACAAACTCGTGTCAAGCTTGTTGACACCTTCCCCGCATACCAATCAGTGAACTGTTGTTGGAAAACACTGTTTGTTTTTACGGAAGTGGTCGACTCAGTGCTAATACAAAGTGCTTTTTGCTGTGTGATTGGATAAGTAAGTTTGGATTAACTGATTTGACTCTTTCAACACCAGTCAACCAGAAGTGTTTACTGCTGGGATACCAAGTGCCCAGAGACTCTTGTGTGATAGATGAAGCCAACATTTATCAAGGAAAATATCTGCTTGTTAAATATCTTTGCTACTACATGTTATACACCATTTGAAAGGTCTGATCCTATGGTTTATAAATATGAAAGTTATGTTTAACACATTATTTTAATAATGCTTTACAACTAAATTAAGTTTGTTGTAAATAAAAAATGTAAGCTAACACGTTAATAACGTTCAGATTAAGGACCAAGGAAGTGAAAAATTGACGTTTTTCGGGAAATATGGGTTTTTCAGATTAAAAACGATGTTTTATTGGTCTGTTTTCAGTCGTACAAATGGGTATCTCATACCTCTAGTCGCACGATAAAAGGAAGCCAGAAGCTGGAATGTAAACAATAAACTTGTTTCCGTCCGGTTGCGCATGCACCTCCCTATGACATGTCACAAATCTCGAAGAATAAGCCATCAAGCAGGACTGGACTGGATTACTTCCCAGTGGGAATGGCTGGGTGGGAACGTACGACTGAAAACAGACCAATAAAACATCGTTTTTAATCTGAAAAACCCATGTTTTAGTCTGTTTTCAGTCGAACAAATGGGTAGAATTCGACGGAACACTGGAAGGAGGTTTGGGAAAGTAATCAGGAAGTGACCTCTTTCACGTCGAATGTACCAAGTTCCTCACCCCAGTAGTGACAATAGAACATTCGACCAGATGCACAGACGAGACAAATTGTTTATCACGAACGCACAGCATGGTTAATGCTCATCGGCACACAACTAAGTATCGATGTGACAGGACAACTGCACGCGTCAGTTGAACTGCGACCGAAGTGGTCAACGTATAGTTTAGTTAAGAGCAATTCGCAGTATACAAAGTAACTAAAACAGCATGTTTAATGCTCTTCGACCCACAAGTAAGTATCGATGCGACAGGACAACTGCACACGACAATTGAATCGCGATCGAATGGTGGACGGCATATAATTTAGTTTCAGAACGACTCGTCGTATCCAAGGTAACTAAAAATAGCATGGTTAATGCTCCTAGACACACAACTAATTATCGATGCGACAGGACAACTGCACACGTCAGTTGAATTGCAATCGAAGTGTGGTCGACCGATAGTTTAGTTACAGAGCACCGCGCAGTATACAAGGTAACTTAAACAGCATGTTTAATGCTCTTCGACCCACAAGTAAGTATCAATGCGACAGGACAACTGCACACGTCAGTTGAATTGCGATCGAAGTGTGGTCGGCTTATAAAGTAGCTACAGAACGACTCGTCGTATCCAAGGTAACGGTGAGGTGAAATTGGGTTTAACGTCGCGTCCAAGATTATTGCACTTATATAGCGACGTGCATGCACGTGTATGTCTGTGTGTGGCTGCTTGTACTAGTCCTGACTGATGCCGATTTATAGTGCTAGCTCACTGAGATACCATGCCGCAGTTTAACATGAATACCCCACTCAGACACAGTATACTGACTCCGAGCCGACCAGTCCTTGTTTTAGCCCCTTAATGCCGAGCGCCAGACAGGGTAACAACAAGTACAATCTTTTAACGTCTTTTTGTATGACGCGGCCTGGGATCGAACCCTGGACCTTCCGCTCTCCGGGCGGACGCTCTACCACAAGACCACGGAAGCGGTCTCCAAGGTAACAAAAAATAGCATGGTTAATGCTCTTCGACACACAACTAATTATCGATGCGACAAGACAACTGCACTCGTCAGTTGAATTGCGATCGAAGTGTGGTTGGCGCATAATTTAGTTACAGAGCAACTCGCAGTATACAAGGTAACTAAAAAATACGAGCAGTACTATAAAGTATGGGAAGACGATGCATACACCGAATAACCATAATAAAACAGCCAAAGAACTGCATGCAACAAAAACCATAAGAATGCGTACATTCACCAACAGTTTTTATTGTAACCTGTTATCGGGTACGAAGTGTCGAGCAAAAAGTCCAAAGTGAATAAAGCACAAATTCACTGTCTTTTCTCGGAGATCAGTTGTGCCACTACGAGTGGACCAAACTGTGTGCTCATGTTGAAGCTATGGCTCGAACTTCGTGCAGATGAGAGGAGGTGGGAGGTGCGAGTCCTTGCGCCTCGTAAGCTCTGAGAATGACCGCTCTCAACCAAAAGGAGAGAGTATTACGTGTAATCTCTTGCTTTGCATTGGTTGAGAGCAGCATGAACAGCTGTCGAAAATGTTGTCGTCGCTGTTCAGATCGCTGCAGGTAAATATGAAGCGCACGAACTGGGCTTTTCTGAGACAATGTCGAACGCGACCTGATCGAGAGGCTCGTAAGTCGAACTAGACAGGTAGCGCAGAACGATATCGAGGTCCCAGGCCAGCAGTCGGAATTAATGTGAGTCATCTTCAACCATGAAGGCACGTAGAATTTTCTGCAATTCAGGTATTTTAGTGAGCCTGTCGCCCGTAGGAGACGGCTCCTCTAGGTAGAAGGCGACCCTGATCGCCTGTCGATGGAGCCATTCTACGACCGTCTTCATGATCCATGTGATGAAGTCTTCCCCCTACAGGTAGCTCGTCTAAAGGTAGTAGACTCCGAAGACGGTGATGGCGGGGGAAGGGACCTCACTACCTCCGCCGCTGGCTCGCTGTCGACAGCATAGCAAGCGGTTGTAGCTGGTGACGAACAGCAGTGTCCATGGATCCCCAATGCCTGTCTACTACAAGAATCTTGGAGGGCGCTGGTTTCTTGAAGAGTAGCCCCCAATCCAAGTCCCTACTCATGGGTGACGAAAACGGCATGCCATAGATCGGGTGAAGCGATCGAACAGGTGGTTTGCTGAAACTCTGCCCCGGCAGAGCAGAGGCAAGTTCTGGTCCATATCGTGAGCCATGCCTCTGAAGACATCGGGAGGAGAAGACTGAAGAGACTGCGGCGTATCTCCAACCTTAAAGCCAGCACACGTCGGTGTGTCATCATCTTTTGATAACTCAGGCAGAAAAGTGAGATAGCCAAGCCATGGCCAAGCTGTCGTCACAATCCATCGTCGACGTCGATTGTGTAGGCGTAGATGAAGGAACAGGTGTACAGGACGATGGTCCATGGACCTCCGACGTAGTCGAACCCTTCTCGGTCGACGCCGTCAAGGCGAGTACCGCCGCCGTGATCTGGCCTATCAAAGCCGGGTCGATATGAAAGTGAGACGAGGGTGACGATCGATCATTATCTCTACGACGCTGATTTCCCCAAAACTCCCTTCAAGAGCGTCGCACGTCCCTGTGGGGACGAGGGCAACGATCCCTAACTGTAGAAGTACTACGATCCCCATCGTTGTTATCGTCCAAATCGAACTCCCGACGACCTCGAAGGTGACGAACGTCCTCATGTCGTTTTACTGTCTCTCGACGAGGCACTCGACCTGTCGTCCCGGGGCGGGAACGACTTGTAGAGTGGGATCCGTGTTCACTGTCGACCTATCGTCGTTGGTAGGACGAGAGACGGACCGACTGGGGACCGTAGTCCCCTCATGGTCCTCGTCACGAGCCGGTCCCGTCATAACGGGGGTGGCGGAGTGACGCTCTCGATCAACCGATTGACGAAGATCAGTTGTGCGGGTAGTATCATCAGCAGGCGAACGGTCACGTGTTTTGTCGAAAACATAAGTTGACTGGGGCAGGTCGTTATCAACCGATTTCTTGGGTGTGGCCGACACGCCACCCCCAGGGCCAGATGTAGAGGCTGCAGAGTCCAGGGATCCACCCGATGACCTACTCTGCTTGTAGCGCTGGTCAGTAGCCCGCTTTGCCAACACACGAATATACCAATTAAAGTTTATTAAAGTGATCACATACTTTACAACGTTTATCCCAAGAACACGTTTAAAATCCGTCCTTAATTAAGCAGGAAGGACAATACTTGTGAGGATCTACTTTGGACAGTATACTTTGACACGAGGCAGAAAAGCCCGACATGTTGCCACGTGTATAATCAAGTCAAACAGTGAAACACATGTTGAACACAAACAATGGATTACCAAGGATTACATTCCAGGAGTCTACAGGTAAGACATATTATTATTACTGTATTAGAACAACAACTGTAGATACACGATAAGTACTAGTAGAATACAAACTAGCAGTCTATCGCGAAAGTCCTTCTCGAGCGACCAGCTCAGAGGCGCGCTGAGAGTTTTGTGACATGTCATAGGGAGGTGCGTGCGCAACAGGACGGAAACATGTTTATTGATTACATTCCAGCTTCTGGCTTCCTTGTAATGTGCGACTAGAGGTATGAGATACCCATTAATACGACTGAAATCAGACTAAAACATAAGATTTCATAAAATCCACTTGCCTATTTTTGTTTTATTTTCATTTTTTACATAAGTGGAAAATCATTTTAAAAAGAATTATAAATAGTATATGTCATCACCCATTTCCTGATAACAGCGGCTGTCCGCACAGTAACATGAAGAAATACCCCCGTTTTAGAGGCTTCGTATGAATAACACATTTGTCGAAGACTGGCATATGAAACATCGCTAGAAAGCTTATTCCTTCATCTATTTGTTCGTATCTTCACCTGGATTTTTTTCATAGTTATAACAAGCGATTTCATTGGATAAAAACTAGTTTCTAATGACGCTTTCTAGACGAAATCTGCTACAAGGTTCGGGATCGGTCAAATTTGAGCGTGTGACCTAAGGCAGCCAATCAAATTACAGCTATGGTACTGCCTCGTGTATATGATAAATTTCAGAAGTTGACGAAAGATTTTTGTTAAACCGTGTTATTCTAAACGTTTTAAGCAGCAAATCATGATATATATTAAAAATAAGGAACTTTTCGTGAATGTATTGTGCTAGGTCACGAGATGTGACAAAGATTTTTCATGCATATATTTCTGCATTAAAATCGTGTCCGAGACGAGAATTCAAGGTGACGAGATGTCATTTGACTTACATTACACGCGATCACATGAAAAGATGGAAATAATAACTTAGATGTAAGTTTGACAACTTTTAGGTACATATTTGTTGGTTTTATTTATTACCTTGTATAATATATGTAAAGATTTGCTTGAAACGTCATTATTTTGCTCTTTGACATGTTTGATGTGGACCTGTTGTCGAAGTGTGTCCGAGAGTTTTATTTTCAATAACAATACAGGAAATAGTGAATAATTGTTTAATCTATCGATAAAAATAGGTAGATAGAAGGTCTACTGACTAGGTAGATAGAGGGTCTACTGACAAGGTAGATAGAGGGTCTACTGACTAGATAGAAAAAGGGTCTACTGACTAGGTAGATAGAGGGTCTACAGACTAGGTAGATAGAAGGTCTACTGACTAGGTAGATAGAGGGTCTACTGACTAGGTAGATAGAGGGTCTATCGACTAGGTAGATAGAGGGTCTACTGACTAGGTAGATAGAGGGTCTACAGACTAGGTAGATAGAAGGTCTACTGACTAGGTAGATAGAGGGTCTACTGACTAGGTAGATAGAGGGTCTATCGACTAGGTAGATAGAGGGTCTACTGAATAGGTAGATAGAGGGTCTACAGACTAGGTAGATAGAGGGTCTACTGACTAGGTAGATAGAAGGTCTACTGACTAGGTAGATAGAGGGTCTACTGACTAGGAAGATAGAAGGTCTACAGACTAGGTAGATAGAGGGTCTACAGAGTAGGTAGATAGAAGGTCTACTGACTAGGTAGATAGAGGGTCTACTGAGTAGGTAGATAGAGGGTCTACTGACTAGGTAGATAGAAGGTCTACTGACTAGGTAGATAGAGGGTCTACAGACTAGGTAGATAGTGGGTCTACTGAGTAGGTAGAAAGAGGGTCTACTGACTAGGTAGATAGAGGGTCTACTGACTAGGAAGATTAGTACCACATCATAGTTTTTTCTTCTGCAATCTGCTACAAAACTGCTGATGCTGCATAAAGAAATACCTCCATACTGTGACTGTCACGCTCTTTAGTTTCAGCCCAGAGAAGCATGTATGTGTACCTTAAGTTTCCTCCTGGCATTGAACTCCTTGATGTTGTCGAAGGTGGACTCCATGTGGTCCATACGAGCGGCCTTGCCCATCACCCACGGATGTTTAAGAGCTTCTGCAGCAGTCACACGCTTTTTAGGGTCCAGGTGCAGCATCTTTCGTACAAGGTCCTACAATAAATACACAAAGCAGGCTATATCATCACTACTCTATCTATATTCCATCTCTAGTGTACCAACATCAGTAAGAAGACCCAGTCCCAATTCCGGGGCAAAACCTAACGTGTGAAAGCATGTGATTCAATTACCATTTGTACATCTAAGCTCACATTTTGAGTTTAGGTTTCAGTGGATGTTAGTGTGAACAGAGTCCACTGTATTACAATGCAATGATATTGGGATAGCCTAACCACACCTGTACGAATGTGACTGTCCAAAACAATAACGGTAAACATATATACAGAAGTCAGAGGCCTGAATGCAGGGATATGTGGCAACATAATAGATATGTGTGAATTAGTCCCCCAGTGCAATGTGGAACCAGCACTGTCACTTGAAGACAACCAGTTCTACCTTGGATCTCCTCACAATTGTTGCTGTTGAGGAACTGTGAACACCTGGTCAGTTTAGATGACTAGTCAAGTGTTAGCCAAGTTTACCTTAGCGTTCTCTGACACCTCGTCCCACCAGGGACAATCAAACTTATAATCTGCCTTGATGATGCGCTTGTACATCTGACGGTCTGTGTCAGCACTGAATGGCTCGTAGCCACACAAACTGATGGACAGAAAGACATTATTAGGCAATGTAAAGGAAGACACTTCTTAAAATCATGAATAAACACAATCAACATGAATTAAAGGGAGTGATGTTAATATAGAATATAGAATACAATTTTATGAAACGAGTGAATAGTTGTGGCATCTGACACACTTTCGCTCGTCAGATACCACACCTATTCACAATTGGTTTTACACGGGAGCGAGTTTAGTATTTTATTTATAACTTGCCATTTATAACGTTTTTTTTAATTATACTGTTGAGTATGAATAGGCTGACACCTACACTATCCATGGCATAGTCCAATTGAGTTTAACAGAATAATACTTCAAACACGTCCAAAGTTGAAACGTATGAATTTAATACCATACAACGGTCCACCTTTAGAATTCACAAAATTATCGTAGGGCTAAGACTATCGCAACTCACATACTTTAACTTAGACTAAAGACTGTCATTGCGCTACAATACAATCGCCTTGTGGAACGGGCCTTGCACCTAAAAGTTTACAATAACGTCACAATACCCGATGACGAAATTTGTGGAAGTTTGTTGCAAGATCCATCGGCGAAACAATGCCATGTGACGTCAGCCTAGCAACAAGGTTGCTGGGGTCATCGAGTGTGCACAAGCTCCTCTCAGTGATCTATCAAGTCCACACTCAATGTCGTTGACTAAGCCAAGGGATGTTGAGAGCTTTCAATATTTGTTTGTGAAACATATTCCGTGAGTACATAAGCACGCGTTTTGGTATTACACAATGTGTAATACAGCTGTATGTTTATTAAATGGGTGATCTCTTCACAGGCAAGTAATAAACATTATTATCTTCCACCTATGATTATTTTGCATATACAGTTGTGTTGGCAGAAATTCAGTAAAAACAGCTTAACATTTTCACAAAAGAAATATCTATTGAGGTCCAGGGGCCGTCTTGATACATGGTGTGCATATGTGTGACGTACAATATGTGTGTAACTGGACTTGCAATGTGTGACAGTGTGTACTGGTCTTGACCGTCATGAGCATGCCCCTTGAATGATGAGACAGGACTTACAGTATATATGTGATGACACCCACACTCCACATGTCAATTGCCTGGGTGTACTTCCTTCCAAGGAGAACTTCTGGAGCTGGAAAATATAGAAACCTCTGCAAATCTAAACACTATTGTAATCTATGTCATTAAAAGTGTGTGTTGGTATACAGTGACAGTATCTCTGTGTGTTGGTACACAGTGACAGTATCTGTGTGTGTTGGTACACAGTGACAGTGTCTGTGTGTTTGTAGAGTGACAGTGTCTGTGTGTTGGTACAGTGACAGTATCTGTGTGTGTTGGTACAGTGACAGTATCTGTGTGTGTTGGTACACAGTGACAGTGTCTGTGTGTGTTGGTACACAGTGACAGTGTCTGTGTGTGTTGGTACACAGTGACAGTGTCTGTGTGTGTTGGTAGAGTGACAGTGTCTGTGTCTTGGTACAGTGACAGTGTCTGTGTGTTGGTACACAGTGACAGTATCTGTGTGTGTTGGTACACAGTGACAGTGTCTGTGTGTTTGTAGAGTGACAGTGTCTGTGTGTTGGTACAGTGACAGTATCTGTGTGTGTTGGTACAGTGACAGTGTCTGTGTGTGTTGGTACAGTGACAGTGTCTGTGTGTTTGTAGAGTGACAGTGTCTGTGTGTTGGTACAGTGACAGTATCTGTGTGTGTTGGTACAGTGACAGTGTCTGTGTGTGTTGGTACAGTGACAGTGTCTGTGTGTTGGTACAGTGACAGTGTCTGTGTGTTGGTACACAGTGACAGTGTCTGTGGGTTTGTAGAGTGACAGTATCTGTGTGTGTTGGTACAGTGACAGTATCTGTGTGTGTTGGTAGAGTGACAGTATCTGTGTGTTGGTAGAGTGACAGTGTCTGTGTGTTGGTAGAGTGACAGTGTCTGTGTGTTTGTAGAGTGACAGTGTCTGTGTGTTGGTACAGTGACAGTATCTGTGTGTGTTGGTACAGTGACAGTGTCTGTGTGTGTTGGTACAGTGGCAGTGTCTGTGTGTTTGTAGAGTGACAGTGTCTGTGTGTTTGTACAGTGACAGTGTCTGTGTGTTGGTACACAGTGACAGTGTCTGTGTGTGTTGGTACACAGTGACAGTGTCTGTGTGTGTTGGTACAGTGACAGTATCTGTGTGTGTTGGTACACAGTGACAGTGTCTGTGTGTTTGTAGAGTGACAGTATCTGTGTGTGTTGGTACAGTGACAGTATCTGTGTGTGTTGGTAGAGTGACAGTATCTGTGTGTTGGTAGAGTGACAGTGTCTGTGTGTTGGTAGAGTGACAGTGTCTGTGTGTTGGTAGAGTGACAGTATCTGTGTGTGTTGGTACACAGTGACAGTGTCTGTGTGTGTTGGTACAGTGACAGTGTCTGTGTGTTGGTACACAGTGACAGTGTCTGTGTGTGTTGGTACAGTGACAGTGTCTGTGTGTTGGTACAGTGACAGTGTCTGTGTATGTTGGTACAGTGACAGTGTCTGTGTGTTGGTAGAGTGACAGTGTCTGTGTGTGTTGGTACACAGTGACAGTGTCTGTGTGTTTGTAGAGTGACAGTGTCTGTGTGTTGGTAGAGTGACAGTGTCTGTGTGTGTTGGTACACAGTGACAGTGTCTGTGTGTTGGTAGAGTGACAGTGTCTGTGTGTTGGTACACAGTGACAGTGTCTGTGTGTTTGTAGAGTGACAGTGTCTGTGTGTTGGTAGAGTGACAGTGTCTGTGTGTGTTGGTACAGTGACAGTGTCTGTGTGTTGGTAGAGTGACAGTGTCTGTGTGTTGGTAGAGTGACAGTGTCTGTGTGTTGGTACACAGTGACAGTGTTTTTGTGTGTTGGTAGAGTGACAGTGTCTGTGTGTGTTGGTACAGTGACAGTGTCTGTGTGTTGGTACACAGTGACAGTGTCTGTGTGTGTTGGTACAGTGACAGTGTCTGTGTGTTAATACAGTGACAGTGTCTGTGTGTGTTGGTACAGTGACAGTGTCTGTGTGTTGGTACACAGTGACAGTGTCTGTGTGTGTTGGTACACAGTGACAGTGTCTGTGTGTGTTGGTACAGTGACAGTATCTGTGTGTGTTGGTACACAGTGACAGTGTCTGTGTGTTTGTAGAGTGACAGTATCTGTGTGTGTTGGTACAGTGACAGTATCTGTGTGTGTTGGTAGAGTGACAGTATCTGTGTGTTGGTAGAGTGACAGTGTCTGTGTGTTGGTAGAGTGACAGTGTCTGTGTGTTGGTAGAGTGACAGTATCTGTGTGTGTTGGTACACAGTGACAGTGTCTGTGTGTGTTGGTACAGTGACAGTGTCTGTGTGTTGGTACACAGTGACAGTGTCTGTGTGTGTTGGTACAGTGACAGTGTCTGTGTGTTGGTACAGTGACAGTGTCTGTGTATGTTGGTACAGTGACAGTGTCTGTGTGTTGGTAGAGTGACAGTGTCTGTGTGTGTTGGTACACAGTGACAGTGTCTGTGTGTTTGTAGAGTGACAGTGTCTGTGTGTTGGTAGAGTGACAGTGTCTGTGTGTGTTGGTACACAGTGACAGTGTCTGTGTGTTGGTAGAGTGACAGTGTCTGTGTGTTGGTACACAGTGACAGTGTCTGTGTGTTTGTAGAGTGACAGTGTCTGTGTGTTGGTAGAGTGACAGTGTCTGTGTGTGTTGGTACAGTGACAGTGTCTGTGTGTTGGTAGAGTGACAGTGTCTGTGTGTTGGTAGAGTGACAGTGTCTGTGTGTTGGTACACAGTGACAGTGTTTTTGTGTGTTGGTAGAGTGACAGTGTCTGTGTGTGTTGGTACAGTGACAGTGTCTGTGTGTTGGTACACAGTGACAGTGTCTGTGTGTGTTGGTACAGTGACAGTGTCTGTGTGTTAATACAGTGACAGTGTCTGTGTGTGTTGGTACAGTGACAGTGTCTGTGTGTTGGTACAGTGACAGTGTCTGTTTGTGTTGGTACACAGTGACAGTTTCTGTGTGTTTGTAGAGTGACAGTATCTGTGTGTGTTGGTACAGTGACAGTATCTGTGTGTGTTGGTACACAGTGACAGTGTCTGTGTGTGTTGGTACAGTGACAGTATCTGTGTGTGTTGGAACAGTGACAGTATCTGTGTGTTGGTAGAGTGACAGTGTCTGTGTGTTGATAGAGTGACAGTGTCTGTGTGTTGGTACACAGTGACAGTGTCTGTGTGTGTTGGTACAGTGACAGTATCTGTGTGTGTTGGTACAGTGACAGTATCTGTGTGTGTTGGTACACAGTGACAGTGTCTGTGTGTGTTGGTACAGTGACAGTATCTGTGTGTGTTGGTACAGTGACAGTATCTGTGTGTTGGTACAGTGACAGTGTCTGTGTGTTGGTAGAGTGACAGTATCTGTGTGTTGGTACAGTGACAGCAACTGTGTGTTGGTAGAGTGACAGTGTCTGTGTGTTGGTACACAGTGACAGTATCTGTGTGGTGGTAGAGTGACAGTATAAAAATATCAAATCTTACCACAATATCCAGGTGTGCCACAAACTGTTGTCATGGTAACTTCTGGTCCTATTATTTTTGACAGCCCAAAATCAGCTGCAATTAAACATTGAAAACATCTTGCTTCATACTTCTGAAAACAAAAGAAATTGTCTGCCACAATATTACATTGTTGCAAGATGTTTTTCAGAAATAAATTTGAGTCTCATGGTTTTAATTAAAAATATATCTGGTATTGCTAATATCAAATGGGTAGTCCCTAGAGCAATAACCTTTAGTACCCAGTCTCTGGACATGTTTATTAATAACGTAAAAATGAGCATTTTTGATGCAATGTTTTTATACTTACCTGAAGCTACACAGTGCTTTAGCTTCCCTACCTTATACAGACAGACAGTACTGGAACGAAGAGACAGTTGAAACAGACTACAGCCCATTCCTCAGCATCCAAGAGTTATCCCCCTTGGTCCCTTGTCCCTCATATTCATCACTGTATGACAGCAGCGTCAGGTGAGTATAAAAACATTGCATTTAATCAGAACAAAACCATTCGGCAAGAAACCAAGCAGGCGAAAGCAAGGCTGAGGCTCCCGGTACGGCCAGCAAAGGGATAGGACACAGGTCAAGCCCTCTCAGATCAGGCCGCTGGTCAAACCAGACCCCGCTCACACCCAGGGCATGAAGCTCGCTAACCCTGGCTGCTGTCTCAAGGGCCAGGAGAAAGCAAGTCTTAAGGTGAGATCTTCAAATGAGCCAGATGCAAGCATCATATGGGGCCTGGCGTAAGTCACAAAACAACATTGAGATCCCAAGCTGGGGGGTTGGAACTTCTTAGTCTGGTCCTCCAGTCAAAAACCTCGGACCATGGCAAATAGGACAGGGGCTGATGACAGCCGGGAACCACTTGCGATCTTCAGGGCAGAATTGAGCGCAATAAGATAGGTCGCAATTGTGGAACCAGCCAGGTGACGGAACTGGTGAAGAAAAACCAAAAAGTCACCCCTGTGGGGGATGGTCGCCTCCACAGGAACAATGTGCCTGGACAAGCAGAAGGCCTGGAACCAACGCACCTTCTCATCATACAGGGAACGAGTGGAGGAACGATGAGCTCAGGACAGCTTCCGCAGCATGAGCCGAAAACCCTTTAGCGTCAAATAACATAATACATAATAGAGGCCAAGGGGGATAACTCTTGGATGCTGAGGCATGGGCTGTAGTCTGTTTCAACTGTCTCTTCGTTCCTGTACTGTCTGTTTTTATAGGGTAGGGAAGCGGAAGCACTGTGTAGCATCAGGAAAGGTAAAACACTAAATATAAATCATGCTTAATACTTAACAGTTTGTTATTAAATAAATTAGTTCAGCAGTTTTTTGTCACTATTTCTAATTAAGCTTAAACATGGGTAGTATTTGTTTTGATTTTCAATACCTGTGACCCTTTTCGGAATGTTCTATGACCTGTTTACCCATGTATAATGACACGTACAAAAGGAGTACTGTTTTCAAAGAATTCTTGTCACCATGGTAGAATGGAGATAAAAGTTCTCTTTTGAAATTTGAGGTAGTCCAACTGTAGATTAAACACTTTATGTTTATCCATTTGAAACCTTGCGCTAAAACACTTGGTTCCAAATTGAAAATTCAGGTATCTAATCTAGAATTACACTAAATCAAATATCACAATCTATTGTACCCATGCTCTGCACGTGTTTATTAATGTATTTAACAACCTATTGCACCCACACGCTGCACGTGTTTACTTATGTTTTTAACAACCTATTGCACCCATGCTCTGCACATGTTTATTAATGTATTTAACAACCTATTGCACCCATGCTCTGCACATGTTTATTTATGTTTTTAACAACCTATTGCACCCATGCTCTGCACATGTTTATTAATGTATTTAGCAACCTATTGCACCCATGCTCTGCACATGTTTATGAATGTATTTAACAACCTATTGCACCCATGCTCTGCATGTTTGTTAATGTATTTAACAACCTTTTGCACCCATGCTCTGCACATGTTTATTTTATGTTTTAACAACCTATTGCACCCATGCTCTGTACATGTTTATTAATGTATTTAACAACCTATTGCACCCATACTCTGCACGTGTTTATTAATGTATTAAACAACCTATTGCACCCATGCTCTGCACATGTTTATTAATGTATTTAACAACCTATTGCACCCATACTCTGCACGTGTTTATTAATGTATTAAACAACCTATTGCACCCATACTCTGCACGTGTTTATTAATGTATTAAACAACCTATTGCACCCATGCTCTGCACATGTTTATTAATGTATTTAACAACCTATTGCACCCATACTCTGCACGTGTTTATTAATGTATTAAACAACCTATTGCACCCATACTCTGCACATGTTTATTAATGTATTTAACAACCTATTGCACCCATGCTCTGCACATGTTTATTAATGTATTTAACAACCTATTGCACCCATGCTCTGCACATGTTTATTAATGTACTGTCCCCATACTCGGGATATGTTTATTGATAAACACAACAACCAATTGTAACTTGCCTATTTTCAGCTTTGATTCAGGAGCCAAATTTTCATACAACATGTTTTCTGGCTGAAAATATAAGCATAAGAGTTACATGGACATTCAGGAACTGTTCTCCCTTTTCGGATTTCACAAGGTACTATCCAGACAATAGAGGGCATTCCTTATAATGCATTACTCGCTAAGCCCAATACAAATGCAAATTGTTGTAAAAGTTGCCACTCTGCATAGAGACCAGATAAAATCTACACAGATGGTCAGTTTAGAAGAACCTTATAATGTGCGAATCAACCTTGAGCCTTCTATATTCTTGATACGATCTAGGGAGGTTGGTAGAATAGGTGACTATTCTTGTTGTAGGAGGCAACTAACGGGATCGGGTGGTCAGACTCACTGACTTGGTTGATGCATGTCATCCCATCCCAATTGCGTGGATCGATGCTCATGATGTCAATCACTGGATTGTCTGGTCCAGACTCGATTTTTTACAGACCTCTATCTTATAGCTGGAATATTGCAGAGTGCCGCATTAAACAACAAATAAACAAAACAAACAAACTCTACCCTCCCACACTTCCTCTAGTGAGGCTGTCTACCCTACCCAAGGTCTTCCCCCATTTTCCCTAGGACGGCTCTCTATAGAACAACAGGTTGACATACCTTCAAGTCTCGGTGTACCACACCATTTTCATGCAGGTACTGAAACAGATAAGGGAACTAGGTTACTCAGAAAATCTTGGGTCATTTTGCTGCAACAACTGTTTGACAAAGTGAAGAGAGTTAAGGACTGGTAATTTATTATGGGTAAGTGAGTGGCGTGTTTGGGATTGGTCTTAGGACTGTGTTGTTACTTTGCTGACCCCCACTCCCTCTACTTTATGCAACATTTTTCCATGACACCCCCCGACCTATTCTACATTAGCAGTCCCAAAATAATGTTCAAACTGAAAAAATGAAAATGTCAATTTTTCATGACTCTTCCCCCCTCCAGTAATTGTGATAAATTTTAGGAACCCTCTTTCGCTATCATTATTTTCATGACCCCCCTCCCCATAATCTCATCCCCTCAACTACAATATATTACCAGTCCCTAAGGTAATCACTATGGTACTTAAACAAAAACATAGTATTTGTGTTCACAAATTCTCCAATGTCATATTACCATTGTTACATTACTTCCTAAGTAAACTAAAGTCACTGAAACAAGCAGGTGCCCTGATATAGTGTATACAGTCTGTATTGCTGGTGATGTGCACCTGGTGTACTTACATCAACTGCAGTCAGCATGTCCCGCACTGCCTTGGCTGCATCTTTCTCACTGTAGAAGCCACGAGACACAATTCTGAAAAATCATTACAGCAATTTTATTCTTGCACATTCGACATTTACTTCTGAAGCAAAGATGATCAGCTTTACCTGCCCTGACACCCCCTTCACTCCTGTCTCTCTACACAGGTGGCCCCCATCAGGTGAGAACAAACACTTCCCTCACTCCTGTCTCTCTACACAGGTGGCCCCCATCAGGTGAGAACAAACACCTCCCTTACTCCTGTCTCTCTACACAGGTGGCCCCCATCAGGTGAGAACAAACACTTCCCTCACTCCTGTCTCTCCACACAGGTGGCCCCCATCAGGTGAGAACAAACACCTCCATCACTCCTGTCTCTCTACACAGGTGGCCCCCATCAGGTGAGCACAAACACCTCCATCACTCCTGTCTCTCTACACAGGTGGCCCCCATCAGGTGAGCACAAACACCCCCCTTACTCCTGTCTCTCCACACAGGTGGCCCCCATCAGGCGAGCAGGGTTACCTGTCAAACAGCTCCCCTCCGGTCACCAGCTCCAGCACCAGTGTAATGTCTGTCCGGGTCTCATAGATCTCTTTAAGTCTAATCTTAACACAAAAACAGAAACTTGTCTTCAGTATCAAACATCAAATGTATGGTGCTTTCAGTCAAACTAACATAGAGTATCTCACTTACTTTACAGAATGAATAAAGGTTAAGTTGCCAAAAGTGTCTCACAACCATGGGTATTCCAAACTTAAACTTCCCATTCAACTAAACAAGAATTAATCCTGAATTTACTCTTTGGTGCTTTCGAATGATTGAAACTGAGTTTTTCTTGATTTACGAATCAAGAATATAGTTCATGAAATCATTAGTGCCTATCAAATGATTAGTTATTAATTCTGAATCAGCACTATTTTGCAGCTGTTCATAACATAACAAGACACTAACTAACAGTCTCAAACTGTGAGTTACATAAGAGATAAGCATACTGTGTTTTCAATGTAGAGCTAGATTACCTATAGATTTAATTGTGCCAAGTTCAATTTGGAAGCATACAAGCAGCATGAGGTTTCAAACATCAAATAAAGCACAGTTAAATTCACAGGCAACATGTGTATCTCTGTTATACTATGAACTAAATATTGATGCTGAGTGAAGTTGAGTCCAATGTTTTGAGCAAATTGTCAAACTGATTTAACTCTTTCAACACCAGTCAACCAGAAGCGTTTACTGCTGTGACACTGAGTTCCCAGAGATTCTTGAGTGATAGATGAAGCCAAAGAAAATATCTGCTTGTAAAACATTGTTGCTACTACATGTTATATGCCATTTGAAAGGTCTAATCCTATTGTTTATAAATATGAAAGTTATGTTTAACACATTATTTAAATAATGCAATTACAACTTCATTAAGTTTGTTGTAAATAAAAAAATGTAAGCTAACACATTCATATCATCCAGATTAAGGACCAAGTACCGTATTTTCTTGAGTATAGTGTGCACCCATGTATAATGTGCACCCCCCTCTAGTGGGTTCAATATTTTGGAAAAAAAGAAATTTGAATATAATGCACAGAAAAAATTACACTGTACCCCTTCAGCGAAGTCCGGCAAACGAACGGGTGATGAGAAACTTTGACAGTACAAATTCAAAATTTGAGATAAAAAATCACCAGACATGTTGATTTACCGTTTAAATTGTATTTTTTTGGTTCAGCTAGGCATTGTTTTAGATCCAGGGATTAAGATTACCTTGTGTATTTTCTCGTAAACTAAGCCAGACACAGCAATCAGCTGTACACACGTTTTCATGGAATCTACCGGTGATTCGGTCAAGACACACCCAATGATATAACTTTACACACGATTTTGCCTAAATTAATTAAAACAATATTAAAAGGAATTATGAATAAAATTAATGAAATAAGTTACAAACATAAGTCCAGATATACAAAGAACACTTTTTATAGCCTGACAGTGTAATTACATGAATAATTTGCAAAAACTTCAGTATGGATTTATTGACATGGTATTTCTGGTGTTACGTGCTCACGGTAATGTCTTTCCATGGGGGAAAAAACATCAAAACTCATTAATTCGTGTATATTACGAACCCCCTTCTACACAATTGTGTTTTTTTAGAAAAAAAGTGCGCACTATACTCAAGAAAATACGGTTGGCAAATATAAGATTTCATAAAATCCACTTACCTATTTCTTTTTTATTTTCATTTTTAATGTAATTGGAAAATTATTTTAAAAAGAATCATAAATACTCGTAGATATAAGTATCTGTTTTCACCCATTTCCCGATAACAGCGGCTGTCTGCTCAGTAACATGAAGAAATACCTCCGTTTTCGAGGCTTTGTATGAATAACAAGTATGTCGAAGACTGACATATAACACATCATTAGAGAACTTATTTTTTTCATCTACATGCTTGTAACATCGCCTGGAGTCTTTTCGTAGAGGGGCGGTCGGATAGCCCAGTGGTTAAAGCGTTCGCTCATCACGCTGAAGACCCGGGTTCGATTCCCGACATGGATACAATGTGTGAAGCCCATTTCTGGTGTCCCCAGCCGTGATATTGCTGGAATATTGCTAAAAGCGGCGTAAAACCATACTCACTCACTCACTTTACGTAGCTATAACATACAATTTCATTGGATCAAAATTGGTTTTTAATGACGCTTTCTTGCCGAAATCTGCTACAAGGTTCGTGATTAGTGAAATTTGAGCATTTGACCTCAGGCAGCCAATTAAATTACTCATGTATGATGAATTTCAGATTTTGGCAAATGTTTTTTGTTAAATCGTCTTATTCTGAACGTTTTAAGCAGGAAATTGCGTTCTGCATAAAGATATGGAGCTTCGTGGATGTATCGTGCTAGCTTACGAGCTGTGACAAAGATTTTTCATGCATATATTTTGGCATTAAACATCGGCTCCGAGTCAAGTATTTGAGGCAACGAAAGCCGAGATGTCATTTGCCTAACAAATGTGTCTGAGAATTTTATTTTCAATAACATTGCAGGTAATAGTGAATAATCTTTTAATCTATCAATAAAAAATAAAAAATTGAAATGGAATATGCATTTCAGAAATTGTGAAATGTGATAGATTTAAAAAATGAATGGTATTGAAGGTTCATAAAAATATAAACTATTTTGACTACGGCTTGGCAAGTCTACCGGCCTACAGTGTCTGGGGACTCAAGGCTTCTTGGACGGCCTACCGGCCTAAGGTGTTGAAAGAGTTAAGGCAACACTGTTGATGTAAGTATGGAAACGCACATGCTCAAACATTGTTATCTATACTTTACTCGCATAGATGATGAGCTTTGAAAGTATGCAGCAGAACTCCTTCATAAGCCAACATGAAGTAGGCCTACGAAAGAAAATTCAGCAAATCTTGCAAGATTTAGATCTACACCACACTCTATTATTTTGACAACAAACTTTTCATTGTGACACACAGTATATGTCACAGTAGGATATAGAAAGAGCTAATTTCTCTGTTATTTTGCAACCTATAACTGTACATGTTATTATTTAGAATGCCAACATATTCCAGTTTTCTGGTGTCTCCTGGTGGCGCCTGGAGGGTTAGGTGAGAGGCTATGATACTGATGACACATCTGTATAAACCATATGCACTTTACTTACGATATTGGGATGACTTAATTTCAACAGGATTCCTATCTCTGTGCGCACAACTTTTTTATCTACCTGAAATATACAAATACAAAATTTGGATTAACTTAAAGGCCACAAAATATGTATTATCTTTGCAAATGTTATTAAATTCAGAATGTATCTATTTGTTGCAACTTCGAAAAGCTTAAATCTAGCATGTTTATTTAGTCATTTGGAATGTGAGTCCATGTGTGTCACGTTGGATAGCATTGTCTGTTATGTTAGATAGCCATGTGTGTCACGTTGGATAGCATTGTCTGTTATGTTAGATAGCCATGTGTGTCACGTTGGATAGCATTGTCTGTTATGTTAGATAGCCATGTGTGTCACGTTGGATAGCATTGTCTGTTATGTTAGATAGCCATGTGTGTCACGTTGGATAGCATTGTCTGTTATGTTGGATAGAGTTCTGTGTCACGTTGGATAGCGCTGTGTGTTGTGCTGGATAGTGCTGTGTGTTATGTTAGAAAGCAGTGTGTGTCATGTTGGATAGCATTGTGTGTCAAGTTGGATAGTGTTGTGTGTCATGTTGGATGGCATTGTGTGTCATGTTGGATAGCATTGTGTGTTGTGCTGGATAGTGTTGTGTGTTGTGCTGGATAGTGTTGTGTGTTATGTTAGAAAGCAGTGTGTGTCATGTTGGATAGCATTGTGTGTCAAGTTGGATAGTGTTGTGTGTCATGTTGGATAGCATTGTGTGTCATGTTGGATAGCATTGTGTGTCATGTTGGATAGCATTGTGTGTCATGTTGGATAGCATTGTGTGTCATGTGGGATAGCATTGTGTGTCATGTTGGATAGCATTGTGTGTCATGTTGGATAGCATTGTGTGTCATGTGGGATAGTGTTGTGTGTCATGTGGGATAGCATTGTGTGTCATGTTGGATAGTGTTATGTCATGTGGGATAGCATTGTGTGTCATGTTGGATACCATTGTGTGTCATGTGGGATAGCATTGTGTGTCATGTTGGATAGCATTGTGTGTCATGTTGGATAGTGTTGTGTGTCATATGGGATAGTGTTGTGTGTCATGTGGGATAGCATTGTGTGTCATGTTGGATAGCATTGTGTGTCATGTGGGATAGCATTGTGTGTCATGTTGGATAGCATTGTGTGTCATATTGGATAGTGCTGTGTCATGTTGGATAGTGCTGGGTGTTATTTTTTAAGTATTTGGGACATCAGGGGCTTATCTATTCGTGCTCAGAGGCTGATATTCATCACCAAGTCTGCAGCAAGTATCAGCAATGACTTGGTCAAGGTGCCTGTATTTCACTGACAACAGGACCAGCATAGAGGAAGAGGCTTCAATGCTAAATTATATATCTTTTTAATTGAATGTGTTGTTAAAACATAACATTAAAATGTGGCTGAAATAAAAAAAATAAGAATTCATATTAATAAAATCAAATTTGAGACAATACAATTTGCCTGTCAAGAGCACTTAGTTCGGAATCTCGGATCAGACCCTGGACAAAGACAGCAGGTGCTCCATGCTTACATGTTTCTTGATTACTTTGGCTGCCCATGGAATACCAGTACCCTTCTGCTCGCACTTGTATACAAAGGAGGTAGCACCCCTGGAAAAATGCATACATGTTAATAGTGTTAAAAATAGAGCCATGAAGCTCTGTAGCTCACCTGCATTTAAGCGTTACAATAAACAAAAGGTAAAATAACTTAAAAGAAAGATTTAAACATTCCACATGTCTTCTCTGCTACATCTCTATGTATACATGATTAGTAAATTATGTTTGGTTTTCATATATCTAAGAGCATATATAATGTGCTATTTTCAGCAAATTTGCAGCCATTTTCACATGAAAATTCATGCCAATTATCTTACAACTTTACAATCTCATTAAAATCATATCTTTGTTCTCGCTATCGCTAAACAAAGATCTGAGGACATCCCATTAATGGTCATGTCGGACAAGCTTTCATCCAAACAATCAGAGCATCGCTTACCAGATCATGAAAGTGGCAGTCGGAATGCGTTTTCTAATCATGCAACCACGAAATATATAACATGGGGTATTCCAAACAACAGTTACGGGTTTTATGATTGTATCCATACAATCTAGGCCATCTATAAGACATTCCAGAGTGTTCTTCTTATCAGTTTTAATTTTTTTAATCGAGAACACGTCAATATATGTTTCGAAGCGTAGTCGCCGGTTTGAGACTAGTGTCGTAAGGCTTGAGAAAGCTGCCTTCTGTTTGGCTAATGTCAATTTCTTGTCAGTCATTTCATTGGTGAAAGGTTGTTCTGATGTGACCCGTAATGGGATGTCCTCAGATCCTTGTTTAGCATTAGCGAAAACTAAGATCTGATTTTAATGAGATTGACAACTATATATTACTTAAGTATCAGTGATCTAAGTTAGGCCAGTTTCTTGCAATACTGATTTTCCTGGCTAATGGCAAAGTGTATGTCATCATGAACAAACAAGTCAGTACAGCGTTTGAGTTTGGTTCAACGCCACTTTGAACTGTGTTCCACAGCGTGTCACCTTCATCTGGGAAGACAGCAAGCAGGTCCTGCACATTTACCAGTGACTCTCGTGAAACTCATGAATGTAAGTATGCTCACTATGGTGATGACAAACCTACAGTATATAACCATGGCAAATATGGGATGCAAACCCATGGGTTCTTGCATGCCAAAGGATGCAACTATGCACAGCGAATTGCAGCACCAGACACTGGGCCACCCAATCCACTCTGGTCAGTGCAGTAAGGGGGAAATGATACATTGAAATACATACACCGCAATACATGACCAATACTAAGTAAGATGTATACGAACCTGTATTGCGATAGATGAAGACAAAATACAATTTACTGTTTTTTTAATGAAAGAATAACCTATACATGATAGGGTTAACTGTGAGCTTGAAAACACAACCATTTCATTCAAATCCCAGGTCCAGGATCATTTGGGCTTTCCTGTTACTTTTTGTGACAGACAATCATCACCATTACATGAGTATTTCAATTCATGGCTGTTTGTGTTGTTATTCTGGCATATCATTGAGATGGGTTATGTATCATGATCTGTACTTGTATCAAGATACGTATCGTATTGTGCCTATATTGTTGCACCCTTCCATGCCAGCACTCACCGGAGGCCGATCATATGTCACTGGTTGTCATGTGTTCAGCACTCACCTTGAGCAGGTCATAGGGAGTAGAATGGCAACTTGTTTGTTCCATTGGTTATGAATACCAAAATGTGCATAAGCTTACATTCATGCCAACTGTAGACTATAGTTTATGTTAGATCTTGCATGGTCGTCCTCTGGTTGTGAAATAAGTGTGTACAAAAACCAAACTTTGGGGTATTTGGGTGAATACATTTCTGTCTATTGCAATAGTTGAAACTAGTGTGGATTAATTGTTTTGCAAGTTCAATAAAAAGACCTAAAGATTAATAAGTTTAAAAAAATAATCTGTTCCTGATGAGTTGGCACACACACACACACACACACACACACACACACACACACACACACACACAGACTGACAGACAGACAGACAGACCAATAGATAGATAGATAGATAGATAGATATCTTTGAGGAGAATCTATCTATATGAAAAAAATCTGAATTGCTTAATTGATTGTGTTCACGTATTCTTCTAGAATGGTTATAGTGCGCGTGTGTGCAGCTTTGTATAGTCGATCCTGAAGAGCTAGACAATGTCATGCATATTTATAGAGGCCAAGGGTGGGAAATATACATGGTCATGCGTACGTGGTAGTAATGCACATGTAGTTCGGTGACTGACATGTCAGAGTGACACTGAATATGTTATGGAAACTGTTAGTGTTATTGCAAAAAAATCAATGACAACAAACAAACCAAGCTCAGTCTAGTGCACTTACCTCCCCAATTCCTTGCCCACGTTAAAGAAAGATTCAAAAGAATCATTCTTTATGCTCTCATTCACCCAAAATTCTTCCCTCTTTCCTATCGGCATCTTGATTTGTTTACACGCAACAGTGTGTGCTCGCTGTCCGGGGCCGTTGCTAGACTAAACCGCCATGTCTAAACGTTGTGATGTGACGTCACAAAGGTCAGAGGGCACGCACCTGCTTCGCTGTTGATGTCTTACAGGTCAACTTGACACGGGCGGCGAATTTGAATGTCAATTTAAAAGAAGAGTGTTGAGAGCACATTGTCACTATATAATCTAGGGTTACTAAGTATTGCTAAACTGATTGGTGTTAATTAAATGAGTTTTACAGACAAGTAGGGCTAAAGTTGTATTTGAATGTCTTGACTCAAACTTGCTATAACGGCAAATTGATTAGCTCAATGATTTAGACTACTGACTTATTGATCAAACTGCATAAAATAAGGAACACTTTTTTGTTATCATGTAGTTCACCAGACATTGTTGTTTCCGGCATCGAATGCGTTGTATAATGTGAGAGTGTTAGTCACTGGATTTTCTGGTCCAGACTCGAATATTTACAGTCCGCCGTCATCTAGCAGGAATATTGCTGAGTGCGGTGATAAACAAAAAAAACAACCAAACAAGTAACCCTGTGACTTGTCATTCAGATAAAGTCATTTTCATTTGTCTTACTACACTCGGTCGAAAATTTCATGAGGTCATTAAAAGAAAATCTAAAAATTATTTTTGGTATTTCAACCACGGTCGCAATTAACCAAGTTTTGTTTTTTTTAAATATTAAAAAAACTTTTAAAAGTGTTATCCTCAATCCCATTAAGATAATTTGTGAGTGTTTAGTTACCGCTACACACGGGTATGTGTGCTCTCACTAGCATGTGAGTTGTGTAGCGGTGGCGAGGACTAAGGTCTTGTGAGTGAGGGAGTTGGGTTTAACGCCGCAACCATGATTCGAACCAAAGATCACACATTTCTGGCGCGCCCAAGGGACGCAACACTGCACAGCGACTTGCAGCGACTTAGACCCACGTTAGAAAGCAAAAGAGGCTAGGTTCCCGAAACTTTAAAATTTGACCTTAGAAGAAGAAGAAGAAGACGAAGTTTATTCATGAATGAAGGCCACATGGTCCAGAGTCATTTACAGGACATGCACAAATTTTCTTACAACAAACGTTCAATTTTTTTACATAGGTAAATGTCGTTTTTAATGTATGTACAGGTTTTTGATAATAGAATCATTTCTGGTAGATAAAAGACTGATAAGGTTTGGAACAGATGGTTACACATGGTAACATTTTGGAATTAAATTTTCTCTACTACTTTTATAAAAAGGACAAATTTACAAAAAATGGTATTCATTTCCTATTTCATAACGGTTACATTTCATACATAAACTAAACGATGACTGTGGTTGTATTGTGGCAGGCTCAATTATGTACATAACTTTTTAAGTAGTAAGGTTATATGGCCTTGTTACCATTTTAACTGATTAGTTTATTACGATATTTACATGATAAGAATATATTATTAGTTGTACTATTAGTTATGTTTTATACCTTAGTATTTTATACCTTAAACATTCATTCCATAGCTCCGTAACATTAAGTAAGCTTACTCTCAGTCTCACTTCCACTAATTGTCACACTGCATGCTTTTGACTTACAGCACTCTTTGCCCCAGCGCGCCCCGGCCCAGTCTATTGTCTTGTTGATAGGCCAAGTTGGCCATAGCTACAACAATGTTTGTTGTTGAATTTTACAAAATCAGTTGCTATTGTCACCGCAAGGAAAGACTCAGCGAGATTTATTGCCACATTCATTTCTATGTGAGGATTTGGATTTGTAAAGGGATTTATTCATATTTAAGGTTAGTTGATTATTTATTTTATGATGTATATATGGATGTTTTCTAATTATTGCGATTAGAAATAATATATATTGTAGAATGCATTCTTAATTTGATTTATTAGAAACATAATGCATCTTGTATATATTTATAGTGCTTGATGAACTTACAGTTCAGTGAGTAATTATTATATGTATAAAACAGTATTAAACACGAAACCTAAATATATATATAAACTACCTATGGAGCCCCCATTACCTATACTACTAAGTATTGTAAACCCCTCTGTACAGTAATGGAAAGTAAATGTATGTCTGTATGCTTGATGCATTATGTATGTTGGTAAGTGCAAGTGTATGAGTGTTGTATGTCTGAAATGAGTGGCTGTTGTACTTTATATTTTTATACACTATTTTACCATAGGATATCACTTGTATATAGTATTCTGCATTTGTATTTCTTTATTATGCAGATTTCTCAGTGGCAACGTTCACCGTACACTCATTGTCACGGCATTACCAGTTCAGGTTTAACCTATCTGGTATGTAATGTTCATTATCACTTTATTATCATATGAATATATTTTGTATCTGTGTATTGATGTATTGTACGGATACGTCTGATGTATTGTGTAATGTAAAGTAAATGCTATTCATTTTAATGGAAGTGATATCTATATTTTAGAAATTTAAAGAGTAACTATAACGGATTGTATATATTTATATCTATGTTATATTTGCTTATGTTGTACTTTTATTGTTTCAGACTGAATTAAGTACGTACATTCGTACCGATAATAAAATAAACGTCATCAGCCTCACCCCCCACATTTGTTTGTGATTATTTGTGCCAGTAGATCGCCTACTCCACTATCGGCCTCACCCCCCACTGCTGTTTGTGATTATTTGTGCCAGTAGATCGCCTACTCCACTATCAGCCTCACCCCCCACTGCTGTTTGTGATTATTTGTGCCAGTAGATCGCCTACTCCACTATCAGCCTCACCCCCCACTGCTGTTTGTGATTATTTGTGCCAGTAGATCGCCTACTCCACTATCAGCCTCACCCCCCACTGCTGTTTGTGATGATTTGTGCCAGTAGATCGCCTACTCCACTATCAGCCTCACCCCCCACTGCTGTTTGTGATTATTTGTGCCAGTAGATCGCCTACTCCACTATCAGCCTCACCCCCCACTGCTGTTTGTGATTATTTATGCCAGTAGATCGCCTACTCCACTATCAGCCTCACCCCCACTGCTGTTTGTGATTATTTGTGCCAGTAGATCGCCTACTCCACTATCGGCCTCACCCCCCACTGCTGTTTGTGATTATTTGTGCCAGTAGATCGCCTACTCCACTATCGGCCTCACCCCCCACTGCTGTTTGTGATTATTTGTGCCAGTAGATCGCCTACTCCACTATCGGCCTCACCCCCCACTGCTGTTTGTGATTATTTGTGCCAGTAGATCGCCTACTCCACTATCGGCCTCACCCCCCACTGCTGTTTGTGATTATTTGTGCCAGTAGATCGCCTACTCCACTATCGGCCTCACCCCCCACTGCTGTTTGTGATTATTTGTGCCAGTAGATCGCCTACTCCACTATCAGCCTCACCCCCCACTGCTGTTTGTGATTATTTGTGCCAGTAGATCGCCTACTCCACTATCAGCCTCACCCCCACTGCTGTTTGTGATTATTTGTGCCAGTAGATCGCCTACTCCACTATCAGCCTCACCCCCCACTGCTGTTTGTGATTATTTGTGCCAGTAGATCGCCTACTCCACTATCAGCCTCACCCCCCACTGCTGTTTGTGAGTATTTGTGCCAGTAGATCGCCTACTCCACTATCGGCCTCACCCCCCACTGCTGTTTGTGATTATTTGTGCCAGTAGATCGCGTACTCCACTATCGGCCTCACCCCCCACTGCTGTTTGTGATTATTTGTGCCAGTAGATCGCCTACTCCACTATCGGCCTCACCCCCCACTGCTGTTTGTGATTATTTGTGCCAGTAGATCGCCTACTACACTATCGGCCTCACCCCCCACTGCTGTTTGTGATTATTTGTGCCAGTAGATCGCCTACTCCACTATCAGCCTCACCCCCCACTGCTGTTTGTGATTATTTGTGCCAGTAGATCGCCTACTCCACTATCAGCCTCACCCCCCACTGCTGTTTGTGATTATTTGTGCCAATAGATCGCGTACTCCACTATCGGCCAACACAACCACGGTTACAGTATTAAATCGAGTTTTCTGTTCATTTTTATCTTAAAACATAAACGAAAAGAAAACATGTTTTGGGGAATAACAAAGTCAAATGTTTTCTTCAGATTGTTTTTGTTTCCTCTTTTCGGTGGATCCGTAAACCAAGTAATTAATACCAACACCAATACATATACACTAAGAAATGGGTTCATATACATGTGAAGAGGTATTGCGCACATAAAATCCTTGCCGGAAATAGTCGGTACCTTCCGGAAATAATCACAAATTTGAAATGTTTTAGAGTTACATTTGCTGTTAAAATTTATAAATAAACTGTTAAAATATAATTAAATGTACCTGTAAGAATTCTGATGCATCGTAACTATTAAATTGGATAAAAGTACGCAAAGCTTTCAACTTTTCCCATGGTGCACTTGTTTCATAGTTTTCGCGCTATAGTCGCCATGCTTGTCAAAGTGCGAGGTACACAACATTTTTAGAGAGCTACACATACGAAGCCACAACTTTGTCATTCCTTGTTTTTCATCAAGTTTGCCATCATGGAACGACAATAAATACTCTTCGATGAAACCATTCACTCTTCTGTACTGATTTCCCACATTACAAAAATGGTGTCAGAAGTGGGAAAGTGTTCGGCGATGGATGTGACTTACCGTCGGCACAGCACCGCTTCTATTCCTATCGCCAATCGTCTGGACAGGATCTGGTTACTGTGTCCCTTGATCTTATTGATCTATATGACAAGATCATCGAAATTGATCCTACTTTCAGCGGAATGAAGGAGTCTGCCCTTAAAGGTCAACTGGCGGAAGCTGTACAGAGCGACGTCCAAAAACGAGAGACAAGGCGCCTTACTATCGAGCACCCCAGCATGAGTTTCCTGGACTTGAGGGATCGTCTTATCGAATGGCTTGGCAACACTCCATTAAAGGAAAAGAATGTACATTATCAAGAACATCGATCAAACTTTGAAGATGTCTTGAAGAGACAGGAGGCCATGATAGAGGAACAACAAAAACAGATACAAGAGCTTCTCACCATCAACGCTCGACCAAGGACAAGGGCTTGCTGGG